TAGAGGGGTGTTTGTGAGCTATAGTTGTGATGACCGTGTTATCAGTGAATGGAGGGGTGTTTTTGAGCTATAGTTGTGATGACTGTGTTATCAGTGAATAGAGGGGTGTTTGTGAGCTATAGTTGTGATGACCGTGTTATCAGTGAATTGAGGGGTGTTTGTGAGCTATAGTTGTCTAGACTGTGTTATCAGTGAATAGAGGGGTGTTTGTGAGCTATAGTTGTGATGACTGTGTTATCAGTGAATGGAGGGGTATTTGTGAGCTATAGTTGTCTGGACTGTGTTATCAGTGAATAGAGGGGTGTTTGTGGGCTATAGTTGTAATGACTGTGTTATCAGTGAATAGAGGGGTGTTTGTGGGCTATAGTTGTGATGACTATGTTATCAGTGAATGGAGGCATATATTTGTGATTTCCTTCTGCTGAAATTTTGTGTTCACCTAACTTGATTTTTTTTGTTGATACCTGGAAAGACTAGGTTCTCACTTCTCATGGTTGACAATAAAGACGAACAACAAGAATGGGATGTGTCATCAGTCTTGATGGTGTGCCTTCATGCACATGCTTTCTGTCACTTGCAAGCACAGTCTGTATATTGTGAATGGTTGGGCAGACCCGAAATAGGTAGGAGTTTATTCCGCTCTGGCTGTTTGTCATGAAATGATGTGTGTTTATTTAACAAAGGATTTGCCTTTGCCTCAAGGATGACCTGAAGGTATCTCATGGCCCCAGTATCTGATCATGTAAGACGCTGTAGGAGAGACTGGACATCTCTAGGACAGCTACAGTGTAGTGGCAGCAGACTTTCACACCCCCTACCTCCACACCCCCACACCCCCACACCCCCTACCCCCGTCATGATGCACTTTATCATCACAAATATCATGAATTGATAATTGTTACGAGTATTTTCATAATACTCGTCCCCTCATATTTTTCATGTGTGTAGTGTGGCTCTCCCCTGTTGTGAGTTGTGGGGACCCCCTCTGATTTCCTTCCTCCCCCTACCCCATCACCACACCCTTGTTCATACTTTATTGCCTTAATACCTTAGATGAAACATTGATGAATATGCAAATAATGTTGTAATGGATTTGTAACTGAAGGTAATTGCACACAGGTACGCCATGGACAGGTACATTAGGTTGTCACATTAAAATGGTAAAGCAGTAAAGTGACATTTACACTTGTCACTGCCAAGCATGGGTTGAACTGTCAGATGAGACAGGGTGTGAACCAGTCAGGATGTCTGGAGTAGGGCAACCACATGGCCTGTAAGGTACTCACATGGCCTGTAGACAACCACATGGCCTGTAGACAACCACATGGCCTGTAAGGTACTCACATGGCCTGTAAGGTACTCACATGGCCTGTAGACAACCACATGGACTGTAAGGTACTCACATGGCCTGTAGACAACCACATGGCCTGTAAGGTACTCACATGGCCTGTAAGGTACTCACATGGCCTGTAAGGTACTCACATGGCCTGTAGACAACCACATGGCCTGTAGATACTCACATGGCCTGTAAGGTACTCACATGGCCTGTAAGGTACTCACATGGCCTGTAGATACTCACATGGCCTGTATATACTCACATGGCCTGTATATACTCACATGGCCTGTAAGGTACTCACATGGCCTGTAGACAACCACATGGCCTGTAATGTACTCGCATGGCCTGTAAGGTACTCACATGGCCTGTAGACAACCACATGGCCTGTAGACAACCACATGGCCTGTAGACAACCACATGGCCTGTAGATACCCACATGGCCTGTAGACAACCACATGGCCTGTAGATACTCACATGGCCTGTAAGGTACTCACATGGCCTGTAGATACTCACATGGCCTGTAAGGTACTCACATGGCCTGTAAGGTACTCACATGGCCTGTAAGGTACTCACATGGCCTGTAGACAACCACATGGCCTGTAATGTACTTGCATGGCCTGTAAGGTACTCACATGGCCTGTAGACAACCATATGGCCTTTAGACAACCACATGGCCTGTAGACAACCACATGGCCTGTAACGTACTCACATGGCCTGTAGATACCCACATGGCCTGTAGACAACCACATGGCCTGTAGATACTCACATGGCCTGTAAGGTACTCACATGGCCTGTAGATACTCACATGGCCTGTAAGGTACTCACATGGCCTGTAAGGTACTCACATGGCCTGTAGACAACCACATGGCCTGTAATGTACTTGCATGGCCTGTAAGGTACTCACATGGCCTGTAGACAACCATATGGCCTTTAGACAACCACATGGCCTGTAGACAACCACATGGCCTGTAACGTACTCACATGGCCTGTAGATGCCCACATGGCCTGTAGACAACTGCATGGCCTGTAGACAACTGCATGGCCTGTAATGTACTCGCATGGCCTGTAGGCAACCACATGGCCTGTAAGGTACTCACATGGCCTGTAGATGCCCACATGGCCTGTAGACAACTGCATGGCCTGTAATGTACTCGCATGGCCTGTAATGTACTCGCATGGCCTGTAGACGACAACATGGGCTCTAGACAATGACATGGCCTGTAGACAACCACATGGCTTGTAGGTACTCACATGGCCTGTAGGTACTCACATGGCCTATAGAAGACCACATGGCCTGTAGACACCAGATATGATATGGTGTGTAAAGGGCCCAGATATGATATGGTGTGTAAAAGGCCCGGATATGATATGGTGTGTAAAGGGCCATGATATGATGTGTAAAGGGCCCAGAAATGATATGGTGTGTAAAAGGCCCGGATATGGTGTGTAAAGGGCCCAAATATGATATGGTGTGTAAAGGGCCCGGATATGATATGGTGTGTAAAGGGCCCGGATATGATATGGTGTGTAAAAGGCCCGGATATGATATGGTGTGTAAAGGGCCCAGATATGATATGGTGTGTAAATGGCCCGGATATGATATGGTGTGTAAAGGGCCCGGATATGATATGGTGTGTAAAAGGCCCGGATATGATATGGTGTGTAAAAGGCCCGGATATGATATGGTGTGTAAAAGGCCCGGATATGATATGGTGTGTAAAGGGCCCAGATATGATATGGTGTGTAAAAGGCCCGGATATGATATGGTGTGTAAAGGGCCCAGATATGATATGGTGTGTAAAAGGCCCGGATATGATATGGTGTGTAAAAGGCCCGGATATGCTGTGTAAAGGGCCCAGAAATGATATGGTGTGTAAAGGGCCCGGATATTGTGTGTAAAGGGCCCGGATATGATATGGTGTGTAAAAGGCCCGGATATGATATGGTGTGTAAAGGGCCTTGATATGATATGGTGTGTAAAGGGCCTGGATATGATGTGGTATGTAAAGGACCTGGATATGATATGCTGTGTAAAAGGCCTGGATATGATATGGTGTGTAAAAGGCCCGGATATGATGTGTAAAGGGCCCAGAAATGATATGGTGTGTAAAGGGCCCGGATATTGTGTGTAAAGGGCCCGGATATGATATGGTGTGTAAAAGGCCCGGATATGATATGGTGTGTAAAGGGCCTTGATATGATATGGTGTGTAAAGGGCCTGGATATGATGTGGTATGTAAAGGACCTGGATATGATATGCTGTGTAAAAGGCCTGGATATGATATGGTGTGTAAAGGGCCCAGATATGATGTGGTATGTAAAGGACCTGGATATGATATGCTGTGTAAAAGGCCTGGATATGATATGGTGTGTAAAGGGCCCAGATATGATGTGGTATGTAAAGGGCCCGGATATGATGTGGTATGTAAAGGGCCCAGATATGATATGGTGTGTAAAAGGCCCGGATATGATATGGTGTGTAAAGGGCCCGGATATGATGTGTTGTGTAAAGGGCCCGGATATGATATGGTGTGTAAAGGGCCCGGATATGATGTGGTATGTAAAGGGCTCGGATATGAAATGCTGTGTAAAGGGCCCAAAATGGAGTTATTCATAGGTTAATTATTATCAAGTCCATCAAATAATTCATACTCTGTAATGACTGTAAGGCTCATGTGTAACATTGACTGCTAGCTTCAGCCACAGCTTTTGACTCCAGACCACCACAAAGTGCTGTATGAGATAGCCATAGGTGGATTGGACTGTACGACAAGCAGGTAGCTTGTACAGTAGGTCGCAAGCTGTGCAACTTGAAATAGATGGTACTGCAGAAATAATCAATATGCAACAAGCACCTGCCGCTCTTGTGTAGGGACCGTTATTGGAGAGAACAACACAACAGTACTGAGAGAACTCAGGTTCATGATGTAATGCTTCACACAATACACTTTCACTGAAATGAAAATCCTTTACTTTGAACATGGAGATTATTCTTCCTACAGCATTTCCAGAGTGTGTCTGATAAACATATCAGTAAGCTAAATGGGTGAGGAAGTCCTTGTTATGCTCGCTGTTGTTAAATCAACAAGACAGACCATATCAGAAGGAACCAGTATTTATTACCAGCACCAGGCTGTTTCAAGTACTGCTTGTAGAGATGTGACAGTTGTGAATACTGTCTGCATGTCAGTGTTGTATATATGCTATATATCCTGGGAATGTTGTATTTAGCCAACCATCTGCATTCACAGTAAAGCCCTCCTGTAGGGATTGCATCATTTTCCCTCTCCTCCATGCATGTGTATATACCAGGCCTTGTGATACTGCTCGTTATCACCTGTGGCAGTGCATCTGTACCACAATGTATCATGTATCTAAGAATGGAGCTGCATAGTTAATCATGGTTGTGGTTTCTACAATGTAATGCCTGCATTGCACGATGTTTTACATGACATCTTTCCTTTTATAGCCTTTTATTTTTGTCACCCTTCTCACAATTCTACTGTGTGCAATTACATCTCAATTTTTGCTTTCTTTTAGTTGAGGGGATGTAGCTACTGTGCAGACTGTTCATTCAATGCAATGTTATTCAATGAGTGGCTGCATCCCGTGTTTGTTCCTGTTTTGTTTCTCCTTTTACTATTTTATGTTTGCCCCTTTCCAGGATGTATCGTTATCTTAATGGAGTGTCGCTATCGCGGTGAGTTTTTTTCCCCTTGCCATATCTATGTGTTTATGCTACATACCCCATGGGTGTTATCAAGCCTTTACAATTCTCAATCTCACTCTCCAAAATTATTGTTTTAAGTGTTCTATTGATATTCTTAAATTACTCCCAGAAATTCAGAATATGTGATTTTTTTTTTTTCAAATTTAAATTTGTTCTTCTTTATTCTAAAACTTGTATTTCGGCTTCTGTGCCAAAATGCTTTCTGTCTTTGCTTTGACTATCATGTATTGAAGCTTTGCTGTGAAAGTCTTCTGTAGATATTGGAATCAATGCATGGAGATGAAAATTGTAAAGGTTGGCTGGGACATGCATGACCGAGCGCACACAGACAGGGCTGTTGACCTATGCCATGTTCTCGATGTCCATGGTTGATGGATCTTGCATATTTAATGCTTTTTGATCATATTGCCGGGGAAAAAGCGTGATCTTATGTTACAGATATATCTTAACGTATGCATCTATTGATATTACAGGAATGAAATATCCATTCTGTTTCTCTTCAGTAAAACCAAAATATCAACCAGTTTGCATCTTCTATTATCCAGGGTGTGATATATCTTTATTCTATTATAATAAACACCCTACACCCATTTTCCACCTTTGCTTTGTTTCGGTAGTGACGTCGCCATCGCCATCGCTTTTTCCACTAACTTAGACTTTCTGTTGCTCATGAGAGTAAATTTGATTGAATAGCTATTTTTAGCATCATCATCTAAGTTGTATCGGAGCTATTATGGTGGATGGAACCAGGGTGTTTATAATAATAGAGTGGAGATTCAGTATACTGGATAACCGAGGGTCACCACTTAACTGCCTTTGCTGCCATGTGCAGTGTTGGAAAATAATCTTTAATATGCAAATTATCATTTGATTAATTGTTTTGAAACATGAATTTGCAATTTATTCATGTAAATGAACTCTGGGCCATGTGGCCTTCATTCATGAATAAACTTCTTCTTCTTTGCAAAAGACATTTTAGATAAAATTTAACGTTTACCTGTCAATCCATTTGTTTGAAACGTTAATTAACAGATGAAAAGAGGATAAAACAAACGAATTGGCCCACTAAGTTGTGAGGTGGATCTGCAGAGAAACAGAAACTAGCGAAGCATGTGAGTGTTGGGAGTGGTTGTCCATGTATGTTGGAACCTGATTAACCCTTGTACTGTCAGTAGAGCACTATGGTAACCCTTCTACCCCTGAATGCTCATGGTAAGTTTCAGCTGTACTTTGGCTGTTTAAGTGACCCTTTGACTGATCGAAGTAAGCCTGGGTTGTTAATCGTTTAACAGTTATGAGGGCAGTAAGATAATCATATTCCTGATAATTGGCTGATTTGGGTGATCTTGTTACTGTTGATTAATCCCTGTGGGAGCCCTTCACTGGACGGGGCCACAAAGTAGCTGCTGTTGGTTCCGTAGAATAAGTCTGATTGGTAGACTTCATTCGGTAGTGTATCTTGCCCATGGAATATACCAGCCACCTTTGATTATGTCCCAGGGTTTGTCCCTGTTGTGAACTGACACCTCTAATGGCCCAGTGGGATAATACTTATACTGCCCTTGTAACCTAAAGAGTCCATTATGTCCTGTGTGTCCTGGGGTGCTGTGGCAGTGTTTATGAGTGCTTTGGTCATCCAAGACTGGCAGTTGGTGAATACGATCCTATATACTGACCCACCTACAGTATCCATTGTATCCCCTTCCTTGATGGCATTAAATTGCCATCATGTTTTATTCTTCTTCTGAAATGAGTGTTTATTATTTTCTGCTTTTACAGAGTACTACAGTGATTTATAACATAACTTCATATGAGTTTAAGCCAGTTATTTGCTTTAGTATAGAATAGTTATGTTAAATAGAAACATTGTACTGTCCATGTTTATGGGATTAACCCTGGTGTGGGGCAAGGTTAACTATATATGCTGTATATGTGGGTCAAGGTTATGTTCCACCCGTCAAGGTGGGAATTAGGTTTCAGCTTCCTTGTGTTGGAGGTGAACGTTATGTTCACTTGTATTTACATTAACATCATGTGATCAGCTGTCTGCCTGGGTTGTTTCTATCAATATATAATCTTGTTTATTTTGTCAAATTGCCTTCATCACCACAATTCTCATCCTCATCATTTCATGAGTATTGGAAATGGCTGATGCTGAAGTCACTTCCTTTCCCTCCCCCCTCATCCTTAACTACGTCTTGCTTTTAATAGCTGAAATTCATTCTGCTTCTCCAATCCCTCACATAATCAAACTTGTCCTCCTTATCACTGCCTTCACCGTCATCTTGCTGATGCATTGTCCATCTTGCCTATTCATACTACTACTTCATCAGCAGCAGCAGGGGTGGGGTATCTTTGTGGTTAAAGCGTTCGCTCATCATGCCCATGGCCTGGGTTTGATGCCACCACATTAATACAATGTGTGAAGTCCCATGTCTTGTGTCCCCTGCCATGGTATTGCTGGAATAAAAGTGGTGTCAAACCATCTTCACTCACGCATTATCATCATCTTGATGTATTCTCAGTTCCACACCTGTTTATACCACACCCATCTTCACCACCACCATCACCACCACCATCACCACTACCATCACCACTACCAATACCAACACTACCACCAACACTACCACCATTAGCATGTGATGAACACAATGATTTGTTGGTACTTACAGGTGTAATGTGAGCATATCCTTACTTTGATCATGGCCAAGTAGTGTTTGCTCTGTGGGTTGGGGTACATAGTGAGAGGGTCATTATCATCTCAGTATCATCATCATCATCATCATCATCATCACCACCATCACCATCAATTATATTCTCAGTATCATCATCATCATCGTTGCCATCACCATCTTCATCATCACCATCATACTTATATTCCTCATCATATTCTCAGTATCATCATCATCATCATCATCATCATCATCATCAATCAATAGCACATCATCATAGTCATCGTCGTTCTTATTTAATTTGTGTTTTCATTTATGAAGTAAGAATGTCCCCTATCTATTTCAGCCAAAGTGTTTATTGGTGTGCTGTTGTGCTTTGATTACTGACAACATTGCTGTGAATGTGGCGAATCCTTAGTGTTCAAACCATATTGATTCTGTGTGTCCATGGAATCCTTTAAGCTGTTAGGATTCAGTGTTCCAGATGCCAACATTATATGCAAAATGCTGTAGTTATTCATTGCCCTAACAAATGAAGAGTTTTCATGAGGAGCTGTCATTTCATTGCCATGCTGACAGGAATGCACCTCCTTCCATTCCCCTCAATTCAGGCTTGGCAATAAAATATGAAGTTTCATGTACTACCAAGATGCAGGTAATAACGTAGGGCCTCAAAATTACGGACATTTTCTTGAGAGAGAACAATTCTCTTAGAACTTTCTGAATTAGACTGATGTGAACTTTTATAAATTAAACTGTTGTATTTGGAACGTAAATAATCTACAATAATGGAAACTTTGGTTTGTCTTTGGAATGTAGATAAATTGATACAAAAGGTTTTTTTATTGACCATGCATACAAAATCTACTTATTTTGCATTTGGTTCTCATTGGCTGTGATAAATTTTTGATAAAATAACAAAATAAGAACATGCCAAATGAAATGTTTTCATAAAGATCTCAGTTGAACATAAGTTCCTCAGTGTGACCTAATTTCCATGAACACATTGAACCACTTTCGAATTGGAGGGTTAATGAACAGTTTCTACACTAGTCCTAACCATGAACTACGTACCAGCTGACATGTTCAGCATTGTGGAACAGCTGCTCGGGATTTGCCATGTGAGGGAAGTTAGCAGGGTAACAAATTTAATGATACGTTTACATTAAAACTCCATTTGTAATCCTTTTCAGCTCATGAAATCCTGTTTAATGTCAATATCTATTTAGAAAAAAAGTATTTTAAGAATATATTTTTTTTGGGTGTTCATATTTTATTACTGAAAAAAATAAGGAAATTGATCTTTTGAAGATGTTATTCAATAGATGTAGATTTTTTTTTTTTAATTTGAGAAACAATATTGGGTAAAGCGTGTACAGTTTACTGGATGCGCTGGCTAACTATTGTCTGCTGTGTGTTTTGCTAATTGATACACTCACAGCTATGCCAGTCTTGTTGGCCAGGCACCAGTGGAATGTCTGGCAGTCTCCACTGCGGGATGGGAACTCGGTTTGTGCTGTTGTCGTGTTCGTGAGGGTGCTGTGTACGCCTACAGGAATGGAAGTCGTAAGGAGATGAAGGAATATCAACAATGTAATGCTAATTAATGTGTATGTGTCAGCTTAGACCTCATGCATATTGGTTCTGTGGACATTGTTTGAATCATCAGTGTGAAGTGATAGAAGCATGTGTTTGGCAGCTATAGTAGGATATAGGTCGATTTACATTTACATATATATGAAGCTATGTAATATATACGTAGTTTGAAGTATGTGTTTTACATTAATATGTCAGCCAAAATTTTACATATAAATGTAGCTATTCTAATATACTTTGAAAATAAGTTTTACATCAACATGATCAATGTGTAATTAACCTTTACATATATGTAGCTCTTTGAATGCACTTTTAATTATGACAGATTTTCAGATTTAGTGTCTCAATAAGAGTTTATATTTGCATTCCACGTGAATGTGTGTGTGCATGCGTTGTATGTAATAGGTGTACAGATGTTTCAGAACATAGTTTACAGTTGGCATGCATGAGATCCTGTAAATAACATCTTAAATGGAGGCAAAAGCATCATGGACGACATTTACTTGTTTGAATGTGCGATCAGCACTTATGAAATATCTTTTGTTTGATCTAGATATCACCACCCAGAGTTTCTGATGGTTATTTCTTGCAAGTTTCAGCCTGTTTAGGGAAAATGGACTGAAGATGTTGACAGAGGGATCCAATAGCCAATGCTGATCACAATGGGGGAAATCTTTGGGCTGGGCTCAATGTTTTTTGTTTATTTTACAGAACCAACTCGGATTCAGCCCTGCATACAAGTGCCATGGCCCCCATCGACAACATTCATCCCAACACACCCCCAACACATCGTAGAAGTAAGTTCAGAGAGACAGGGAGTGAATGTTGTTTTAGGCCAGAAAGCATTATTCCAGCGTTGTCATGGCAGTTTGTAAGAAGTGAGGCCAGACAAATGTGACACACAAGCAGCCATACAATGCAATCATTCTATCCTTATATGTTAATGACAAGAGTCTAGGCCAGACAAGCAGGCCATACCATGCAATCATTCTATCCTTATATGTTAACAACGAGTCTAGGCCAGACAAGCAGGCAATACCGTGCAATAATCCAATCCTTGTATGTTAATAACGTGTCTAGACCAGACAAGCAGGCCATACCGTGCAATCATCCAATCCTTGTATGTTAATAACAAGAGTCGAGTCCAGACAAGCAGGCTGTACAGTGCATTGATCCAATCCTCATGTCTGGGCCTTGAAAACCAAAGGTCACAGCATGAGCACTGCCAAGCTGTGGGTGATGACACAATCAGCCAGCTCGTGCACTGTAATACAGTCAAGTCTCGTTTATCCTACATTTGTTAATCCGACAATTGGCTTTATAAGACACTAATGATGGGAACCGATTAAATCAGTGCTATTTAAACCCGTTAATCCGACATTCTCGCACTCCGACTCCGACACACCTAATTTACAACGAATTACCGAAATCACTCATTAATCACTCTCGTTAATCCGACACAGTGATCAGCGTACTCCGTGGTCATCTGCCCGCGAATACACAGCCCGTGTTTTGATGCGAGACGAATCGGCTGGTAGCTGCATATTACAACAGCTGCAGAGATAAACTTGCTTAACAATAAACAATTAATGCTTTGAATAAAGAAAACAGGATAAATCACATGCTTAGATTACCTCAATCTTATTAAAATCAGATACAAGTTCTCGCTATCGACGAGGACATCCCATTACATGTCACGTCAGAACATCCTTTCGCGAACTATGACCTACCAATGAAATGACCAACAGGAAGTTGACGTTAGCCACTTAGAAAGCAGCTTTCTTAAGCTTTAGGTACCGGTTTCAAAGTTGCGACTTCCATTCCAGACTATGCTTTTAAAAGGATTTTGAATAAGTCATACAGTCCGTAACAGTTGTTTTGTGTTAAACTTTAGAGGTTGCTTGATTAGAAAACATATTCCGCCAACAATGTAACATTACAATATGAATATTTATTTTATATTTTTTATTGTTTGAAACTTATCTATCATGTAGTTGTCCTATTTTTGATCACGAACGTTGTAACTACTACATTTCGTTTATCCGACATACTCGTTAATCCGACATATAATCATATGCAACCATCGATGTTGGATTACCGGGACTTGACTGTATGTATACAGCAGGGTACATGTGCCCAGGTCTCTAAGTAGCTGCAAGTTGTTGTGAAGAGCTCCATCTCCTAAATGTGCCAGAAACGTATGGTCATCGTTTAGATTCCACAATTTTCCAGATAATGTTTCCATCTTTGTCAGAACTTATCCTGCGTGTAGGTTTTTACCAAAGTGGTGAACATTTAAGATCTGCATCCCATGTCAGGCTTCCTTCCCACATCAACCGAACATGCCATGCAATGTATGAAATATTTTCTATCGCGGCCTTAAACCAGACTCATCAATCATTCCTGTAAGTAATATGCCTTGGCCAGACAATTGTTAATATTGTGAGCTGGGATCCAAGGTGTAAGCCCCACACCCTTCTAACCAATGTCAGATGCAGTTATAAAGTGTCGTAATACCCCACATCCTCCTGTAACCAATGTCAGGTGCAGCTATAAAGTGTCGTAATACCCCACACCCTCCTGTAACCAATGTCAGGTGCAGTTATAAAGTGTCGTAATACCCCACACCCTCCTGTAACCAATGTCAGGTGCAGTTATAAAGTGTCGTAATACCCCACACCCTCCAGTAACCAATGTCAGGTGCAGTTATAAAGTGTCATAATACCCCACACCCTCCTGTAACCAATGTCAGGTGCAGTTATAAAGTGTCATAATACCCCACACCCTCCTGTAACCAATGTCAGGTGCAGTTATAAAGTGTCATAATACCCCACACCCTCCTGTAACCAATGTCAGGTGCAGTTATAAAGTGTCGTAATACCCCACACCCTCCAGTAACCAATGTCAGGTGCAGTTATAAAGTGTCATAATACCCCACACCCTCCTGTAACCAATGTCAGGTGCAGTTATAAAGTGTCATAATACCCCACACCCTCCAGTAACCAATGTCAGGTGCAGTTATAGAGTGTCATAATACCCCACACCCTCCTGTAACCAATGTCAGGTGCAGTTATAAAGTGTCGTAATACCCCACACCCTCCTGTAACCAATGTCAGGTGCAGTTATAAAGTGTCGTAATACCCCACACCCTCCTGTAACCAATGTCAGGTGCAGTTATAAAGTGTCGTAATACCCCACACCCTCCTGTAACCAATGTCAGGTGCAGTTATAAAGTGTCGTAATACTCCACACCCTCCTGTAACCAATGTCAGGTGCAGTTATAAAGTGTCGTAATACCCCACACCCTCCTGTAACCAATGTCAGGTGCAGTTATAAAGTGTCGTAATACCCCACACCCTCCAGTAACCAATGTCAGGTGCAGTTATAGAGTGTCATAATACCCCACACCCTCCTGTAACCTATGTCAGATACAGAAACAGAGTGTTGTCGTAATACCCTGTTGTGTATGTATAAAAGATATAATACCATGACCAGTATCGATCCACAGACTCTCTACTTTATCAGTGCCAATATAATTACCTCCCTTGTTTGCTCTCTTGTGCGTGAGATCGTTATGTAATAAAAAGACTGCATGGTTTTTCACCCGCCATTGATTTGGGTTGGTTATTGAAAACTAAATGTATACACCAGTGTAAACGAAACATACCCCACACCCTCCTGTAACCCATGTCATGTAACTTGTGAAGTGTCATAAAACCCCAAGCCTTCCTTTGCTCAACTAGATCAACAGAAGCGCTATCAGATGCCCCCACCAATACTGTACACATTAATATAGTCAGCAGTTATTATTGATTTGAATACATTATCCAGGATTTTATATAATCTTAGCTGTTTTACCATGTGCTGCCCAGCTGATCATTCGCTAGTGAAAGTATCTGTCACAAAATGTTGCAAAGTAAGAATACCGAATTTGAAATTCACAATCTCTGGGTCAACAGAACTATATAGTGTCAGGGTACTCCCTGTGGATGTAGGAACACATTTGTTTGTCACGGGTCAACGACACAAAACCCTGGCCATCTCAAGTACTTATTTAGTAAAAATATCGTGAAAAACATAATTTCAAGATTGCTGGCAGTGTTTTCATGAAGTAAAAAATTCCTCAGACTGATAAATGCTTCAGAAGATTTGTTCCAGAAAGCAGCCATGTTAGCTGTGAGGTCCTCTGAGTAGTGCCACTTTGTAACTTCCTGTGTTTGATTGGCTAATGTTTGCTACTAAAAAAGAAGCAAAACTCTGCGCCTTATGATGCTACTTGAAGTGATGGAAGCAGCACGATTTGAATGGAGGGCATCAGGCTTCAATTATGTGCAGGCTCTCCTGAGGAATTTTATGTCTCAGTTGCTCCTTGTTAGATTATTAGATGAAACACACCTCGAACCTTTGTTAATGCTGTTGAAGACAAACCAAATAAGGCCTTACAAACTTCAGTGCTAATTGCCCTGTATAGTTTTGGTGTCTGCATTGTGTTGGCTGGTAACCAGTACCTCTGAATACCTCTGACGCTGGAGTACTGAACAGAAACACAATGAAAATGACTTCTGAGAAATAATTGTGTTTTAATTCCCCTTTGATTTCCTATAGCGAGTTATTTTCTTGTTCTGATAGATGTCTGCATGTAGTATGGCTCTGCAGTTCCTCTGACACTGTGTATAACACTGTATATAACACTGTATATTACACTGTAGAACACTTCAGGGACAAACTGGATACACCAATTGGCTGCAACAATTACAGAATGACTCACTACATGATTGACAGGGAACCCCAGTTCATTTGACTGTAGTCTATCTGTCATGGATAGTGTCATGGTTAGTGTCATGGATAGTGTCATGGTTAGTGTCATGGATAGTGTCATGGATGTCGTCATGGTTGGTGTCATGGATGGTGTCATGGATAGTGTCACGGTTAGTGCCATGGATAGTGCAACACACTGCCTTCAACTTTACCTTCTTTTGAGTGGTATGTGTTTGCCTACCTACGAAGTTTTGGGAGACACACTGTTTGGTGCCTTTGGTTACAGCCTTGGATCTAGTGAATATGTGTATGCCACAACAATGTTTCAAGTGTTTTTCTTCAAATTTGATTGGGGGCACGGGTGGCACAGTTAGCTGTGCAGAGTTGCATCCCGTTGATTCACCCCGTTGATTCACCCCAATTATGTTTCTAGGTTTGTCAGCACCATACCTGTGCTCGAGGGTTTTACCAAAGTGGTAAACGTCTGAGACCTGCATCACTTCAGGCTTTCCTCCAACATTAAGCTGGTCTGCAGTTTTAAAACTGGAATACTGTTCAAAACAGTGTTAAACCCAACTCGCTCACTCACTCACCCAAACTTTGATTATAGAATATGCCATTTTCTTCCCCAGTTGCTGAAGTAGCTGGCCAGAATATGGGCGATGGGGGATACTGGGATCCCAAGAAGGTATGTTGACAATTGATGGTGGTGGTGAACTGACTAGCAGTCCCTGCTGACTTTCCCATGTCCTTGGTTAGTCATCCGCTCTGTTAACCTGATCTGTAGCCGCTGAAAGTATCTTTGTAGTCTCGGTCTGCAGATTGCAATCTGGGATCAAGAAGAACTTCTCAATGGCTTCCTGGCAAGATTACAAAAGCCTTTTTTTCAAACACCAGTCTCATCCACCATGTTGTTTGTACTTGTGGTGCGGGTTGTGTTGTCAATTATGATTGGGAGAGATTTGGTGCATTTTAGATACAACATGTTGAGGTTCCTAGCTTGTGTGTATTTTGGGAAATATTGATGTAAAAAAAATAATTGGGTGTTTGTTTTCATTTGTATTTTATGGAATTGTTTTGCTATGCTTTTCACAATAATTGCACAATATAAGGCGGGGAACTTGACTACGTTTTTTTGCATTTTTACTTGTTCTCCACAACTGCTCAATACATTGAACTGAAATTGTGTCCCTGACCAAAAGGGGGTTTAACTTTGTTAAAAGTATTAAAATTGAATATGAATTATTTTCCACAAATTTGCAATAGAATCTAAATTAGCCTTTTTTTCTCAAGGGTACAAAGTGAAGCATTGTATGTGTCATAGTTACAATAAGTTGTTGCCAACATTATGATTGGTTATCAACTACGTAGATAGAGATGATTTTGCAAAAACGATTGTTTTGCGAATTAAATTTTGCCAGATTTTGAATAAGAGATTTTTTGGTGAAAGAAGGACAAACCAAGCAGTAAAGCTGAAACCTTTCACAGAAGATCCTGTGAATGATTATGTCCCCTGGCTACCAAATCCACTGGTCTTGTGTTGAATCCAAGATTTGCCCCAATTATATCCCTAGGTCGGTGGCCACCATACTCTTGATTATGGTGTACCTCACATAGGCCCTCCCTACTTGAGCTGACTGTAGGTGATACTAAGCTGATATACCCAAATGACTGACTCACGCCTTGTGTAGATATTTTGACTCTGTTGCTCTTGTTCTTCAGCTTGCACAATCTCGGCCAAAGTCATGTGAAGTACCCAACATTAAGTGAGTACTGTCAGTTTACTTGCTTTGTTTTTTTGTTTGTTTGTTTGTTTGTTGTTAAATGCTGCACTCAGCAATATTCCAGCTATATGACAGCAGTCTGTAAATAATTGAGTCTGAACCAGACAATCCAGTGATTGACATCATGAACATTGATCCACGCAATTGGGATGCGATGACATGCATCAACCAAATCAGCGAGTCTGACCACCCGATCCCGATAGTCGCCTCTTACAACAAGCATAGTCACCTGTTGCGGCAAGCATGGGTTACTGAAGACCTATTCTCCACCTGGATCTTCACCGGTCCTAGATAATGGCAGTCCCAGAGAGTGAAATGTTGCCGCATCTCACCATAAAATGATTTAAAAGATGGTACTTGTTGTTACCCTGCCTTTACTCGGCGTAAGGGGGATAAAGCAAGTCAGTATGTGTATCTGAGTCTGGCATCCACGTGGAAGGGTATCTTAGTGGGTTCACACTATAGAACTAGCATAAGTCCAGACTAGTACAAGCAGTGTGCACATCACTATATAAGTGGAATATCTTGAACTTGACCTGACCTATTCATATGCGGCATTGACTATTTCTTTGTAATTGGCTTACTGGCGAAACATGAGTGCCAACATCTGTTAAAAGGGAACCTGTTATTAAAAAATGCAACTTAATTTTTATGTCTACATGCACCAAGTGCAAGTAAGACAATTCAAATTTGTGTCTTACTAATTCTTACTTGTCCACACAACAACCGTCTTTGAACCCACTCAATTCCTCTAAGGTATATGTACCATCTAGTACATAACTAATTGCTGTATTGTGTGTAATTCATGACACGTGAGATCTGAGATTGTCCTTATTTAGTCAAGTTTATGCATCTATGTTTCAACTTTGACAAACCTGGTTTTGTCTGATGTCAACATGCACCTGGTGCAAATTAAGTCAAGTTCCTTAAATCGAGCCCTGAGTTCATGATTACCCTAAACCAGTGTCTCAATTTAGACTCAAGTCACTAACTAAGCATCTAGATTTGGACAGGCAATTGGCCCCTGGCCGTGGATAATAGGCTTCCTTATTGCTCTAGGACTGAGGCAAAGGAGAAGGCAGAGCCTTCATTTTCAAGGCTTTTTCGCTTTGGGTTACAGCATTTACTTATGTTGAAGAAATGTGTTTGGTTCTGCACATGAGTTCAACTTCTAAAGCAGTGTATTCCACTGGTTCGTCTGCTCCAGACTCTGCAGTCAAAGAGTGTTTGATCATTCAGAAAATGAAATATTGATTAAATTTACATATTTTGAGCTGTTCTCTATTTTTGCAGCATTTACCCATCACAAGAACAAGATTCAGGGGCTCCTCACATACCCATCTCAAACAACACTGGGTCGCTACCCGACCTCACCGTGCTCAACTTCCCATCACCCATGGCAACGCCGCTGGACGTTGAACCACAAGACTATCAGCAACAAGGTAGCCCAGTCAACCTCTCCCCAACCAGTCTCAATCACATGACCATGTCGCCACAGCAACAACATGTCGCCAGCCAACAGAGTCCTGGGCAGCGACGTCGTCATGCGCAAGGAGTTCCTAGTCCACTTGTGCTCAGTAATACCAATCAGATGAGGATACCCCTCTCACCACCAGTAAGTACTCCTGTAAAGTGATGTCTGCTTTCAGAGGTTGACCGTCTGCTCTCAATATAGAGGTCATAGTTCTACTCTGTAAAAAGTTATTTGAAAAAAAAATGATTTGAACCAGAGCTGTCTCTATAAGAAAAGAAAAATTATCAATCAAGTCATGTTAAGACGAATAGTGAACCTTTTGATGGTGACTAGTACTTAGTAGTGTGTTCTCTTGAGAGCAGATGGAATGTCTGATTATTGTCTGTTGTGATGTTGGGCTGATACTGTGCGTCAAGTGTAGCTTTGTATCTAGACAAGTTAGACCAGTAGAAATTCTTCCCTGTGACTGTCTACGATTTGAGCACACAGCTCGAAAAACACTCCGAATTAGTTGCAAGGCGAGTGTTTTCCGACCTGCTAGACTGTGAATTTGGGTGTGATGTGTAGCAGCATGATGTTCTGAGATAGATATGACCATTGTCATAACAAACCCTCTAGCACCAAATTGGGGAAACGTTGCTCATATAGCCAGTGGAAAATTGGTTTAACAGGTTATGAATGTAAGTGTTTGTAACCTTTAAGACTGGGAGACTTGTTAAGATACTTTAAAACATGTAAGATAGATTAATAATTTCTGAAAATATATTTCCCTTTCAGTAACATTTATGGCATAAATCATGGATAGAAAGTGTTCGTGTTTTTCAGTCCTTCAATTATGTAAATAACAATAATTATTATGATAATTATGATGATTAATTTATGAAGCGCCTGGCTTCCAACTTGAGAAGGGCAGCCGTGTAGCCTAGTGGTTAAAGCGTTCGCTTGTCATGCCGATTCCCGACATGGGCACAACGTGTGAAGCCAATTTCTGGTATTCCCTGCTGTGATATTGCTGGAATATTGCTAAAAGCAGTGTAAAACCAACCTCACACACTCACTCCAACTTAAGAGATGCTCAGTGGCGATGTTACAGAGGTGTAAAAGGGGAGAAAGGGAGGTCTAGTCTCTAAGGCAATTACGTTCTTGAAACAAATGAGTCTTAAACAGTTTTCAGAAGTGGTCACAGTTGTCTGAGCTGGTTTTATGGGGAGGGGAAGAGAAAAATTTGAATATAGTTGAATAAGGACTAAACATGGGTAGAAATAGATTATTAATCATCAATAGTTAGTTAACGATAGATTTGTTTGTGATGATAGTGATGATATGTTTCACACAGCTGACTGAAAGGTTGTCTGGCATAATTCTGCATATTGAATAATATACTTACATCAGTACATGTACACAAACAGGCAGCCTTACTGACATATGGAAAGCAGGTTCATTGCTTTCTTCTGTAGAGATATCTTGCATGACCATACACATATTAATAATATTCATATAATTATCAAATACCTGTTTACCTATATATGCTATTGTATCTAATAATACTTTGAACAAATATGATTTTGTGTGTTTTTAATTTCTTTTTGACGAGGATTTATATTGACTGAATAAGAAATTGCTTTCCAAATTTTCTTACTCTTTTGAATTATCCAATTGAAGGCTAATGCATTACTGAAATATCCGAAGTCCCATGTTTGTATGAACTTAAATTTGATTAAATATTTTGGTTCTAAAGGGTGCATGTTAGCCGCTGACAAGTGTTTTAGATTCTTGTGTTCCCCTTGCCTAAGTATGTGACTGATGTGCTTCCTCTTTTTTATTTCAAGTCTGTTGTTTTCGAGTTGCTTCAGTTTGAGTTCCTCAGTTGTGTGTTTTTGTGACTGCATTTGGTTGTAGGTTGGCAATATGGACCCCAGTAAGTTAAGTGTGGATCCCCGAATACGTCAGCAGTATCTGTTGTATATGCACCAGCAGCAGCAGCAGCGTCACCGAGCACCCAACTCCTCCTCTGCCCAGGCTGCTGCTCCTCCACACCCTGTATACAATAACCACCACCCTCACCCACAACAACAGTCGCAAACATCTCCGCAACAGCAGCAGCAGCAGCAGCCGCACTCGCCGCACCATCACGTACCGCAGGTGCATATTACATCATGTGAACATGAACAGCAATCACAGGTCAGTATCAACTCCCCTGATGAGCAGACGCTGTCGGCACCATTTTGAACCCTTCCAAAAAGTTAATATTAGATACACTTTTCCTTCTACTTAAGCTCATGAAATCATGCCACATTTTCAAAATGTGAAAATTAAGAGGAAATAATTTCTGAAAGAAAAATTTATTGAGAAACTGTTCTTGAATTCCTTCTTTTAGATTATGCTATTAACTTAAGGTGTGGCTTATTAATTCACAAAGAACATAGTGAGCATAAAGTCCATCAGAGATACATAGAAGAAAACAAGAATCCATCTTAGAACTTTGATAAAAAATTATCTAGGAAATATCCCTGGAAACATACCTATGTACTTGTGAACATTTTTAGATCCATATTTTGGAAATTCATTTTTGGCTAGTTGATCATGTAAGTGCAGCAATTTCTTGCTGAATACCATGTCAAACTATGGTATACCTTGGTCAGTTCATGGGGGTAGGAAATGGAATAGAACAATCTAACAGGAAGAAAAGACACAACCTGTCTGTACCAACTGATGTTGGACAAAGGTATTTAGTGACATGTTCAATGTGCTGTGTGCAGTGTCTGTGTGATGGGCCTGTTATCAGGGCTGGTGGCAGGTTGGACATTTGCCATGTGTTACAGTGTTGATGTGTAGACATGCATGGCGTGAGACTGCCAGGATGTAGGTTGTAGTGGTGGTTCAGCAGGGTTGTGCATGGATGTCTTGTCTTTACTTGGTTTACGATGTGGTACTCATCCTGACATGTGTGACTCTGTTGTAATATAAACATGTTAGTGTAAGACCTTTTCATGGCTCCATACAACCAGGAGTTGTTTTTGATAATTGTGTCCTGGTATTATAGATATTTTTCTATTTGCTGCTTATGTTAAAGGTAAGTCACAGAATCTCAGAAATTAAAGAGCAGCACATGTTTGATGATCTATTCAATTTAAGCTTCAAATTCATGTTACTATATAGATGTAATACTCTTCCTAAAGGGATATTATTACTTCCTGGGCTAAGTCAAGTGCAAGATTTGTCTCCCTTGGCAATACCAGGATCAGCTGGTCATGGGTTTCAGTTGGGTGTTGGTCCCAGTCATGATCCTGGTTTGTCCGCACAACAGACGTGCTTGTGGGTGGCATCAAGGTGGTACTTGTCTATGGCATGCGCCACTGTAGGCTTTCCCACAACATTTAGCTGACACGCTGTGGTAGGCACCAAAAGAAACTGTGCACATAAGATCATATGCACAATTTATTTCGGTGCCCCATTAAGTTTTTGTTTAAATACAAGTTTTATCGTTATATGGTTAAAATATTGAAAACATTAATGCTATTTATTATACTTTTATGTGAAACTGTAAATATAGTGGATAATGTCCATATGGGTTCTACAGTTAATTTTTGATATGGCACAGTAGTAGTAAGTGTAGTAACTACATCGAAGTCCCCTTCCTTTTTATCTCCTGCAACATGTTTTGTGGGGCTGTTAAAATGGACACAGTCAGTTCGTCCGTCTGTTCATGCAAGATGTCATTTCCGTAGCAGATCTTGATAAAAATACAATATTTCCTCATGAAACTTGGCACATAGATAGGTCTTGTGGTAAAAGGGTGCCTTTTGATAGTTTGGGTTTTTTAACAAAATATTTTTTTAGTTTCCTTGTCAACAACTTTGACTTATGCAGGAAATGGCACTAGAGCTTGTTTCCGGATCAGATCTTAACAAATGTACAATATTTCTTCTCCTAAATGTTCACACAGATAGGTCTGGTGGTGAACTGGTGCTTTTGAAAGTTTTGGATTTTTGACAAAATATATATTTTGAGTTTCCATGGCAACAACTTAGACTTAGGCTGGTAATGGCAGTAGTGCTCGTTTGCTGGGCAGATCTTGAAAACCGTAAAATAGTTTTTCACCAAACTTGGCACATAGATAGGTCTTGTAGTAAACTGGTGCCTTTTGACAGTTTTGGATTTTCAATCAAATTCTTTTTCAACTTTCCACAGCAATTTCCTTGGCTTTGACTGAAAATAGGGGTAGTGCCTGTTTCCTGAGCAGATCTTGAAAACCGTTAAATGTTTTTTCATCAAACTTGGTGCACGGATAGGTCTAGTAGTAAACTAGTGCCTTTTGATAGTTTGGGATTTAAAAAATTAATCTTTTTTTTTTTTAAAAGCTAGTTGACATATTCACGACAAGTATTTACCATTGTAAATATCGATGACTTTGTCCTTTTGTTAATTTGGACAAAGGAAAAGTTTAATTCTCTTCTTTCAGACAAACAGGCATTCTTAAAGCAGACAATACCCGTGCCTGTGGATTTCACCAAAGTGGTGAATGTCTAACATTCACCCTGTGACATAACTGCACAGAGCTACAGATAAGCAGCGTATTTGCGTAAAAAAAACCCCAAAACTATTCAAAACTCAATTCCTTTTAATAAACTTGCGTACAGAAATGCATGCATTACATGAAAAACTCAATTGTTTGAAAACAAAACACATAAATACCCAATGAAACTTTTTCAGCATGCGTACAATGGAGCTAATTTCCGAAACACAATTACAAACTACAGTCAAGTCTCGTTAATCCGACACTCGTTAATCCAACAATCGGCTTTATCCAACACTAATGATGGGAACCGATTAAATCAGTGCTATTTCGACCTGTTGATCCGACATTCTCGCACTCCGACTCCGACACACCTAATTTGCAATGAATTACCGAAATCACTCATTAATCAGTTTTGTTTATCCGACACAGTGATCAGCGTACTCCGTGGTCATCTGCCCGCGAGTACACAGCCCGTGTTTTGATGCGAGACGAATCGGCTGGTAGCTGCATATTACAACGGCTGCAGAGATAGACTTACTTAATAATAAACAATTAATGCTTTAAATAAAGAAAACAGGATAAATCACATGCTTAGGTTACCTCAATCTTATTAATATTTATTTTATATTTTTTATTACGTGTTTGAATCCTTATCTATCGTGTAGTTGTCCGATTTTCGATCACAAACGTTGATACTACTACCCGACATACTCGTTAATCCGACATAATCATATGCAACCATTGATGTTGGATTAACGGGACTTGACTGTAATTTACTTTCCAATATCTGTTACATCTGTCTGCTATGAAATGTCTCCCCTCTGTTGATGCTTTTCGAAATTCTTGTGTGGCAAAGTAGTCAAATATTGTTGATATTCCACTCCTAATTTTAATCCATATGTAATATTTTCTTGGAGATCTTGTGATGATGGGAGGGGCGGTGTTGTTGTAAATGAGGCATTATGTTGATGCTACTTCTGGTTATGAGGAAGGCCAATATGACTGTGGTAAAGCAGGCTAGGATTTAGTCAGACTGACTGCAGTAGGGATAACAACTTGTCACCTGATTCATGGACATTTCTTATATCATTCCCTTTCATTGTTTCAGGGGTGTTTTTAACCCAGTGGTTAAAGCGTTTTTCACATCACGCTGAAGACCCGGGTTTGATTCCCTCATGGGTAAAATGTGTGACGCCCATTTCTGGTGTTCCCCGCCGTGATATTGCTGGAATATTGCTAAAAGTGGCGTAAAACCATATTCACTCATTCATTCACTCACTCATTGTTTCAGTTGATGTTTGCAATTTCATATCCATTACTTCATGTATTTATCCCTCATGACATTATCTTGATCCGTATCAGTACATCCTGGCTTACTATTTCAGCCGTCTATGACTCAGTATCGAAATAATGTGTCAGAGACTGGCTGTCAATCTCCCACATCGCCGTTGTCACAACCGTCATACTCCCCCGCTCAGTCTCCAGGCCTCCCCCCAACGTCCACAATCAACAGCTCCCCCTTCGCCGAGGCGTACTACCTGCAGCAGCAACAGCAGACGAATGCACTACAACAGCAGTTTGAGCAGTTCCACATGGTAGTGTACCGCAGCATTCTGTCCAAGATGTGCTTCAAATTACGTGTTAGAGTCAAGTGACACTTTTTTTATGGTCAAATATTTTACTTTTATTTCTGTACATTTAAAGCATATTCAACATAAATTGTGTCACCACTGACTTGAAAGCTGATAATCTGAATCACATCGTTTAATGGCATCATTTTCTGTTGTGAGATCAGATTTTCACAGTACTGTTTGTGTGTTTAGCACTAAGTTAAACCTTTTCAGTTGTAAAAAACCTTCAGTTTTTGTGTTTTAAGAAAAATTGTTATTGAATTTTAAACCAAAGCCATATGGGCCAAATACTCTTCCTTGTGCGTCTCTGATCTTGCATTTTTAATTAAAGATGATTCCTTTTCACTGATGTTGTAGACATAAATATGTGATTGTTGTTTTATGCCACAAGCAACTGTATAACGTGTATCATGGCAGCCCAAAATAACATGCCCCCATTCCACAAAGCGTTCCAAGCGCAACAACGATTGTAAGCCTGTATTTAAATATGGAAGTTATGATCACCTTAGCACTAAGATAGCTTTGTGGACCATTATGACTTGCATGAACACACCTCCCTTCCACTGCCAGTGCACTGATGATGCTGAGTCAGCCATATTCCTCTTCCACAACTCCATGTTCGTCAACTCTAGTGTGAATCATGGGTACTGGGACCTCTAATGGGAGACCTCCAGTAGGGACCTCTACTGGGAGACCTCCATTGGAGACCACTAATGGGAGACCTCCAGTAGGGACCTCTACTGGGAGACCTCCATTGGAGACCACAAATGGGAGACCTCCAGTACTAAGGGACCTCTACTGGGAGACCTCCAGTAGGGAGCTCTACTGGGAGACCCATTGGGGACCTCTATTAGGGACTTCCATTGGGAACCTCCAGTATGAACCTCTGTTAGGGACCTCCAGTACAGACTTCCATTAGGGAACTCTACTTGGAGACCTCCTGTATGGACCTCTACTGGGAGACCTCCAGTGAGGACCTCTATTGGGAGACCTCTACTGGGGACCTCTAGTATGGACCTCTACTGGGAGACCTCCATTGGAGACCTCTACCGGGAGACCTCTATTGGGAGACCTCTACCGGGAGACCTCTATTGGGAGACCTCTACTGGGAAACTCTAGTATGGACCTCTACTGGGAGACCTCCATTGGAAACTTCTACTGGGGACCTCTATTGGGAGACCTCTATTGGGAGACCTCTACTGGGGACCTCTATTGGGAGACCACTACTGGGGAACTCTAGTATGGACCTCTCCTGGGAGACCTCCATTGGAGACTTCTACTGGGGACCTCTATTGGGAGACCTCTATTGGGAGACCTCTACTGGGGACCTCTATTGGGAGACCTCTATTGGGAGACCTCTACTGGGGACCTCTATTGGGAGACCTCTACTGGGGACCTCTATTGGGAGACCTCTACTGGGGACCTCTATTGGGAGACCCTCTATTGGGAGACCTCTATTGGGAGACCTCTACTGGGAAACTCACCTTGTGACCTCTATTGGGAGACCTCCATTGGGGACCTCTACTGTGAGACCTCCATTGGGGACCTCTACTGTGAGACCTTCATTGGGGACCTCTATTGGGAAACTCACCTTGGGACCTCTATTGGGAGACCTCTATTGGGAGACCTCCATTGGGGGACCTCTATTGGGAGACCTCTACTGGGAGACCTCTACTGGGAAACTCACCTTGGGACCTCTATTGGGAGACCTCTACTGGGAAACTCACCTTGGGACCTCTATTGGGAGACCTCTATTGGGGACCTCTATTGGGAGACCTCTATTGGGAGACCTCTACCGGGAGATCTCTACCCGGAGACCTCTATTGGGAGACCTCTACTGGGGACCTCTATTGGGAGACCTCTACCGGGAGACCTCTATTGGGAGACCTCTACTGGGGACCTCTATTGGGAGACCTCTATTGGGAGACCTCTACTGGGGACCTCTACTGGAGACCTCTACTGGGGACCTCTATTGGGGACCTCCAGTAGGAACCTCTACTTAAGGAGCTCTACTGGGAACCTACATTGTTCTGGATTCCCCACAGAAAGAGTGAATAAGAAACTAAAGGGGTGCACAGTAACATAATTTTTTTGATGTTTAACACTGACCATAAACAGGATAATTTTCGGGTAGGCAGTGGATTAGCTTAGTGGTTATAAGTTCCATCCCTCATGCCACTAACTCATGTTTTATTCCCTGTTGTATTCCATGTTCTATTCCCTGTTAGGGCAGTCTGGTAGCCTGGCGGTCAAAGCATTTGCTTGTCCCACCGAAGACCCGGGTTTGATTCCTGACATGGGTACAATGTGTGAAGCCCATTTCTGGTGTCCACTGTAGTGATATTGCTGGAACATTGCTAAAAGCGGGATCAAACCAAACTCACTCACTATTCCCTGTTGTATTCCATGTCCTATTCCATGTTCTGTACCCTGTATGGCAACAACATGTCAAAACCTTGTTTGTTTGGTCCAGACTTCACATGTTGCTATGATACAGATGTAATATTGCTTGCTATGAAACTTTGAATAAAGTCAAAGCTATGTCCAGCCATGAGGCATAGATTGCTCTGTGGAATTCTATTGGTATGAACTTGTCTGTGTTTGACAGTGTAGGCGTTGCTGTATGATTTTATGTCTGATAAGGCTGCATGTTGATTGATTTCCAGTCATTAGATCGAGACTCACTCTGTTTGCATTCCCTTGTGCATTTGGTCTGTGCCAAGTACACAGTGGTTAGTAGCCCGGACATTTACAACTGACAGACGTGCCCTGATTCTGTTGGTGGTACACGCGTCATGTAGGTCCTTGATTTCACGAGAGGGAGGTGAACAAACATACATGATGGGTTAGCATGTTAGTGTCTCATCAACCCCCTCCACCACCACCACCTGGATCCATCTCCTCCACCGCCACCACCTGCATCACCACCCCCCTCCACCACCACCACCTGGATCACCACCCCCCTCCACCGCCACCACCTGGATCACCCCCCCCCCCCCCTCCACCACCACCACCTGGATCACCACCCCCCTCCACCACCACCACCTGCATCACCACCCCCCCTCCACCACCACCACCTGGATCACCACCCCCCTCCACCACCACCACCTGCATCACCACCCCCCCTCCACCACCACCACCTGGATCACCACCACCCCTCCACCACCACCACCTGGATCACCACCACCCCCTCCACCACCACCACCTAGATCACCACCCCCCTCCACCAAAAACCACCCTCCACCACCACTTGGATCACCATTCCCCTCCTCCACCACCACCTGGAACCTTGTCACCCTCCACCACCACCACACCTGGATCCCTCTTTCCTCTCCTCCCCCCACTTCCACCACCACCACCTGCACCCCTGTCCCCCTCCAACACCTGGATCCCTCTTTCCTCTCCTTCCCCCACCTTCAACCACCACCACCTGTCCCCCTCCAACACCTGGATCCCCCATCCATCCCCCCCCTCCACCACCGCCACCACCTGGATTGCCCCAGTGGACATCCAAGCTGCTGGCTCCTGGTGTTTTGTCAACATCTTCACAATGTCTTCTCTCAAGTCAACGTGTTTGAAACCTGAAAATGGAAATTCCTTGGTATCACATTAATGTATGTCTGACCATTGGAATTTTGCATTTTCATATTATTGTTATTTCCATGGAAACAAGTTCAAATATTACTAAAAAAATTAATTTGCATTTTCACTTATTGAAACAAGCTATAGGTTTCTTTTGTGTCATTTATAGTAAGATCTCGTGACTAGAGTGGTGATCTCCATCTGATTCCATTTTGGCTAATTTTCAGGAAAGGTCAAGGTTACAAGAGAGCACAAACCATGATGGGGACCTCAGCAGCATCCCTTTCTGTTCATCACATTACAAGGCTATTTTAGATCAGGCATGTTAGATCACCTACACTTTTAATAGCATGGCTTGTTCGTCTTCCATGTCAACAGTCATGGTCACTGTCAAGTTGCTTCACATATTGAACGTTAACAAACTGCTTCATGGAATAGTGACAGTTTTAAACACTGATAGCTCAAGAATTATTCTTGATGTTTCATGGCAAGGAATAATATAATGAAACTTCTATTTTGTTCATTAATTTATATTTCTAACAAATGTCAATTTCATAAACACCTATGGCCAATCAGTCATGAACCAATTCTGAAATAAGTATTTCAAGAGATATTGAGAGACTGTTGGTTGAATAGTGTATATTGTCTATTCCTGATTGAGACAGACCGCCTCCGTGGTCTTGTGGTAGAGCGTCCGCCCGAAGAGCGGAAGGTCCAGGGTTCGATCCTGGGCCGCGTCATACAAAAAGACGTTAAAAGATTGTACTTGTTGTTACCCTGTCTGGCGCTCGGCATTAAGGGGCTAAAACAAGGACTGGTCGGCTCGGAGTCAGTATACTGTGTCTGAGTGGGGTATTCATGTTAAACTGCGGCATGGTATCTCAGTGAGCTAGCACTATAAATCGGCATCAGTCCGGACTAGTACAAGCAGCCACACACACACATACACGTGCATGCACGTCGCTATATAAGTGCAATAATCTTGGACGCGACGTTAAACCCAATTTCACCTCACCTGATTGAGACAACTACAAGTGTAGCCCATGTTTATTGCTTCTAGATCTCCTGTCTTGCTTTCGTTAATGTCTATCATATGGTACAGTCTCTGTCAAACGCTTTGTCCTCTAGCCTAAACATGTTTTTAAAGGACTTTTTTGCTACTTCTAGTCTTAACATATTGACTATCATTAACCTTGGACCAAAAGAAATGTTACGAGCCTCAAGCTTCAGACAAGAGTCTAGTTGCTGACTGACAGGCAATGGTTTGTTTGTAATATTTTCAGACTTGTGACGTATAAGATGAAGAATATGTTTCAAGTCAAATTCTATTTTTTGTTCCTCCAAAAGTAATATTACCGGTATACAAAATGAAAAAAAGAGAGATATTCATCCATATACTTTTAGAGGAAGACAAGCATATTATTTTGTGCAATTGCTAGCATATGATACATTTTTTTGTACAATTGCATCCAACATATATTGGTTTATCTTAATGTGGGGAGGCTGCCTTGTGACGAGTTCCTGGATGCGATATGATTAACATTTAAGTGTCCCTGCAATGATATTCCCAAGCTTGACTTGGGTGTGTCGTGGTCTAGAGAGATTTCTTTTTTATTTTGTATGTTAACCTGTCTAAAAAATTCCACCCAAATAATTCATGCACTGCCGACTTTTAATCTCTTGTTGATATTTCTACACAATATTTATGTAATATTCATGATACGACATCGAAGAAAAAGATATTGCTTTAAAGACACATAACCAGCAGAAATTCTATGGGGCTTGGATGCTGTATTATATACTTTTCGAAAATGCAACTTTAATTTTATACTTGAGAATCCAATGAGACCAAGTACTTTCCTGCACTGCAATATGATGTGATATATAAGCTTTAATAGTTTATGCATACTTGGTACATGCAGTATGTTTGTATTACTAGAGTGAATATGTGAGTGAGAAGTATGTTATTTTCCTTATAAAAATCTAGGATGTACTGATAAGTTGTGATATATGTCACGGGCTTTCTGCTACCCTGGGTGGAAGCCCATTTTATGTAACAGGTACCTCTTATTATATACAATAAAAGAAAAAAATATATATTTATGTGATATCTTAAAAACGCCTTTATGCTGATGTTAATTGTTTGCAGTTACCTGACAACACCCCCATTTCAACAATGGAGTCTGCCATGAGTGCAAGCAGCAGTGTGGCATCCTACTCTTCAGCCATCTTCTCCCAGTCAGGCATGGACAGCCAGGACTTCCAGCAACAGCAACAGCAGCAGATCTTCCGCACCCTTGAGATGGGTCTCCAGCAGCAGCAGATGCTAGGGCAGACGGGGGTGGTGGGGAACGGAGGGGTCACTAGTCCGCAGCCGAACACACCCCAGCACTTATCTCCTTCGGCCAATAACAAAATTCCAGATATTGTTCTTACCGGTAACTTTCTTTCTCATAATTTAAAAAAGACCAAAAATGTTTTGAGTGTATTCATGGTCAATACTTCCTGGCAACACTATGATACTTAAGACTGCTATATGATGTAGTCTTTAACCAACAAATTGGGCAAAGGATTGTTTCTCATGAGAGGGAGCTGCTACACCACATATTGGCAGTATGGATTGATGGGTATAATAATAATAAAAAAATAATAATAATAATACATTTTATCCCGCAACAATTAACAAAATAAATATGCCCTGTGCACTTTAGCAACTGTAAGGCTGTTGAGACAGAAATGTTGTAAGTTTGTAAAGTATTGATGATGGAAAAAATCTGGATCTCTTTGATACATTGTAAAACTTTTGTTATACAACCTACCACAGCAGAACCGATGAAGGGTAAATGATTGTGAGTGGAGGACGACTGACCAGTAACACTTTCCATTACTTGTACTGGTAATTTCTTGAAATGTGAAAACGCACACTATTCTATACATGAAATACAGATATTGTTGAGGTTCCTAATTCTTAATTTTGACTTGCAATATGTTTTGGATTTATGTGAGGATTTATATTAAAATTAGGAAAGTTAGAAAGAGTAGTCATAGCTAAGATTAAATTTGGGTCATCATTCAACATGAATAGTTCTAGTGGTTATAATTTTTTCTATGTCTTTCAGGTGCTGATGACACATTGGGACGACCGCCGCCAGATTTTGCCAAAGACCTTGGAAATGCTATCACAGGCATGTCAGATAGCTTTGATACAGACTTTTTCTCAACTGATGAAGCTTTTAAAGCAGGCTTAGACCCTCTAGATCTAGATGGACTTCAGATGTTAACTGACCCAAATATGGTCACTGACCCAGCTACTGAGGACACTTTCAAACTCGACCGGTTATAAGGGAGACAACTCTTTCAGAAGGAAATGCACTGTTAACACAGGGCAGATTTGTTTGTTGTTTGTGATCATGTTACCTAAGCACGGATTGCATCAGGAACGTCCTGTGGAGTCCCATTGATTTCAAGCAACCGAGTTGCTGCCCCTCGCTGGCAGGAGACTGTACCCGTGCTGGAAGCACAGCCAGGCCTTCATTCAAGGGTTGACTGAAGAGGTCAGTGTGAGTGATTTTCCCATCTGCTGGGCGACAGTGAGTGGCAAAGTTGCCATATTTGAGTGTACATATTCCTCCCACTGAAGTGACCAGCACGGACATTCCACATACAAACCCCGCCCACCGGCCCTGCCTGCCTGCCTGCCAGCCTGCTTCACCTCCACAAGAACAAGGAATCTTTACGCCAGGCTGAAATTATGACTAACGCCCTAACGACAGATGTAAGAGGTTTGGCACCAATGAGACTGGCTACTGTAAGATGATATACAAGTTTGTATGTGTTCTTCTTCTTGCTATCTTGCTGGATGACTGTACCGTGGTGTTAGACTTTCTTCATCTGTTAGCATCAACCTGCATGGTTATTGTCTTGTTTTCACTCAGCCGCCAGTGTCCGAAGTGTTGCTGCATTCACAACAGTTCTGTTGAAGCAGTACGTAGCGTAGACAATTCACATGGACTTCAATCTGCACAGTGACACTTTTGCTGCAGTTATGAGGTTCCGACTATTCCCCAGAGAGTAGACAAGCTTCAAGTCCAGTGAGCCTTAATGCGAATCGGTAGCCCAAATATGGAGATGGTTGGGGTTTGGGCTCAGAAGTGCATGAAATGCTAGATATTTTTCATACGAGACAATTTCCGCAGATAAAGACATAATTTTTCATCACTTATTAGAAGTTGAGGTAGGTACTAGCTGTCTGTGCCAGGATGTTGATTCATTGAAATGAGAACTGTAGTTCTTGTCATTTCCATCGCAGCATTTGTTACACAATGTACAATGTTATCTCATCTCTCACCTACATCACTGTTCATGGTAGTTCATTGCAAACATTTTTATCACAATTTACCAATCACATTTGCTTGTTGGTCTTTCTCCTTTCGTAGTTCAACATCAATGTTTGCAGCGATTCACTGAATTTATCGTTATAATGATAACATTTCAAGGAATAAATTTCATTTGGATGCTAGTGTCAAGAACAAGTGAGATTTTTATTTCAAGTGCTAGGATATTATTTTGAAAAGATTATGTATGACTCAAGGCTTATTGACATTATTATGGAGTCACCATGCCTGTATATTATCTTTAATATAGGTTTGTGTTGTTTTGTTTGAAATTTGTCAGTTTAAGAAAATAATTTTAAGTGAATATTGTAAAATTGTTATGTTTTTTCTTATTCAAAATTGTCAAACTGATATATTATGAAATGTTATTTTGACATGTTCTTTAATTTCCACTTTTTCTGAAAGCTATTGATTTTTCTTGGGGAGGGTTCATTGTTTTCAAATGCATATTCGGAGGAGCACTTGATGTGAACATGCAGCTGGCGAACAGTTGAAATAGATGGTGTCGAGATGAAGAAGTTAGACAGTCAATGCTTGCAGTACATGTATGTTTCCATCAATTCTTGAGCTTCTTGTCAACTGAAAACATAATGTCTGAAGTCACATCCAATTCATGAACCTAAAAATCTTTACTGAAATTAATGTCTTTTCTGGCTGAAGTTGCCCAGTGGTACTGTAAGCTACAGAGAAACGCTGGATGTACAATACATGAAACCATGTCGCAATACAAGGTCATGTATACAGTTGAAGAAAGAGAAACATTTATAAAGTTACCACAAACAGAGAATCCAAAATGAGTCGGATGAAAAGTTTAAAAGGCTTGATATATGTGATATCAATAGGTGCTTGGGTGAAATTCTATTAATCATCCACAATCATTCTTCCAACGTTTTCAGTTGGTAAACAGTAATAACTCAGTGTCTTGAGTGTAAAAAGTACATCTAAACAGCTTCAGTGACCGGGAGATTGGTGATGTCATTTGATTGTGACATCATAGTAACCGATGACATCACAGTGGTCTGCAAGCATTGTGGAAGCCAGGATGTTAAGAGCTTATGTTTACATCCAGAAAGAGAAAAACTTCTGTGATGTGTATATTGATGGAAATATACCATGTTACTCACGGCTTGATGTCAAGGATCCAGTCTGTTCCAAAGTCATGAAAGTGTTGTAAAATGACCTCTAGTTTGAAATTCCACCAGATTATCAAACCCAGGGATATTTTTTGCTTGTTGACCATGACCTTGGAGAAGGCGAGCTATGTGCAATGTATGTTCGTATGGCTGGTTTCAAATGGCAGCTCTTGGTGTTTTTGCGTTTCTTTGTATTGTTGTGATGCTTTAATCATTCATGCCTTACGCATGTCTCAAAGCTGAAGACTGTTAGAGATTTGTCTCTTTCAACTGTGTGTCTCCTATTGCTGATTCAGTTTCATATGCTTCACTAAAATTTCACATGGATATGCACTATGAAAGTGTAGTAGATTTTCGTTCAATAGTGGCTTTGTCTTTATACTAATACATGTACACACAAATTTATTTCTTTTTGAAAAGTACTTCACATGACATACAGCAAATATTTTACAGAACAGTCATTGTCTCATTCAAATTTGACAGCATCAATAAGTATTAGTGTAAAATTGGTAATGTTATAGAATCTGATTAATTTATGAATTGTGAATGTGTATATGTGCAGCTGAGTGAACAATGCTGAGCCATGGCATAATATTTCATATCACCCAGTCACAATCATGAACAGACCATTTATATCCCAGAGTCTAGCAAAGCACCCCTGTTCCACTCTCAGACACATCTTCATCATAATCATCATCATCATCATCATTTCACAGATGATCATAATTTTAACTCCTTCAAGTGGAATACTTTTCATACAAAATGTTCACCATCGGCATAAGAGTATGTTGAATTATTAATGTTCTTGAAGTACTTGTATGGTCAATGGCACAAACACTTTTCACATGTGACCGTCTCCTTGCTGTACGTTGCTAAATTCATACATGCCAGAATTTGTCTCTGATTTGTACTTAAATGTCATTGATCATGTCTTTGAACAGTTCACACTTCACTTATTGGATGAGGACATGCCTGTGTTTAGTGGTTTGGGAAAACAATGTATAAGGAATTATATGTTCAAGTTCTGATGCTACTTAATTGGTTACTTACAAAAACATAGGCTTCCCATGGCAATTTAGATTTTTGGGTTCCACGTAAATTTGAGTTAATTAAAATTAATAAAGTGTGAAGACAGGAAATGAATGTGTTTGTCCAACACATACTTTATAATGACATCCTTCAAATACATGTCATCACTACAGCAGCCTCGGGGGGCCAACATGAGGTGCTGTACGGACACTGGGCATGTCATAAAAGAAGGCTGTTGGTTTGCAGGAATGTCACATAAGCATGATAAACAAGACGTCCTTCAAGTGCATTTTATTTTCCATTACTGCATAAACGAACAATTTTCACAGGTGGCTAAGCATACGTTTCCCACCAAACAATGTTATTTCATAAAATTGTGCCTCAGAACCAGTTATTATTTTTCAGCCTAACATGTTCTGAAAATACTTTTAAGAACAGGGTTCTGTATTCATCAGTGTGTGTAATTATTCAACCACTATTTCCATATTTTTAACCATTTCACTCTTTTGAAAATTTCACTGTGCATATTGTTAACACCATTTAGAAGTAACGTCAACATATTTGTGTCTGCTTCACCGGGATCTGCTGTTCTTCATGTGCCAAAGTCATTGAGGGCGCTCATCGTATTGATTCCATGACATCCCTCATCCCCGTGCTCAACGCAGCTTTCAGAACCTTGTGTTAAACAATCCTTGTATGTTGTCAGGGGAGTAGCACCTGGACGGTGGAAGGACCACTGTTCATGGCCACTGAACTGGAACAATTATATTTTGGAAACTACTTCATATAGGCCATAGTGTACTCAAAGCAGCTGTTTTATTATAGTGTCAGAGCTCCAGATAACTTTTTGAGCAATTGAGTTTTTACTCTAGGGTTTCTATTTTAATTGGGTTATTACATTTTTCATTGGGTAAGCAATATTGTTTCACTCATCTATTCATCACTCTGTTGGGTTTTCCCAAAATAAGTGAACATTTTTAAGATTTCAAAAACATGAAATAATGTTTTAGATTTATGTAACTGTTCTAAAAATATAATCTTGACTCGGAAGGTAAATTTGCTCGTAATTGTATTTCGGAAATTAGCTCCTTTGTACGCATGCTGAAAAGGTTCATTGAGGATTTACGTGAGCTGTTTTTATACATTTGAGTTTTTCATTTAATGCATGTGTTTCTGTACGCAAATTAATTGAAAGTAATTGGGTTTTGAATATTTGGGGGTGGGGGATTTTACGCAAATACACTGCTTATCTGTAGCTCTGAATGTTCATGAATTCTAAGTTGTTAAAGCATTTAAGCTACCTACAAATACGTAGAAGCTGGAAGTGATGTGTGTGGACCGTGGCTATGTTAAGACAGGATGTACCGATGTCAGCTGTTTCTCATCCAGTATCACGTTTCAGTATGCCAAAATGAATCATTTTACTCTTTGTCAGTCAAACAAATTGAGTTGTTGTCTGTTTGTCACTGCCATGTGTACACTATGAAACTTGAACATACGGACAATCGTCTAAGTTGGTATCTAATACTCATTAAATGAGATAAGAACAAGAAATGTTAGCAAAGACATGATTTGGTTTGCAGTACATGCTAAAGGGGGACCACTCTGTGTGGAACTGAGACGTTGGCTCTGTTTTGATTTACTGCTTGTTTGATAAAATTTCCCAAAATTATGGTGTTTGAAAACTTGAATCAGCCTGGCTTGTACTTCCAATAGGTTTAGTCCCTCTTTAGGATTTGGCAAAAATAGTGATTATTGCCAATGTGCTTTCTGCTCAGAATAACTGTTGCCATGATTGTCATATCATCTGTAAAATGTTACTAGATTGTTTTAGCCTTTATGTATTTATTAATTGTTAATTTATTTGTTAATCTCTTAGCTGTAGCTTTTAATTTGTTTTATCATGAAAGCTGCTTTTGTAAGCAATTGTTCTAACAGATTTTTAGAGTAGATAAAAACAGGTACGGAGACTTAACAAAGAAGGTTCCCCAGTGTGAGATCTGTAAATAGAATTTATCCTGAAGTTTACATTAAATGGATAATGTTTTGTGAGGAGTTTTGTTACAGCTGTGTTCTTGTTCAATCGTGACATTCTACTAACAGTATTTGAAGGTGAATATACCGCCCATGTCGCCACACTGATTAGGACCCCTTAGAGAGTAGGCGTTCTTGACTCGGGGGGAAAATAGCAGTCATTAAGTTAACTTGGCTAATATTTACATTTTAGATTTTCAATATCTACTTTATCAGAGATTATATTAGGGCCTAACAAGATGTGTCCAAACTATTCTTGTATGGGATGTCATATTGGTGCATCCAAACATGTACAAATATTCCTTGTCCCTGGTATTACAACTGTTGTCATTCCATTTTATTGAGGGTAGCGAGTACACAACTTGCATTCATTATAACTCGGAACATTATAAACTACTCATAAAAAGTTAAGGACCACCCGATTCTTTCATATTACTGGTACTATATTTGATCTGTAATGGCTTTTTTTTAAATAGGGTGCAGTTGTTGCCATATTGAGGAATAAGGGGCAGTTGTTGCCATATGGAGTGACACAAGGACCTCAATTTTTTATAGGGCTGGCTGGACTGAGACGTTCCATGAGGACAAGATATTCTCCCAATTATTTGTTTCATATGCTGAATTACTAGAGTAGTTTCTAAAAAAATCAAACAATAAGTATTAATATTGTAACAGTAAAATGTCTTTGTGTAGCCAGCCTGCTACGAGGTGAGGTTACTTAGGTGATGTGTACAGCCAAGCCTCTTGTACGTACAGATGACCAGTCATTGAGGGTATATGTTGGGGTGATCGTATGGTTACATGGTGACTGAAGAGAGTGTTATTTTGTAAAAGGTTATTTATTGAGAACTGTTTTATTTGTTGTTTGAAATTAAGATCACCATTTCAATATTTATGAACAAGAAGAAATGTGTTTGTTCCCAGTGATGTTCGAGTACAGAGAAGGAATTTATATATATTGTAGAGATATATTTAGATTTGTTGTGATTATTCTTGTTACCAAGTCCAGCAATGGATTGATGGCTGTGTTGACTTCTCTTGTCAGCTTTTGTTAAAACATCGACAGGATCTAGTGTAGCTGTTTCTGATTCGGTATGGTGAAATGGTCACCAGATTAAGCCATGTGCTGATTTTGGATGTTTCATGTTTGTGGTTTGACAGATTAAATCAGGCCTCAAAATGAATTTTGTAGTTATTTCTGTCTGTAGACAATAATTAGAATCATGTACCATAGGTAAAAGCTTTTTTTCTAACTTTTCTTTCACTTGAAAATTGTATTTTCCAGTTCTTGTCCATAGCAGAGATTTGAAGAAGTTATATGAGATGTGAATTTATTTTTCTGTTAAATGAGAATTATATTGGGCTGTGAGAAAAGCTGAGCAAGTGCTATTAGAGCATGGAGGTGATATCTGGTGTACAACTAGTTTTGCCTGTTGCTGGTCTCACTACTAACAAAGTAATTAACAGGGTTGACATGGCAAGGGTGCATTGTTCAAGCCACCATTACTGCTTCGTTGGCTTCCGGTCAGGTTCACATACTCTCCTTCTTTCATGTGTATCTTGAGGTGGGCTTGCGCCAACCCAACAGTGTAAGGTGAATTTTGTTACATTTCTTTAATCAATCCTGAACAGTGACGGAGATCTCCAACTGCCTTAATTTCCACCGTTTTCTAGTCAGCGTCCTGTGCCACGCAGCTTCTTGCCGCGTGTACTTCCTGCGAATCATGTCATTGTATCATCAGAGTTATCCCCCTTGCATGTGTTCACACCACCCTTTCAGCTGACATTCTACCACATTTCTTTTTTAAATTTGATAATTATAGATTTGTTTAGTTTGAACTTTGAAGCTCCACGTCTCTGAAGCTGTTTTGAAAAAAATATCATGTGCTACACATTCCAAACTTTCTTATGTAGATTTAACATAACTGTGGTAAAATGCTGTTCTGAATGCAGTGATTTGATTGGTTGATCATTGTCTACCATCTTCCCCACGCGTCTCATTTTCGCCTACATCGTTTCATGTCAGCATCTGGTATTGTCATGTAACCATGGTAACCATATTCCTTTGCCATACTGAAGTAAAATTATGTAACATAATGCATTGTGTTTTTGTTCTGTTTACCTCCCATATGATGCTGAGCACATGGTTGCATGTCAGTCTTCCATGACGTGTTCATTATTTCAAGAAGCAGACCTCAAAAACCTTTCAACACTTCGTCACAAAACTACATCAATTTAGTACCCAGGTGAAACGAGTCCTTTGGCTATTATTTGATATCTGACCACTTCTTTCATATTCATTGGATCAAGGTGGACTGAGGTTTAATTTTATTCCATGACAAAAATATAAAAAGATATCAGTACTGCTTGTTTGGTTTGTTTTTCAATGTCGAACTCCGCAATATTCCAGTTATTTATAACATCAGCGAGTAAATAATCACGTCCGGACCAGACAATCCAGTGATTGATAAGAGCAGTGTTCTAAGTCGTCAGAGCACAATGACCCACAATCAGTCAAGGCAGAACACTGGATACACTCACCTGGCACAACCAGCACGGATTGCTGGGGACCTATTCTAAGGAGGAGCCCCCACAGAATCATCTGTCTTGAAAAAGCATTGCACAGTGTCGCATACCAACTCCCTGGTACGAGTTTAACATGTAATTCTAAAACTTTGGATGTTGTCATTGGGAAGGAAGTAGGAGGGTGAGCCTCAGTCTGGGACTTTTCACACACATATTTGGTCAGTTTAATAACTGTCAAATTTGCACACAAGGAAGGACTAACTCCACTTGTTGAACCACTGCTGACAGTTCTCATGAAGAGTGAGTTTAGTTTTACGCCGCTTTTAGCAATATTCCAGCAATATCATGGCGGGGGACATTCACACATTGTACCCATGTCGGGAATCGAACCCGGGTCTTCAGCGTGACGAGTGAACGCTTTAACCACTAGGCTACCCGACCGCCCTTCTCATGAAGAGTAGTACACCGAATGATGGACAACTCCTTAAAAGACCGGTCGTTTTCCCTGCGCAGCTTGGTTGGGTGATGCATCATCACTCTGAAACTAAACATTGCATTTCCAGCTAAATGTTGCATGCAAAACAACTGAAGACATACCACTACTTATTTCGTCAATTGTCTGGGGAAGAAACATGTTTTTTTGCCACTTATTATGACGATCCTTTAGCACTAGAGTCACCAATATTCCAACTATATCATGGTGGCCTGTAGATAATCTAGACCAGACAAACCAGTGACCGAGTGATTTTCCTCGCCACTGATCCATTTTTGTAAGTTTTATTGACAAGCTGGGAATCCCATGGGCATATCATTTCACCATGGCAACAGGTCTATCTCTACATAGCCGCCTGTGAGGGGGATTGCAGCAATATTCCTGACTGGGTTTGATTGAACTTGTAAGCTTCGACCACACCCATGTTGTGATCCAAATGAAAGATATGCAGTTTATAACTTGGCAAGTGCTATATGTATATGTTAAATTAGCTTGCAATACTTGGAGATATTTTGAGTGGTATATTTCTGAACATAAGTTAAAAGCAGATGATTCTTTCCTATTTTATCCCGTCCTGGCATGACAGATTAACTATAGTAATATATTGTATACATTTCATAACCCTGTTATCTTGATAGACTATCAATACAGCTAGTGTTCTGAATATGGAAGCTGTGACAGTAGCTTGAGTGGTGAGTTTGGGTAAACACTGCATATTTCAGTTACATCATGGCTGGATGTGCGGGGGCATCCATGGGATTAGAAGCAGGTAGGAGTTTACAACTTTGGTGAAAACCATGAGTACAATCCTTGTGAGTGGCCTCGTCACCCATCAATTGTGTCAACAGTATTGTGCAATCATCCCTGACAAGATATTTCAATCGTCCCAAACATGTTGCACCCACTTTTCACAGATATGTCTGCAGGTAGTCAGGACAGATGCTCTATCTACAGAGGTGGTCCAGGCAAATGCTCTTTCCAGAGGTGGTCCGGGCAGATACTCTGTCCACGGAGGGTGGTCCTGGTAGATGCTCTATCCACGGAGGTGGTCTGGGCTGACTCTTTATGCAGTCCCAACTCTCATGAATACTGTAACAATTACTAAATGTCCTCTTGCAATTTTTCGTGATAATATTCTTGTCTTTCAGATGTTGTTGAGATTGATATTTTTCAAAATGGACGACATGTAAGGCAATACAAACAACACTCATAGTTTCTACCAAAAGACTTTATTTACATCATAAATATTTATAAGGTCAATTTTAATTGTTCATCAGAGAGTAATTAAAAATTTAGCACTAAGTTGACATTGGTTGACAAAATCCACGTTAAAATTCACTCAACAGAAGGATAATCAAGCAGGTGTTTAAGCAGCCAGAAATGTGTTCTGATGTATTATGCCAGTGGAGACTGGTGGGCCAACAGAGCATGATAGAACATTGCACGAACAATGTCATTCATTTTCTTCTGTGAACAATCAAAAGCTGACACCACTGATAAACCCAAATTCCAGAAAAGGTGAAAAAACCCTGCTGTATGTATTTGACCATAGAAAGAAGTTTCCATTAATTTCATGCAGATACATTTTTTAAATGACAGAGAAATCACTTCCACACGCCGATTGTGTCCTCCCCATTGCGGCAGTAAGCCAATCTTGTAACAAGGTAATTTACATATGTTCAAATTGACATGTACATGGGTCAAGGTTCCACCTCAGTCCGCCACAATGTGTGTTGGTCATGTGGATTACACAATTCCTATTACAACAAAATATCTCACATGAAATGCAATCAGTTTTTGTATTTTGTTTTATTAAAATATGTCTTAATCATGTGAATATGAAATTTGAAATGCGATCCCTCATGCATATAAATGTATACTAAAGCATGTCAAAGTATCTTCACAGGAACACAGGGTATGATCATACATTCTTTGAACAATCAAATGCTGTTGAGAAAAAAACAAATAACGATCTGAAACGGGAAAAATTCTCGAGACCAAAATCTGGCCTGTGATCACTGTTAACTGCTAAAGATGATACTGATCATGTCGTTTGGAAAAAATTTATGAACTTTTACCAAGCCCTGAAAGAGGAATAAATTTTGAATTGCTACATAGGGTGCCCAATTTATACTGTAAAAAGATACAGTCCAATAGAAAGTTTAGGTCCAAATGGCCACAGCTATCAAAGAATTATCCCCTGTAATCCCGTGGACATACCACGTGGTAGGCTTATTCTCATGTTTCCAAGATTCCAAGACAATGAACAAGCATGCGAGCATGTATGTTTAGATATGAAAATAGTGAGAACAAAAGCAACAGAATCTGTACTGATGACTTCTAGCCCTGCTCTTGAATACAAGACATAAGGTTTCATTACTTTGGAAGTCTGGCACACCGATGAGGCTGGGACAACTGTCCAGGAGGCACGATGCTTGTACGTTTCAGCAACACCTTGTCCATATGTACAGATCCACAATATCTGTAGCAAGCACTACATAAAATCTTCTCCGTCGTCATAGTCATACTCCCCAACACCTCCTATCAAGTCTAGATCACCTTTCCTCTCCACTTTCACTATGGCTTTCTGCTTCTTCTTTTTCTTCCTTTCAGCTTCCTGAAAAAGGGACATCGTAATATGAAGATCTCTTTGTGCAATGTTTTATTAACATCAAGTATGAAATACTCATATCCCCTGCCAATATAACATGTTAGGTTGTGTGCAAGGCAAGAAATATTGTATGGTTTTCAAGATCTCTAGGGAAAGGAGCACTACTGCCATTCTCAGTCTAAGTCAAAGTTGTTGCAATGGAAACTCGAAAAATAAATTTTTAAAAAGTCCCAAACTATCAAAAGGCACCAGTTCACCAGTAGACCTGTCTATGTTCCAAGTTTGGTTAAGATATGGTGTTTGAGTTCTGCTCCGGAACGAAACGTGACGGACGGAAGGACAGCACCCATTCCTATATCCCTCTTCCACTTCATGGAGGGGGATAATGAGCTTCTTACAACAGCAAAGCTTCATCATTATTTGTAAAAAAAATCTGGTCCTACAAGTGGCCTATCACAGTCTGGTATGAACACATCTATGTCCGGTCTGGACATCACAGTTTCTAGTTTAGTAATGAGGTGTTGCTTGTCACATCATAATAGACCTAGTTCACACTTAACTCTGTACTGAGGATATGAAAGCAGGCAAAATGTATATCTAACTGTAACCATGGTAACACAAACATATTTCACTGGTCTCAAGATGTACCAGACCATTCAGCTTGCCCATACTGACACATGTAACACATAGTCCTAACAGCCAGACAAACCAACTCCCAACATTCCATGCAGGTGGGGCACGATGACATCCCATTAGTTTGGTTGGTTGTTTATTTGTTTGTTTGTTTGTTTGTTTAACGCAGCACTCAGCAATATTTCAGCTTTATGATGATGGTCTGTAAAAATCAAGTCTGGACCAGACAATCCAGTGATTGATATCATGAGCATCGATCTGCGCAATTGGGATATGATGACATGCATCAACCAAGTCAGTGAGCCTGACCACCCGATCACGAAGACACATAATCAACACGTCTAACCACCATTGCATTTGGTCGCCTCTTACGACAAGTATATTCACCTTTTCCAGCAGCATGGGTTGCTGAAGACTTATTCTACCCCGGATCTTCACGGGATCATCCCATTAGGATGTGAGCAGTATTTCAGTTTTATCCCCCCATGACCACTGAAGACAAAAGCCACATCTATGACTTTGATGAAACCCATAAGTACCGTTATAGTAGTGACACACCAAGAATCTTAATGAGGGCCCATGTGATTTGAAGGATGATCATCAGGTTCGGACAGGAACAAGTCACCAGGAGATGACATAACCCCCGGTCTGGTGCAATTCCGAAATGGAATTTGGCTACTTTTACCCCACTTTTGGGTCATTGCCAATGGGTACCTTCAGTTTAGTGAAGAAAACAATAATGTATTTTCAAAATCCCAAAGGCACTATGATCTGGATTTCATTTTACACATATTGCAGCAAAAGTTTGAATATTGCTCCCTGTCATAAGAATGTACAACAGGGGGGAGTGTTTCTTCTGTATAATTGCAATCAGTATTGTTTTTTCTGACAACAAAGACATGCAAAGCAATTGGACCTGAGGTCTACCCAAGCACTACGTTTAGCCATTGATCAATGTCGACAGAGCCAAGAGGCAACACAAGTCACTCGCTGGTCACATACCTTCCGTTGTTTTTCTTTTTCATGGTAAATACCAGTGAGTGCCGTTCCTACTTTCTTCAAGTCTTCTGGCTGTACTGGAAAGAAAGCAATGGAGGACCTTCATCAACTGATGCACCAGTGACAACATTGGTTTCATATTATCTGTTTATTGTGATGATTTCAAACTTGTCATATTCTTTTTCTGTTGAGTGTATGAGGTAAAACCAGATTTCACCGAGGAAGCTTATGTACCATTTTACCCTTGTAGCCCGACAATTCATTTGTCAAAACAATGTGAGTGAACTGCAGAGCTTAACTGGTACTTCGAGTTGTTTGTTTCATGTCTAACACTGCACTCAACAATATTCCAGCTATATTGGACGTCAGCCTGTAAATAATCAAGCCGGGACTAGACAATCCAGTGATTATGAGCAACGATCCAAACTGTTGGGGTACGAAGACACATAATCAACACGTCTAACCACCATTGCATTTGGTCGCCTCTTACAACCTGCATAGAATGCATGGGACCTAGTCTCACCCAGAATCCCTGTGTGGGTATTGTGGTAGTGATATCTAGTGGTAGACACAAACAGTTCTATCCAACTGTCTACCTCACATTTCGGACTAGTGGTTCATGTAAGATAACCAGTCCTTTTAGACTTTCCTCAATGTTGAGTGATTGAGTGAGTTTGGTTTAACGCCGCTTTTAACAGTATTTCAGTTATATCACGGTGTGTCAGCTAAACGTGGGAGGAAAGCCCGAAGTGATGCAGGTCTCAGACATTTACCACTTCGGTGAAACCCAAGAGCACGGGCATGGTGCCGACAAACCTAGAAACATAATCGGGGCGAACCGGGATTCGAACCCACAATCATAGGTTTCTGGCATGCCCAAGGGACGCAACTGCACAGCGAATCGTGACGCCTTAGATGACTGGGCCACCCGTGCCCCCCTTTCATCAATGTTCCACACCAACTGCGTCAAACCCTGTATATCTGTAGTTTGGGTTCACTGTTATGTTCACTGTATCAAATGTAATTAAGTATAATCCCTAATACTGTGTGTACTTACACCCAATTGCTAATTCTTGGAACAAATTTTCTATAAAACCAGGATACATTCTGCTGGCCTGAAAAGACAAGAAATGAATAGTGAATATAAAATATTACTTCTTTGGAGATTTCTTTGTAAGAATGATAACAATCATTATTTCATAGTGTCATATCAAACCATAAACATTATAAGTCTTTATCATTACTGACTTTGATCATTACAATAGAGCCACAGCATTATAGCTCACCTGGCTATATAGTCAACAGCTGTTAACAAGTTGCTGTCAGAATTTATATTCATGTATTTTCTTCATAAATAATGAGGACTTCCAGCTAACACTAAAAATCTGATCGTTTGAAAATGTGAATAAAGTTAATGCCCATAAACATTTTCTGTAATACGGCTGCTGTGGTGGCCATGCTGAAATTCTGATTTGAACCTCTTGAACAAATTCAGGTGTTATCATTGGAGGGAACAAACGTTTCAACTTCAGTGGTCCAGTGGTTTCTGAGCTGATATATATTGTGCAAGGAAATGCATTTTGAGAGAATTTAGGAACATGGTCAAAGCGCAAATTTCAAATGAAGGACAAATGTCCATATGAAGTTTAGCTTTCAGCTTCATTGTTAAAATGATTTCTGGGAAGATGCATATGATGAACGACGGACAATTGATGCGGTATGCATCTGTCCAGTTTCATTAAACTAAATATAACCAATGAAATGAGCACCCAAATAAATGTTCATCGGTCAGGTGTCTAAGAACAGTGTACATGGAGTATCACAACAATGTCTCAATAATCATGGTAATACCCACCCCCAGATAGATTCCCTTACACCTCTGGCTTTGTCAAACACTGAGTTAACACATTGCGCTGATGACGGTATCACAACTACTCTATGCTGAATGTTACAGGTTTCATTTAAACTAGTTAGTCCACTGACCCTTTAAAAAAATGAAAAGTTAAATTGGAAAAGCACTATGTTTTTTTTAAATGCCTGCCGACTTACATATTCAACACAAAGAAAGAAAATAAACATGATTAATACTTCTGATAAGGCAACTTCCTGAAGAACAAACCAGAGATCTCAAATACTTTACAGACACTCACCTCAAATTCTGTAATTTTTGTTTTTAATGCATCTTTAAACAGCTTAAATTCTTCTTCTGTTTCTGGATACATGGACTCTATTGATTTAGCATTCTTGACACCTAATGAATAAACACAATAAATTATGTACAAGCATTATCAAACATCAAAGGTGTTACGAGGTGATTTCTTAGTTGAGATGCAAAGGTCAGCCCAGATATCGGTACACAAGACCATTTAATAATTGACAAATTGCAACACAAAGGATTGACTTTATTGTTTGTTTGTTGTTTAATGCCGCTTTCAGCAATATTCCAGCTGTTAGACGGCAGTCTGTAAATAATCTGGATCAGACAATCTAATGATTGACATCATGAGCATTGATCCATGCAACTAGGATACAATGACATGCACCAATCAAGTCAGTGAGCCTGACCACCCGATCTCGTTAGTCGCCTCTTACAACAAGCAAAGTCGCCTTTTACAGCAAACGTGGGTTGCCGAAAACCAATAATAACCTGTATCTTCACATTTACAATCACAAGAGGTAATACAATAGGGTAAAGTCACAAGTCAGGTCATAGAAAGATATCTAGAATCGTGCTTGCTCATTCCTATATAGGTACAGCCAGCCTTCTAGAAACTGATGCCTCCCGAAACCTGATACCTTCTCGAACTCGCATGCATTTTATTCTTACAACTTAGCACCATATAATATATTCTTGATACTAAAGGATCAAGCTTTACCAAATATTTCTTGCGCATTTTTTAAATCAGCTGCTTCTTGAACCTTCCTTAATCGGATTTTTTCATTCAGTTTTTCTTCAGCAGTTGGTTCTCTATTTCGTGCCTGAAATCATCAAAATATATTCATACACATAGTTATCTAAAAATATATTTAGTCAGACGAATAGGAGGATGAAACCTACCTTGACATAAGATATGAGTAAGTTGGATTGTAAACCTGAATTGAACACTTTGAAGAGCATATTATGTAAATCACTGCATGCCATATAAATGTGGGAGGAAAGTTTAAAGTGATGCACGTCATGGAGATTAAATAAAACCAATAAGTATGGGTATGGTGCAGACAAATTAAGGATTATCATCACAATATCTCAAACCATGATCAGTCAGGTCAACCATTTGTCTTGTCTGGTAAGCAGTGCGATCTGTGATGTTAATGAATTTCCCTTGTCTCGCTCTTATCTATGCATAGCCAGCCTTCTAGAAACTGTTACCTCTCCTACATCCCTCTATGAGGTAGCCCGTCCCAGTGTATCAACTGTAAACAAGCCCCTCACAGCAATAGCCCAATTTCACAGCTCTCTGTTGGGAGTGTAACAAAGGTGTCAAGTGCTGGGAGGGAGCTTGCAACCACAACAACTAAGGGAGGTCACTCTCAACGCTCAAGACAAGAAACTGAGTACTGTGGAAATGACAGTTTCATGACATGAAACAAACCTTCTCCTCCTCCAACTGCTGCACACGTTTAGCTTCCTTCTCGGCTATTCTATCTGCAAGTGATTTCTTCTTAGGCCGCTGGTAAGCTGAACCTTCTGTAATCCACAAAGACAAGACAAAACGAATGACATATATCAAACATGAAATACCCTCTCAGTCTCAATCCTGCTCAAAATAGATACATGATGCCAAATGATAAATTTTTGTTGATAATTCAGGATCAAGATACACTAGGATTTTCACACTATCAGTTATTTTGCTAGACTGAACAATTATGGTTTTACGCTGCTTTTAGCAATATTCCAGCACTATCATGACAGGGGACCCAGAAATTGGCTTCACACTATTTACCCATTTGGGGAATTGAGCCCAGGCCTTCGTCATAATGAGCTAACACTTTTACTACTAGGCTACCCCACCACCATATCTTGCTAGAGGCTACTTTTATAGGACATCTTTTTATGATTTTAGCAAACTTTGTTTACACCATCACCAAGCCACTCTTAAGTAAATTATGGATAACAATCAATGTACCGATCCGTAATCCTGACTCAAATGCTGAATATTTCATCTACCATGTTGAGTGTTCAACTTAAAGGGGGACACTGAGGTAGGAAGTGAGCCTAACTATGAAGGACGTATAGAAAACACACAACAGGTTTGTTTGTTTGTGGTTTAATGCCTCACTCAGCAATATTTAAGCTATATGATGGTGGTCTGTAATCAAGTCTGGACCAGACAATCCAGTGATTGGCATCATTAGCATTGTGTAACCTTAGGTGTCGGGTACTTTACCCTTCTACCTTTGGTCACTTGTACTTATCAACCACTCCTTGGTTTTAGGAATGATGTAGCTCTCTCAAAATCACAAGTCAGATGGTTTGCTCCAGTCCATTTATTGGTGATGGTAGTTATTGTAAATATACACACACAAGGTCCTCAGATAAGTTCTTGTTGCCTGTCTTAAGTACAACACATACCTAGATGATGCGTTGAAGAGCCTGATAGTTTTTCTGATCAACGTTTAACTCTACTTCTTTTCTGACCCGGAATTCCAATCTACAGATAGAACCTCTCTGTTCAGCCGTGAGCTCCCGAATCCCCGCACCACTCTCGGACAACTAACAAAATACTATCGATGATAATTTTAGCTCCTCCCACCGAAATTATGTTTTGACATCATGTGAAATGAGTCATAACGCTCACTTCCCTATGAACCCCAATTCCCCTTCCAATCAGTCTTTCTATCAAGTTCTTCTTAACCAAACACTTAACTAATTTCCTAAATTAATGGTCAAATCACTGGTCAACCGAACATACCCACAACTCAAACAACCCTAGATGAAAACCCAATACTCTGTCAGACTGGAAGGCGCCGAAAAGATACTTAATCATGTTAATCAGATATTCCAATCAAGCGGTAGTACTCAGAAATATTTGATCACAACAAGACTAACAATTTTGTTCGATCCATTCATTTCCCTTCCGGCACTTACATTGCAAGACCAGATTCTACTAATTTCATTGTACTAATGAAAAGTTATCTCTATCACTAAGAGAAGCAAAATTAATCATCATTTGCCCTGGGGGTGATGCCCTCACCCTGTACAGTCACTTCTCTCATATGCATCTATATTTTACCCTAAAGCTTAATTTAGTAAACTACATTTTAAGTAAATATTAAAAACCCTTTTCCCAAAATACCCTGGTTATAACTGATCTACGCAATTGCAATACAATGACATGCATCAACCAAGTCAGCGAGCCTGACCACCCGATCCTGTTAGTTGCCACTTACGACAAGCAAGGGTTGAATTTGAAACAAATAAACAACCTGGCAGCATATTTCCGCATGGATCAAAGTTACTAGGTATTTTCTGTTGTTGAAAATGGCCAAAATTGACTACCATGCTGTCATGAAGAATCTCCAACTAAAGCGCTAACTCCAACAGACATCCATGCAGACATGGTGTCAACTTTAGGGGATGATCCTCCCTTCCTTTGCCACTGTGGAGAGGTGGAAAAGATTGCCTAGAAGATGATCATAGATCAGGAAGGCCTTTGACAGTGCATAATCATGGCTTTGAACTCCATGAAAATCATCTGTATTCACCAGAACTCGCACCATCAGATTTCCACCTCTTCCCAAACTTGAAAATAGAACTGTCTGGCAAGCATTATGCAAACAATGATGACAGCATTTCTGCTGGGGAGGACCTGATATACACCACCAGGATGAAGCCTTCTACCATGTCTACACCAGTGGGATACAGGAACTCCAGCATCGCTGGCAGAAGTGTGTGGACCTTGGAGGGGAACATGTTGAAAAATTATTAGCAACCAACTCCATCAACAGTCCATCATAGTTAGGCTCAGAACCCTTCAGCCTTCTCCGTATGCTGCTATAGAATTTGAACAGGGACACCCAATTCTTAAACTATTAACAATACAGTTATGAAACATGTAAAAAGGACCCCTTGACTGTCTTGCTTAATTTTGCACTGCTGTCTATGCACACAATGTTTAAGGCAAAAAATGGTTTGACTGAACACACCCACCCAATTTTATTCACAAGAACTCACCTAGCACTGGGTATCGTTCTCTAACTAGCTTATTAGAATACACTTGGACAAGTAAACATGTTTCTGTTACCTGTGCCTTCACTTTTGTTTCTCTCTTTCTCCTCCTCACTGTCTTCCCAGTTATCCTGAAATGTAAATGTAGGTAACTTAAGATCAATTCTGTTCAAGTCCACAAAACAGGATCAGAGCCCTCTTTGTTACCCTACAGCAACAATGTATTGATTAAATTTCTTCGTATGTTCACCGTGTTGCCCACACCTCTTAAAGGTATTTATTGGAGAGATTTTCTGATTGCAAGCTCTCACATTCATACACGTAGGTCCTCTATGACAGTTCCTACTCCAATGAACTCAAACCAAGTGAATGTCCAAAATATCTACTGCCATGCTAACAGTCATGTTATCTATACTACCAATGAACAAAGGATACCCTCAGTCATGAAACTTGTTGCATTGATTCCATTATTTATTTTATGAATGACATGGCTGTATCATAAACCATAGGGTTTCAGATAGAAAGAAATATCTTTTCTGGTTTTGCTATCAATTCAACAGAACTTATGATATATTGCAAAGTAAAACAAGTTAATCACTGTTATGAAATGTATGGAAATATGCAATTAATGCCAAATTTTGAGTGCATTAATAGAGTGACACATTTCTATCTGGACATTATTTTCATGATCATAATATTGTTTATTGTCAATGTCGTGAAGTTTACTGCACATGGCGGAAACAATGGCATACGTAACTAAGCTCCTAATCAGTTACATAAACAATGTAATAAAGAGCTAGATTTAGTGCTTCTCAGCAAGAACTGTTTAAATTGTGGTCAGATTGTTTACACAAGTTCATCAAACAGTAATGACAGTAGTCAACCATGTATGATACTGCCCTTGCTCAAATAATTTGATCATGTTGATAATGAAGTTAAAGTTCTAATAATGATCATGATAATCTTATGATAAAACTTATCAAGCAGTGAATGATTTCCCTATATCATGTGTATGTTTCTATAGTAATACATGTATGTGATCTGGAGGGCAGTCCTTAACATCTGCCCAAAATTGGGTAATATCATAATCGGTGGCACGGTGCACCTTTCTTTTTTCATGAGGACAGTTTTCCTCAAGTTATCTTATTTTGTGCACTATTTAATCTCTGGTTATTGCGTGCATATACACAAAGTGATGATGTCACTGTTAGGCGGTCGGTGATTGAGTGCCAATAATGTGAAAATATCGAGAGAAACAGAAATATTTCTTAGGTTATTTTGTTCACTATTGATATTTCTACTGTGTATTCACTATAGCATGAGCACATAAGACAAAAATAAACAGTATTAAAAAAATGTGTAACTTATACCCATGTCCATGCCTGTCACATTTCGTTTTTCGTAAAGGAATATATAGAGCAATGTACATTATCATGATTATTTATTTTTTAAATTTTTACCACATGTTCACTGTGAATTACTTTTGTAGTTTTAAGTGTTCAGGCTGTTTCACTTTAGTACATGTCCAAGTTATTTTTTAGAAACATTTTTTGTAAATGTTATGTCGTGATCATGAATACAATAAGTATATTAGTCAGAAATTTGGACATGTATCATTAGTTCATTCTTTTTTATTGTCAAACTATTCATTTTTCCATGATTCCATCTAAATTAACATAAATGACAGGTATTGTACTTTATTTCTTTTTCATGCTTGGGCTATCTCAAATTCCAGAATTGTGCGAATAGTGATGTAATCCACAAGATGTCATTTTTAAATTGCTATAGTAACGGTAAGCAATGATTCTAGGTACTCACAACACATTCATCATAGGAATTGAGGCAACATATCTTTAAGGGTAAACATGAGTCCAACATGCACCAGCTACCATATACCGGGGGACCTTTGAGGTTAGTTGGAGACTGATCACTGCCGCACAAGACCAAGCGGCACTTTAACGTAAGACTGCATGAGATCAGAAGATTTACATGTGAGGGTTTTGTGAATTGACTTTAATCAGTTTTTCAACACTTTATATGTCATGATAAAAAAATATACAATGCGTTCTCCCATGCTGAATTTTACTGCGGTTTGGCATTCAGGACGTGTCGTATACATAAGCAATTGCGCAATATGGAAAGTAATGGACTCATCCTAGGGTAACTTTCTGTATTCTGATTTTAGCCAGAGTACATTTCTGTATATAGAAACGTAGCTGGGGTACATATCTGTAGTACCTGTGCCGACAACGACCCCTTCAGCCTTGGTATATTGTCTCTGCATGCGTGAAAACTGATAACTCGTGGATAAAATTTGATAAAACATCTAGATTTAACAAACAAATATCTTAGAAAAAGTTAAAGAGGATCTGTTACTATTCTTTTGAATGGTGTTCGCTACAACAACAAATAGTCAGTGACGCATAGCTGGTTTTGGATCGAAATATGGTAGATGTAATCGGCGTTTCTCACTTTGACGTCTTGGTCTTCGTCTTCCCCTTCCCATTTGTCAGAGACAACACCTTTAGCGTTGAAACTCGGAGGCTCAAAATCATCTGCGTCTGTAAACAGAAATAATTTATTCGATTGCCATAATAAGAACCAGAAGTGAGTCACTAGTTTGTCTAAAATATGTTCTAGAAACACATGCTCACCCCACTCGTCCGACATGTTGGCTGTCAGTAATCTCGCTGAATCTCGCGATACTTTGAAAAAAAAAATACAAATGAAAACTACATTAGACAATGAGAATATTTTTTAATGTAACGAAAACCGTGTCAGAATACATTCATATTCGCCAGGGTTTCACGAAAAAGAAAAACCTCATAGCAACGGGATTTGTTTAAAGATGGCGGCTATAGGATGAGCAGGTGCGCTAAAAACAGTGAACGAGTCCGTGATGGTTAGGCTAAACGTTCACAATGCATTGTAAATCTAGGATATAGGCATAGTCTCCATGTTCAGTTTCTTTTAAAAAAAACCTATGCCTTACTATCAAAAGTGATCTCTACATCGAATAATCAAATTCGTCCCTAAAAAGCGTTCACGTCACTAAAACGGTCAAGAAATACACAAAAGATAAAATATTTTGTAAATAAGTATGATTTTGATTCTTGGTTTTATACTATGACCAAACTTGTCATGAGCGGTAGACTGATTGAGCGTTGTCATACCCCAACAGCGTTGTATATTGCTCATAAAATCAACCACTGGTTTATTTTGCACAGACTCAATTAGGCTATTCATAGTTTCAAAAGGTAAAGAGACGCAAACAACATAACCACTGCATGTGGAACTCCTCAGGTGACAGATTGCTAAATTTATGCAAAAAAAACCCAGGAAATGGGTATCTATATAGTTGTATATTGTCTTGCAATTTGAAGTTAAAATATTTTGTCATTTTCTGATCTGCTCCAAATATAGGTAATTTAATATTGTTTACACTTGGCATTGGTTAGTTGATCTGTAAACTAAATTATTCTAAATGTGTTGTTTTTGTGAATGGTGTTAAATTACCTTTCACTGGTTCTCATCTCAACATTTACAATTTCACTTTTTGTGTCTTGTCAACCAATGTTGTGATTTCATTGTCAAAATAAACCAGAAAACATGGCAGCTCTATTGTTGGATTGTTACAGACACAGATCGAGTGGATAGTCTGAAAACCAGTAAGGGTAGCATCACTATTCAAACTATTTAGAAACTGAATATATCTGTTTTTAAAAGATTTCTTCCTTATTCAGTGGCTGCTAAATGAAGGATTTTTTATTGCCGTTTGCATTTTGTTACAGAGACAGTACTTAGAAATCAGACAAAGGTAGTTTCTCCCCTGAGCATGCTGAGGGGTGCACAAATCTGAAAAGAGTTTCTACTTTTTTCAGTCATCCATGAAACAAACACTTTTAGACAATCGTTGAAGTTTCTTTAAGGCAAGATGAAGAAAAACACAGGAGGAATACCCAAATCCGTAAGCTTATTTTTCACCATCAATATGTATACTAATAAGTTGCACATTTATTATATTCTTCATCAATACTTAACTGCTCTGCATCCACTTCATTGACTTAGAAGGGCGGTTGGGTAGCCTAGTGGTTAAAGCGTTCGCTCATCATGCCGAAGACCTGGGTTCGATTCCCGACATGGGTACAATGTGTGAAGCCCATTTCTGGTGTCCCCCGCCTTGATATTGCTGGAATATTGCTAAAAGCGGCGTAAAACCAAACTCACTCACTCACTCACTCATTGACTTAGAAATTCCTTTTTTAAGAGAAGTCCAGAGTACTGCTGTATACCTTGTTTCACTAGTCTCCAGATTGTGTATTTTGGAAAAAAACACGCATCACTACTACACCACATTTAGACTACGTGTATTCATGGAACATTGTGTATAGACAACATGTTGAGTACTGACAATATTATATAGTGATAACAATAAACACTAGGATATAACATATATAGAGGTAGATGTTGGTTGGTGCAAAAGTAAGGTGGTTTATAAGGTTTATAAGGCTGTGAAATTGGATTAAACCCTGGAAAGTTAGATGAAATGGCAGATTAGAACAGCTTTTACAAAGACTTGAAGTTTTATTGTAACATCCACGGTTGGATATCTCAATCACAGAATTCTTGTCAGTAAATTCTTATTATTATTCTTATGAACTTTGGAGATGGTAGAAGTGTTACAAATAAGGAAGAGAATATATGGATGTCAACTTATTTATTATGAGGAACACAATGTTTTGGAGTATGTGCTTACTCCTTCATCTGATGAAACGTTGTGTTCCTCATAATAAAGAAGTTATAATAAAGAAGTTGACATCCATATATTCTTCCTTTTCTCAAGTTTTAAGTTTGATAACAATGATTCAAATTGATATCCTGACAATAACTTTAACACATATTGATAGATTTGAACCCCATTCGCCTTATGTTCAAATCAATGGTGACCTTGTTGGCAAGTTTACATAAGTGACAAGTAGAATCAAAATTATGAAATTCAGATATTAGCAACTGAGTCCTGTGACCGAAGAAGCGAAACTCTTTGCAACCAGCTACCTGTATATAATGTGTCTTTTACACATGTGTAGTGACCATAGCGATATCAAACAAAATTATGGACAATTACGAAGTTGTCAAAAATGTGCAGAGAAAAGTTTTTTATTCAGCTTCATAACACATTACAGATGAAAGAACACTTGCAATATATTGTGGTACATCTCGCAATACATGAATCTTTATTATAATAAACAGCAATATGAAAGTCAGACAAATATCCATCACCAGTTAGAACTAAACTCAAAAGTTTTTCCTGGCCAGGTAAAGATAAAAACACTTTGTAATGTTAAAACAAAGGGGAAATTTGTACTAGCCCACCGGAATTAGTAGTAGCCCCGGGCTAGCTGGCTAGTGTTTAGTTCTAACTTTGCTGAGTGATACCACACATATTATACATCTTAAAAAATGCAGTTGTCTGGTACTTGCATTTATAAAGTGACACATCTGGACAAACTGGAGATTATTGTCACTCCAGGTTCACTGCACAGACCAGGTTACTCCCATTAATTTGGTGGCTAATTCATTTCATGATTAACAATAAATGCTGAATTTTTTAAACGTGTATTTACGTGACATTGCAGCGAAAAGAAACCCAGAAATATATTCACAAATTTGACAAAGTGCAGTAGAATTAACCCTTGCTCCATAGCTGATGAAGAATGATTTTGACATGTCTCCAGAAATCTGGTGGCTCACCAGCCCCTGCTGGGGCCAAGAAAGGCGGGGCCACCGGAGATGGGCAGGGCAAGCCAGCCCCTACCTCTAAGTCTAAGGCAGTGGTACCCAGAGGGAGTCGAGCTATGGCACCAATGAAAATGACGAAACAAGATGGTATGCTGGTACCAGAAGGTGAGATTGATATCAGTATATTCTGTTAGTTAATTCTCAATTATCCAGTGTATATATATATATATCATATAAAGATAGAGGTGACTTCAATACAAAGTGAGAGGTGTGGGAGGCAGTATTTGGTGAAGGTGCAGGTATGGGAGGAGGATGAGCTCGCATTCAATACCTAACGCTTTCCCATAGTTCGTTCAACATTCTTTGTTTCAGATTATTTCTCATTGTAGATAATTAATGTTGTTTCACACAATTCACAAACTTTGTGATTCAAGCAACCATATTATTCATTCATTCATTCATTCATTCATTCATTCATTCATTCATTCATTCATTCATTCATTCATTTTATATTTTATCTGAGCATTTGCTAATTTTTCTTACAATTTCCCCTGATACAAAAGGTAAAATATACACCAACTGCTGATTTTCAAAATCATCCAGCATTTATGCAGTTATTGTGTAAAATGATAAAGTAATGTTTCTGTATCATAACGCAAGATCAAACTTTGATACTTCTTACATTAGCTTACCAACACATCTATGCTAAGGGATTTTGACTTCTCTATATCTTCTCCAGACTTGATTATTTACAGATGCTGTGATTTAATATTTTAGGTAAATTTTGTGTTTTAATAACTAGTGTATTTTTAACATTCCACTTCAACTCAGTGTTCAGCATTATCCTCAGAAAAAGAAAACACTTTATCAACTTAATCACCAGTTTTAGTAAAACATGTAAGAGTGTAATGTTGTAACAACTTTTGTCTCATTCAGTTATCTCATAGAGGTGAGCTTCAGTACCTAGGTCAGTAGGTATTGTGTCTAATGATATATTCTATATATTTTCTGGGAGACTAAATAGATAAATATAATTTCATTCTTTCCATTTACATGTAGGTTATACCATGAGGAAAATCGAACCAGCCAAAAACTACGATGTTGTTTCATTTGCCCGCGCTATGAATGATGACTTTGCTCCTCGACTGAAGAAGTTGTTTGACCCAGAAACTGAGGCTGCAGTGGAGGCTCAGAAAACAGGTACACAAGTTTTGTGTTCAATAACTGTCAACTCTAATCTGCTGCCTGATGTCATTATGCCGAAGTAACCCCGGCCTCATTTTACACATCCTTGGGTGAGAGAACAGATGGAACGTGTCATGTACATTCCAGTAGCTTCAACATTGTCAGTACCTGACTTACCCTGTTGTGAGTCTTGGTTAATACGTCCCAAGTGACCCTTGAAGATACAGGGCAGAATAGGTCTTCAGCAACCCATGCTTGCAGTAAAAGGCGACTATGCTTGTCGTAAGAGGCGACTTACGGGATCAGGTGGTCAGGCTCACTGACTTGGTTGATGCATGTCATCGTATCCCAATTGCCTGGATTGATGTTCATGATGTCAATCACTGGATTTTCTTGTCCAGACTCGACTATTTACAGGCCTGGAATATTGCTGAATGCAGCGTTAAACAACAAACAAACAAAACGTCCCAAGTAAATCTATGCTGTTCGTAAGAGGCGGCTAAATGGATTGAGTGGTCAGGCTCAGTGACTTGGTCACTTGGTTGATTGGGTGGCTTGGGAGCCTGACTGCGTGGAGTGTTGTCCATAACATGATGCCTGGATTGTCTGGTACAGACTAGAATAGTTACCAACCACCATCATATGGCTGGAACACTGCAAAGTGTGCAGTTAAACAACAAACACTCAATGCACAAACAGTACCTGCCTCAGTAAAATATGAAAACTGTGATGACTGCACTGACGTTCTGTTTTCACTCTACTAAATGCCCGGGGCACTTAGAAGTTAACAAGAGCAGTCACTTATTTAAACCAGTCACAAGGTCAGTTTGATGTCAGAGATTGAGTGAGAGAAAACTAACTGTGATCAAAATAGTACATTTAACAGTCAGGTTTAAATATTTTTGCTATTAGAAAAAAATACATAATATACACTCTCTTCTACAAAACTTTATTTCAGTAAGAAATGTTGAAGTATAAACAAGAAAATACAGACTGTCAAGTAAACGTTTGTTCTTAGTTGGTACTGTTAGGATTACTTACAGATTGGTCTAGAAGTTGATCAAGGGACAATGATTTGAATGGGCTGATAAATACAGCGAATACGGTACATGTATTTTTACTGCCAGGTTGGTTTTCTAATAATAACTTACTTTTTCTTAAATAACGTTATGACTAGCAACAGATGTTATGTTCATTGTCACAAGTTACAGTAACACATATCAAGCATACTGACCAGACCACATGCACTGTCAGTTTAAGGTTAGACCGGCTAGCGGGTAAGCGGGGTAGTGAAGGAAGGACTCATTGAAAAAGATTACCTGGTTGGTTGTCATATGCTCAATATGTATGTAGTCTTATGAAAAAAATGTGTTCTCATTAAAAATACTGTATTCTGTTGATAAATACTGTATTCTGTTGATAAATACTGTATTCTAATTAAAAATAGTGACATATAGGTATCTATATTGGCTGGCGATGCCCGGAGTTCCAGCATGACTGTCAGCGAATCAACAAGATGTCCAAATGTTTCTGTGGGCATCTGCTTGGGGAACATGCCAAATACACAGGTATGAACGACCACCCCCTCCAGATCCACTACTGCTAACATGAGGCCAGCCATTTTATGTGAAGTGTTTCTCATCCACGGGCAGCTTCAGAGAGGGGGCAGGAAATAGGAAATAATAAAAATACAAATTATGAGCTACTGCTGTAGGTCAAAAATACAGTTTGGTGCTAAATTTGTAACGATGTTGAGCATAGCAGACAGGGAGAATGGCAGTGGTGAAACTATAGGCAGAGGTACTTCTCTTCTTTGATTATCCAACCGTTAGGACTCAGTATGGAGAGAAGGATCAGGCACAGTGCGGGCCATTATCAATCATGCTGTCAAATGGTGTCTTATAACTATTTTTATGTAGCGGCCATAAAATTTCCGAGTCCCGTGATGGGATTCGAACCACGGACCTTCTGATCCGAGGTCGGACACCTTGTCCACATGACCAAAGAGGTTAACCCCCATCAGCAAGCTGACAAGGTAAGGATGTCATCTGTGGGATGACTCCACGCCCTGCTACATTTACATACAAACATAATCCAACATGGCATCTGAGTCTGTGTGTGATTAATGAAGTACGTCACAACCCAGGATGATACATGGGTTGACGAAGTACCGTGTATATATTTAGGAAAAAACAATGGTTGGTTCAAAAGCAGGGGCAACTATGCTTGTCATAAGAGGTGACTAATGGGATCGGGTGGTCAAGCTCACTGACTTGGTTGATGCATGTCATTGTATCCCAAATGCGTAGATCGATGCTCATGATGTCAATCACTGGATTGTCTGGTCCAGACTCAATTATTCACAGACTGTGGTCGTATAGCTGGAATTTTGCTGAGTGCGATGTTGCAGACAAATAAAAAGATAAGAAAACATGTACCAGACTGCAAATGGAGGCTGAATCAAATGCTACGTCACAGTGCAAAAGTCCTTCTCCTTTTGGGAGAGATCAAACACCAATGCAGTTACCAATATCACTCAATGTGCCATCATTCACAATGCCTCTGTCCAGGAAACTCCCAAAACTGACAATGGAATATCTCCATAGATGGTCTCCGTCCTCAAAGGCCAAGTTGGAATGACATCCCACAACTTCATGTTGTCGTGTTCCATTGTTGATGACGTGTTTCTTGGCCAGTGAGGATAAATTATTAAAACTTATCCTACAAGCACAAGCATCACCCCTCCTTTGTTCAATTGTCTATAGCCCAGCATTCACCTCGGTCAGTTCAACTGCCCTCCTGTGTCCTGCAGCTACCTCAGACTTCTGCAGATGATAATACCCTGAAATACAGCATTACCTTATTAATAAAATACACTGAGAATGTTTCATGAAACCTGAATTTCATTTATCTCAAATCCAGAACGTGATGCTATACATTCTTGCCCCTAGGGAAATGGGTGGATTTGAAACCTTTCAAATAATTTGAGCTTAACAGTTATCTTAAGATCAACTTGAGACGAAAAACTAAGACTGCCTAATGCCTAGGACAATTGGGGTTCATTGCAACCCATGGTTGAGTACTTGTTGTGTAAGTTACTGTGAGAAATGTGCTGTACTGCAGGTCACAGTGTGCGGGTTCCATGTAAACAGTCAGGATGTCCGTGTAAGGCTTTCGCATGGGTTCCATCTCGCCCAGAGGACATCGGAGAATTCTGGTTCCAGCGTCGTAGAGACTTCGACGTGACAACCTGGCGGTGTAAGTGTAAATGTAAGCACACCCATGAGGAGCACGACCCTAACGGCCTCCACAGGTGCAAGAACAGAGGTGAGGAGGCATCACATGGTCACACACAAATGTGTATTATTTGTCATAAGGTGTTGTGTGTGTGAGTAGTGGGACATACAAGATTGACTGAATGAGTATGGTTGTAACCACTAGGCTACCCCACCGCCCCGGGACATTTTGTGTCATGTACTGAATATAATGACCCTTCCCTAATGCTTGTTATATTTTTCATATGTACATTTCTTTCATGACCTTCCCCCCCTCCCCCTACACCCCATAACAAATGATCTGTCCCTTAGACGACTTTTGCTGGTATGGTGAAAATGTAGCTTGATTTTATACCCTTTCATTAAGGGTTAAGGTGTGATTTTCTTTCTCATTTCAGGATGTTCCTGTGGTGGATTTTTTTCAAACTTTTTATGTGCAGCCTGTGATAAGCATTGGGAAAATCATGAAACATTCTTCGAGACAGAAGATATGCGAAGAGAGAAGGGTTTGCCAATAGGTGGGTGAGATGCATGACACTAGGAGAGAAGGATTTGCCTATAGGTAGGTGAGATGCATGACACTAGGAAAGAAGGGTTTGTCAATAGGTGGGTGAGATGCATGACACTAGGAGAGAAGGATTTGCCTATAGGTGGGTGAGATGCATGACACTAGGAGAGAAGGGTTTGCCAATATGTGGGTGAGATGCATGACACTAGGAGAGAAGGATTTGCCAATACAGTAAACTATGTTTATAACAAACTTTTGTTGTTATTATGTTGTACATATGCTTATAACGAACCATGGTTATTACGTTATAACTACAATAAGTGGTCCCTTTGAGTTCGTTATAACCGTAGTTTACTGTAGGTGGGTGAGATGCAGACACTAGGAGAGAAGGGATGGCCAATAGGTGGGTGAGATGCATGACAACAGAAGGGATGGCCAATAGGTGGGTGAGATGCATGACAACAGAAGGGATGGCCAATAGGTGGGTGAGATGCATGACAACAGAAGGGATGGCCAATAGGTGGGTGAGATGCATGACAACAGAAGGGATGGCCAATAGGTGGGTGAGATGCATGACAACAGAAGGGATGGCAAATAGGTGGGTGAGATGCATGACAACAGAAGGGATGGCCAATAGGTGGGTGAGATGCATGACAACAGAAGGGATGGCCAAAAGGTGGGTGAGATGCATGATGTCAGAAGGGATAGCCAATAGGTGGGTGAGATTTATGATAGAAGGGATGGCCAATAGGTGGGTGAGATGCATGATATCAGAAGGGATAGCCAATAGGTGGGTGAGATGCATGATATCAAAAGGGATGGCCAATAGGTGAGTTAGATGCATGATATCAGAAGGGATTCCCAATAGGTGGGTGAGATGCATGATGTCAGAAGGGATAGCCAATAGGTGGGTGAGATGCAAGACACTAGGAGAGAAGGGATGGCCAATAGGTGGGTGAGATGCATGATATCAGAAGGGATGGCCAATAGGTGGGTGATATTTATGATAGAAGGGATGGCCAATAGGTGGGTGATATTTATGATAGAAGGGATGGCCAATAGGTGGGTGATATTTATGATAGAAGGGATGGCCAATAGGTGGGTGATATTTATGATAGAAGGGATGGCCAATAGGTGGGTGATATTTATGATAGAAGGGATGGCCAATAGGTGGGTGAGATGCATGATATCAGAAGGGATGGCCAATAGGTGAGTTAGATGCAAGATATCATAAGGGATGGCCATTAGGTGGGTGAGATGCATGATAGAAGGGATGGCCAATAGGTGGGTGAGATGCATGATATCAGAAGGGATGGCCAATAGGTGGGTGAGATGCATGATAGAAGGGATGGCCAATAGGTGGGTGAGATGCATGATAGAAGGGATGGCCAATAGGTGAGTTAGATGCATGATATCATAAGGGATGGCCAATAGGTGAGTTAGATGCAAGATATCATAAGGGATGGCCAATAGGTGAGTTAGATGCATGATATCAGAAGGGATGGCCAATAGGTGGGCGAGATGCATGATAGAAGGGATGGCCAATAGGTGGGTGAGATGCATGATATCAGAAGGGATGGCCAATAGGTGAGTTAGATGCATGATATCAGAAGGGATGGCCAAAGGTGGGTGATATTTATGATAGAAGGGATGGCCAATAGGTGGGTGAGATGCATGATATCAAAAGGGATGGCCAATAGGTGAGTTAGATGCATGATATCAGAAGGGATTGCCAATAGGTGGGTGAGATGCATGATATCAAAAGGGATGGCCAATAGGTGGGTGAGATGCATGACATTGTATCAGTTTGAGTGAACATGAAAGTTGAAATGAGCTTATGTCATGGCGTTTTGTTAGAATTTGATTTTTCTGTTCAGTGTAGACATATCTCATCACAAAATGATTTCCTATGTATCTAGGAGAGATGTATCTGCCATTTGCGGAGATGCCGAACCTGCGCAATATAACTCTGACCGGTGAAGAGCATGACGACAGTCGTTACCTTGCCCTCACCCAAGGGGAAGGCTCCATCCCACAGACCCGACGACCGGTGGGGAATGAGGCTGCTGTCAACTTTGGTGGGGGTGGGAAAAGTGGCGGATTTAAGCCAGTTTATGATTAAATCTGGGCTGAGTGTGAGTTAACAGTAATGTTCTGGAATATGAGATATATTAGAAATGTGCTGTTTTTCAAGTCATAATCAAAATAACCTCTATCGGTGTTGACTTAGTGCAATCTAGTTGCTTGCTCTTAATACACACTGTCTCAAATATTTACTATATAAACATAGCTTGATCTTTATATAAACATATACATTGGTTCTGTTTAGCGCAATAGTAAAGTTATTCCAAGGTAAGAACTATATAAATATTGATTTTAAAACTTATAGTTACTAACTACTTCATTACTGCATTGTTTTCTTCAGTGTTGGGTCTGTTTTGAAGTTATCACAACAATGAACATTCATGATGTTTTAACAAAGTTTGAGATTGTGTAACTGCACATGTATTTGAGAACATTATTCATATACATATTTAAGGATTAGATGTGCCTTGTTAATGAAATGTTAGTATGTATAGCTTTACATGACATTCTAGTACTCGTGCTTCTATAACACATTCCATATTTTAGATATTTATCTATACTGGTGTCCGAAATAAGACAAAATTCCAGGCTGCCTTTAAGACTCACAGACTTTAGAAGCTGAGGGCCTTGACTAAACTCTCATTTAGGAAACTGCAGCTTATTGTGATAAATAATCAACATGTATGTGTACTGTAGGCCATAAGGACCCATACAAGTTTGAGTCTACGGGTCCAACACGAGATCTACTTGCCACCGGCCTACAGGTAGGCGTTTATTTTGTACACTGTACCAGTACACATATTAATTTACATCAGTAGATATTTATCTATACCAGTATACATATGGGTATATAGCAAGAGATATTATTCCCCTATTAATGACTTGTATTTTGTTGCGGCTTGTTCCAGTTCTTGTCCTGATTAATGGTTTCTGTAGTCAGGAATGTTGTTTTCTGATATTTTAAACAAGAACGTTTTTTGTTCAGCAGAATGTCTTTCTTTGATCTCAATGCTGTCAATGTTTCCTGTCGCTATGCAAGTCCACCAGACTTTGAGGGAATACACAGAGCCTAGGATCCGGTGGATCATAAGACTGTAGAAATAACCTTGCCCAAACAAGGCCAAATAAGTTACCAGCTTATAAATAGGAATTCTACCATGAATTTGAAAAATACTCGATTTTCATTGGTCAATTAGAGGTTTCAAATCACAATAAACCCATTCTGTTTGAAACAGCTGATTTGAAGGCCGCATCACCACAAAGCTCATATTTTTAGAATAGTACTTCTTTTACAGTCATTGTCGGTAGGCATATTTTAATAAGCATATGTACAATTATTGGTAACAAAATGTTGCAAAGTTACAGTTACTACAATATACAAAAGATGTGTGAGAATACATATGTGCAGAATACATAATAGAAATCAACAAGAGAATGTATTTCAAGTTTTGAGGACAACAGAGAGCTTGCTATTTGGAGCTTTTCTATATATAGGACTGTGACGTCATATATTTTGCCTCACAGTGACTGATATGATGTCATGAAAGTGATGAACGGTGTAGAATGAAAACTTTGCCAGGCTTGCTTAGTTTTCGTTAGGGGTGCCAACCTCATGTTAGCTCTTGAAGTTGCCTTGCTACACGCTTTCAGTGCCTGTCATAAGTTCTAGTGAAGTATTACGGTGTAAACCAACTGCTTGAGCATATAGAGCCCCATATTTTGTTTAAAGGCTGTTGTCGGTGATTCCGTAAATTCAGATCGACCACCCTCTCAAAATACTGGACTCAACCCATGCGGCTTCACTCAATGTTTTTTCTAACACCAAAATGTTCTTGTTATATTTAGTCATGGAAGAATGGAGCTAAACAGGGTCAATTTTGATGTGCCAAGCATATGACATCATATGAAACACTGACGTTGTGAGGGCCGTACATGCCGCCCAACCAACATGGTGGGCTTTTACAAGATGGTGACTGGCCAATCAGCTGGATTTTTTTACGAGTACTAATAGTATTTTATCTATGTATTGTCTGTTTGTATCATAACCAAGATAACAAGTATCTAGGTACCCTCATTCATGGACATTCTGATCCACAGGGTTGAAAGTGGGTGTATTTGGAAAAGAGAAGCAAGGCCATGCCAATTTTATTTCTTGTTTAAGGATTGTTGAGATGAAACTGTTACGAATGATAATTTTCATTTCAAAAAGAACCATTGATAACAATAACAAGAAGTGAGAATATTATTTTTGAAATGTGGGTTGATTGTAGAATATTGATTATGTCCAGACATTTGAATATGAAGAAGGGCATCCAAAGTGAGTATTCATAACAGCATTTGGTCATTTTCTGTTGAAATTTATCAGGGTAGGTCATGTATAAAATAAGAAAACAAATTGAGATGGTGGAAAGGTTTGAAAGTATAAGAAGTCAGTCACCCATTTCATATTCTGATTGTCCCTCCAGCGCATGTGTGTCATAAATACGTCCGCTGACCATGGTAACACTGCAGCAGAAAACTGTGATATATTTTATACTTGTTAACGTATTGGTGTACAGTTGATTTATGTTATTTGTATGTGCACTGCTGAAACCACCAAGATGTTTTATCACAAATCCTTGTCCTTTGATGAAATAAACATCAAGGATCATCGTGTGTTTGTTACTTTATGATTTGTACGCCAGACTTATTGAAGTTTGACCTTGAGCTTGGAGGACAGAGAAGCAACTATTTCCAGCAAAGAAGCAAAAGAAAAAACTTCTTGTTACATTTAATCTATTGGACAAGACACAAATAAGACAAACACAAACATTCCTTTAGACACAGACTTCCATGTCTCTTCACCGTTCCTCTGTCTGCAGAAGGGTATAACCAGGGTATCACATTAGCTGGACAAGCTGGGAGCTGTGGAGTCTTCACTGTGTTATAACCAGGGTATCACACAAGCTGGGAGCTGTGGTGTCTTCACTGTGTTATAACCAGGGTATCAAAAAAGATGGGAGCTGTGGAGTCTTCACTGTGTTATAACCAGGGTATCACATTAGCTGGACAAGCTGGGAGCTGTGGAGTCTTCACTGTGTTATAACCAGGATATCACACAAGCTGGGAGCTGTGGAGTCTTCACTGTGTTATAACCAGGGTATCACATTAGCTGGACAAGCTGGGAGCTGTGGAGTCTTCACTGTGTTATAACCAGGGTATCACACAAGCTGGGAGCTGTGGAGTCTTCACTGTGTTATAACCTGGATATCACACAAGCTGGGAGCTGTGGAGTCTTCACTGTGTTATAACCAGGGTATCACAAAAGCTGGGAGCTGTGGAGTCTTCACTGTGTTAAAACCAGGGTATCACATTAGCTGGACAAGCTGGGAGCTGTGGAGTCTTCACTGTGTGATAACCAGGGTATCGCATTAGCTGGACAAGCTGGGAGCTGTGGAGTCTTCACTGTGTTATTACCAGGGTATCACATTAGCTGGACAAGCTGGGAGCTGTGGAGTCTTCACTGTGTTATAACCAGGGTATCACACAAGCTGGGAGCTGTGGAGTCTTCACTGTGTTATAACCAGGGTATCACACAAGCTGGGAACTGTGGAGTCTTCTCTGTGTTATAACCAGGGTATCACATTAGCTGGACAAGCTGGGAGCTGTGGAGTCTTCACTGTGTTATAACCAGGGTATCACACAAGCTGGGAGCTGTGGAGTCTTCACTGTGTTATAACCAGGATATCACACAAGCTGGGAGCTGTGGAGTCTTCACTGTGTTATAACCAGGGTATCACAAATGCTGGGAGCTGTGGAGTCTTCACTGTGTTATAACCAGGGTATCACATTAGCTGGACAAGCTGGGAGCTGTGGAGTCTTCACTGTGTGATAACCAGGGTATCACATTAGCTGGACAAGCTGGGAGCTGTGGAGTCTTCACTATGTTATAACCAGGGTATCACATTAGCTGGACAAGCTGGGAGCTGTGGAGTCTTCACTGTGTTATAACCAGGGTATCACACAAGCTGGGAGCTGTGGAGTCTTCACTGTGTTATAACCAGGGTATCACACAAGCTGGGAGCTGTGGACTCTTCACTGTGTTATAACCAGGGTATCACACAAGCTGGGAGCTGTGGAGTCTTCACTGTGTTATAACCAGGGTATCACACAAGCTGGGAGCTGTGGACTCTTCACTGTGTTATAACCAGGGTATCACACAAGCTGGGAGCTGTGGAATCTTCACTGTGTTATAACCAGGGTATCACAAAAGCTGGGAGCTGTGGGCTCTTCACTGTGTTATAACCAGGATATCACACAAGCTGGGAGCTGTGGAGTCTTCACTGTGTTATAACCAGGGTATCACACAAACTGGGAGCTGTGGAGTCTTCACTGTGTTATAACCAGGGTATCACATTAGCTGGACAAGCTGGGAGCTGTGGAGTCTTCACTGTGTGATAACCAGGGTATCACATTAGCTGGACAAGCTGGGAGCTGTGGAGTCTTCACTGTGTTATAACCAGGGTATCACACAAGCTCGGAGCTGTGGAGTCTTCACTGTGTTATAACCAGGGTATCACACAAGCTGGGAACTGTGGAGTCTTCTCTGTGTTATAACCAGGGTATCACACAAGCTGGGAGCTGTGGAGTCTTCACTGTGTTATAACCAGGGTATCACACAAGCTGGGAGCTGTGGAGTCTTCACTGTGTTATAACCAGGGTATCACATTAGCTGGACAAGCTGGGAGCTGTGGAGTCTTCACTGTGTTATAACCAGGGTATCACACAAGCTGGGAGCTGTGGAGTCTTCACTGTGTTATAACCAGGGTATCACACAAGCTGGGAACTGTGGAGTCTTCTCTGTGTTATAACCAGGGTATCACATTAGCTGGACAAGCTGGGAGCTGTGGAGTCTTCACTGTGTTATAACCAGGGTATCACACAAGCTGGGAGCTGTGGAGTCTTCACTGTGTTATAACCAGGGTATCACAAAAGCTGGGAGCTGTGGAGTCTTCACTGTGTTATAACCAGGGTATCACATTAGCTGGACAAGCTGGGAGCTGTGGAGTCTTCACTGTGTGATAACCAGGGTATCACATTAGCTGGACAAGCTGGGAGCTGTGGAGTCTTCACTGTGTTATAACCAGGGTATCACATTAGCTGGACAAGCTGGGAGCTGTGGAGTCTTCACTGTGTTATAACCAGGGTATCACACAAGCTGGGAGCTGTTGAGTCTTCACTGTGTTATAACCAGGGTATCACACAAGCTGGGAACTGTGGAGTCTTCTCTGTGTTATAACCAGGGTATCACACAAGCTGGGAGCTGTGGAGTCTTCACTGTGTTATAACCAGGGTATCACACAAGCTGGGAGCTGTGGACTCTTCACTGTGTTATAACCAGGGTATCACACAAGCTGGGAGCTGTGGAGTCTTCACTGTGTTATAACCAGGGTATCACACAAGCTGGGAGCTGTGGACTCTTCACTGTGTTATAACCAGGGTATCACACAAGCTGGGAGCTGTGGAATCTTCACTGTGTTATAACCAGGGTATCACAAAAGCTGGGAGCTGTGGGCTCTTCACTGTGTTATAACTAGGATATCACACAAGCTGGGAGCTGTGGAGTCTTCACTGTGTTATAACCAGGGTATCACACAAACTGGGAGCTGTGGAGTCTTCACTGTGTTGTAACCAGGGTATCACATTAGCTGGACAAGCTGGGAGCTGTGGAGTCTTCACTGTGTGATAACCAGGGTATCACATTAGCTGGACAAGCTGGGAGCTGTGGAGTCTTCACTGTGTTATAACCAGGGTATCACATTAGCTGGACAAGCTGGGAGCTGTGGAGTCTTCACTGTGTTATAACCAGGGTATCACACAAGCTGGGAGCTGTGGACTCTTCACTGTGTTATAACCAGGGTATCACACAAGCTGGGAGCTGTGGAGTCTTCACTGTGTTATAACCAGGGTATCACACAAGCTGGGAGCTGTGGACTCTTCACTGTGTTATAACCAGGGTATCACACAAGCTGGGAGCTGTGGAATCTTCACTGTGTTATAACCAGGGTATCACAAAAGCTGGGAGCTGTGGGCTCTTCACTGTGTTATAACTAGGATATCACACAAGCTGGGAGCTGTGGAGTCTTCACTGTGTTATAACCAGGGTATCACACAAACTGGGAGCTGTGGAGTCTTCACTGTGTTATAACCAGGGTATCACATTAGCTGGACAAGCTGGGAGCTGTGGAGTCTTCACTGTGTTATAACCAGGGTATCACATTAGCTGGACAAGCTGGGAGCTGTGGAGTCTTCACTGTGTTATAACCAGGGTATCACACAAGCTGGGAGCTGTGGACTCTTCACTGTGTTATAACCAGGGTATCACACAAGCTGGGAGCTGTGGAGTCTTCACTGTGTTATAACCAGGGTATCACACAAGCTGGGAGCTGTGGACTCTTCACTGTGTTATAACCAGGGTATCACACAAGCTGGGAGCTGTGGAATCTTCACTGTGTTATAACCAGGGTATCACAAAAGCTGGGAGCTGTGGGCTCTTCACTGTGTTATAACTAGGATATCACACAAGCTGGGAGCTGTGGAGTCTTCACTGTGTTATAACCAGGGTATCACACAAACTGGGAGCTGTGGAGTCTTCACTGTGTTATAACCAGGGTATCACATTAGCTGGACAAGCTGGGAGCTGTGGAGTCTTCACTGTGTGATAACCAGGGTATCACATTAGCTGGACAAGCTGGGAGCTGTGGAGTCTTCACTGTGTTATAACCAGGGTATCACATTAGCTGGACAAGCTGGGAGCTGTGGAGTCTTCACTGTGTTATAACCAGGGTATCACACAAGCTGGGAGCTGTGGACTCTTCACTGTGTTATAACCAGACTATCACACAAGCTGGGAGCTCTCTCTAACTAAACAAATATCTGAAAACACAAACAAGATTGTTAGGAATGGATACCCTTTAATAGCAGAGTGTTGTAATAATATTGGAACATACAATTTTTGGCATGTATCTTGGGACATCAATATCACTATAATATTAATACACTTGAGACAAATACTGGATTGTCTGACAGCAGATTACTAATACCCTACATACCAGTGTACCAGAATTCTCTCCAAATCAGACAATGATATTGAGGATCATAATGGACCACTCAAAAAAGGATTTACTGTAAAGATTCATGTATTACGATAAACAATCACAATGACTCCCTGTAGCGATGATCCGGCCATCACATTGCTGACTGGCATAAAACAACATTCACTCACTCTCTTTCAGATACTCTCAATCCAAAGGTGAATATCCTGAGAGGGTCTTCATGTGTTTATTTAAGTATATACTCAACACAAATCTCCAGGGGAGGAGAGGGGGGAGGGGATATGGAAGTACAATGTGTTTTTCAGCTAAATCAATCTACATTACAGTACAGCAGCCATTTTCACATTGTGGATTTGGTGAAATAAGTACTGAGATTAGCTTCACATCAACCATGACATTGCAGCAACAAAACAAGCAAGGATTTATGATAAACACACACTCTTGGCACATTTACAAGGATAATAATTACAACATGGCTCAATGATACTGCATCCCAGGACTGGAAACTGGTTTGTTATAGAGGGAGTGAGTGAGTTGGGTTTAATGATGCTTTTGATATAATAATGGTCATATCACACCATGTCAGGAAAGCCCAAAGTAATTCAAGTAATATGGGCTTACCACCTTAGTGAAACCCACATGCACAGGTACGGTGTTTAGAAATCATTGATCTTTATCATGCTGAATCTGGGATTTGAACCTATGTCCAGCGGACACTGGCATGGCCAAGGGACACGACTCTGCACAGTGCACCAACAGTGTTCCTGTTTTACGAAGAAATATTTTGGAAGGTCCATGTGATTAACTTGAAATGACTAGAATTTAAATATCAAACTTCTTAGCAAAAATTGTAATGAACAGATTCACATGATAATCAAATTTGTTTGAAGAAATATTGAACAGTCTATTAACCCTGCTTCAGAAGTGGATCACCCATCAGTTGGGCGAAGAGAATGCCCCATAAAAATGTCCACATCAATGAATCACATCATCAGTCACTGACTGCTGTAATTGACCCTGGAACAATTCACAACCACAGCTTTATCTCGAGGCCACCTCGACCACAGGTACTCGATGACATGTATAGCATGATATATTTGTATAGAAAAAAACACACCCTCTCTATATGCATATAGTCTATATCTATATAGAGGGGTGTGATTTTTTCTATACAAATATATTATGCTATACACACTGTCATCAATTCCTGTGACTTTGACCTGCACAAAACTAAACAACAGTTGTCCAATCAAAATGTATTCATTGGTGACGGAATCACTGGGAAGATAACTGTAGGAGGGACAATGTGATGACTTATGTACCAAAGAAGCTGTGTTAGCACAAGGGTCCACAGTGTTATAGTTGAATAACGACACAATGCACAATCAGTTGGAGTAGGTGGTGACTCATGTCTAAGTACTGTTTCATAAAAATAGGTCTATATATTTTTTTAACATCGAATTACAGGTTTAAAGATGCGACAGCTTCTAACATCCTGAGAGATATTCAGAAGTAAAGTCCGAACAACTTCTATTATTTCTTTTCATGGTTGATGTTATCATGTTATTCCTGCTTAAGCTTGTGACCTTCAAAGATAAGTCCGCTGGGTCTAACATGACAATGGACCTATAGACTACTACGTCAGTTAAATCTTGGCTTGAAACTTAACGCTCGAGAGGTGACTGTAGAAAGCTACAAGCAAGGGTTTGGTGCCAACCTACCACCAATCATGGTCTAACCCATAAGGAGCCGATATGGCAGCTGAAAGTGAAAGGCGCATTGATCCCCTATGATTAAGTACAACCCATGTAATGATATCATATATTGTGCCATAAAGTCACTGCATATGAAGAATGTTGATGCTCCGATACTTTGCACGCCGTCTCTTGGCGCTGATGGACTCCAGCATAGTTTCCTCTAGCGAGTACAATTTCGTCAGCAAGTGAGTGTCATTGACAGCAAACGACTTCAACTTACTCAAACAGTCTAAAGCTTCATTCTGCAAAACAACATTGGAATCTAACTGGCTATGCATACTAGCACTGTCTGAGAGTTTCTGCTTGAACAATTCCCCATAAGTGTCCTCTGGTTCTGTTTTAATCATGGGCCGTCCTAACGCTTCCGCAATCAGCTGTTTCTCCCATTCAGCTTCCTCATACACATGACAGAGAACCTGCGAGTCAAACTGCAAATACACCTCAGCATACATTGGTGTGAACTTCAATGCTTGCCCAGTCTCCTCAACCAGCTCCGGGAGATTGGACAACAGGCTGTTGGTGCCATCATCAGACAGAGCTTCGGATGTGCTGAAGCCAACAGCATCAAAACAGTTACAGATTAGAGAGGTTTTCACATTGTCCCAGGCTGACCTGATCCAGTAGATGGCGTCCAGCTCTGTGATGTTCTTCAGGGCACTAGCCGCCTCCTCGCTGGCCTCCACACGGGCCAGGATAGCCTGGAGGAAACGTTTACGATAGTGGGACTTGAAAGCTGTGATGATGCCTTGTTGCAGAGGCTGGAGATAGGAAGAAGAGTTGTCCATGTAAAACTTGAGACTTACATTCTTCAGAACCAGACTGGACAGATGAGCCGGCGCCATGTCCATGAACAATGCAATCCGACGACCTTGGTTTTCCATTGCAAGGTCAAGTCGCTGTAACCATTCTGCAAAGATTGATGATGTCATACACGCCTTGGGCTGGCTCCTCCAAGTGACTGGAAGGGAGTTGAGACTCTGGCAAGAGAAGGGGTAAGAGTTTGTGCCTATCACCAGAGGCTGAAGCTTCTCCCCGGTAGCACTACAACAGAACAACAGGGTGAACCGGTGTTCCTCAAAGCTGACATTATGGTGCGTTCCGAGACACACACCACCCTCCACATAGCACTTGTCTGGCAGTCCTTTGTAGAACAGAGCAGTCTCGCCACAGGTGAACACGTTCTCTGGTTCATACCCTTGCACCAGGTATGGCAACATCTTCATCCACACTGTGTACAACTTGGCCGTCAGGTCGGAGTTCTCCGCACTAGAATGCAAAGGCAAATGAAGGAGTTTCTGGATGTTCTCCAGCCACACCTGGGATGGGGAGAAACTGTACATGTTCAGCTTCTTGGCAAACTCTTTGGCCTTCTCTTGCACTAATGCTCTGGATATGGGGATATTTTTGGTTTGGGCTATTTCTGCCCATTTCACTATAAGGGCATTCAAAACATCAAAATCAGGTTTCTTTGGGAATATCCTTCTTGGGAGCTTGGCAGGTGGAGTTGGACAATCGCTGTTCTCATATGCTTCGACGTACTCACGCTTCCGCCTGAGAATGTTGTTCACTGATCCCAGAGAAATACTAAACTCTGCAGCTAACTGTCTCTGACTCTTTCCAGTACTTTCTGATTCACGAATAAGACGAACTTTGTTGGCAAGAGAAAGGTCATTCCTGGCTTTGGTTGGTTTAATGCTGTATTGAAGGTTACCGAATGTGTAGTCCGCAGGCTGTGGCGGATCATTGTCCTGAGTTTTGAGATTCAGTGCACTGACCATGTGGAAGTCTGAAGTCTGAGGCATGGTGACTGTTGCCTCATGTATGTTGAACACCATATAGTTCTCAGAGCTGGGGGTGGGGACATGGGAGGCCGAGGGGTAGCTATCGGAGCTGGGGGTGGGAACGTGGGAGACTGAGGGGTAGCTCTCGGAGCTGGGGGTGGGAACGTGGGAGACTGAGGGGTAGCTCTCGGAGCTGGGGGTGGGAACGTGGGAGACTGAGGGGTAGCTATCGGAGCTGGAGGTGGGAACGTGGGAGACTGAGGGGTAGCTCTCGGAGCTGGGGGTGGGAACGTGGGAGACTGAGGGGTAGCTCTCGGAGCTGGGGGTGGGAACATGGGAGACTGATGAGAAGCTCGCAGAACTTTTGGGGTTGGCAACAGTTGTGGTGGAGGAGGTGGGTGTGGCTTGAGTTGTCCCCTGACCTTGACCTTCAGACATTGTTGAAGGTCAGCTGTGTCACTCTACATGTCTGTAACTGGTTTAACTGGTTGTCTGCCTCGGCAGAGGTTGGCATTTCAACCCAGCAGGTGTCACCACTGGCATCAGATGTGAAACTGAAACAAAAGAATAGAGTATAAGTCATGTTTCATCGCGTGCAGTTACATTAAACTGATCACTCCACAACATATTTAGTTGAATAAAAGAGTGAGTGAGGGAGTTGGGTTAAACACTGCTTTGAACAGTATTCCAGTTATATCACGGCGTGTCAGCTTAATGTCGGAGGAAATCCCAAAGTGATGCAAGTCTCAGATGTTTACCACTTTGGTAAAACCAACGAGCACAGATATGGTGTTGACTAACCTAGAAACATATTCGGGGCAAACCAGGATTCGACCCCACAATCATAGGCTTCTGGTGTGCCCAAGGGACACAACTCTGCACTGAGTGGAATTAAGAAGATATGAATGTAGACATGATATTACAATGTAATTTGCCTTCACAATTCACAAGATGGTCTCCAACGTTAATATGATCATCCAATGGCCTTCTCCAACATCAACGTGATCATCGAAAATACTGTAGCTCACCTGGATATGTAGACAACAGTCTTAATATCATGTCAACAAAGACAGACCCTAACTTACCAAAGGTTGCTGTCAACATTGCTATTCAAATATTTTCTGCATTAATACTGAGGTATCAAACATGTTAAAAAGTATTTACAACTAATCTAAATCTAAATCTGCTAAGATAAATGTACTATTGTGTAACATCGATGCTACAAAGATTCAACTCTGAGCCTTACTGTTTTTTGTTTGAGAAAGTTACATGGGGATGAGTAATAGTTGGAAAGATGTAAAAAAGAAACTTAATCTTTGTTTCACATATGATAGATAGATAGATTGTCAGCAACACTCATAAGAGGGAGACACTCTATCCTAGACTGCTTTACCTGCCCTAGAGCACTTGCACTCCTCACCTGCAGCGGCTAGGAGGCAAGGGACAGGCATATAGCATATCATTATGCGAGTAGAGTTTACCCAGTTTCTGTATAGTGAGACATTAGCACTTTTGGACAGTGTGAATAATTGATGTGTCAGGCTTCAGGAGTAAACATATTACCATAAGGGAGGTAACTCTCATAGAGAAGTATGGTTCATGGTTAAAAATAACAAACGCATTCAAGCTGTTGTGGGTTTCAATTTTAACAGTATCTGCATGTCTCCACTGGTCTCTGTTCATCATAAATAATATGACAACAATGCAGCTATATTAGTCTGAAAAGATTAAATATGAAAAGATATTTATAAGTTTACCACTGTAGATATATCAATGTCAACAGTATCATGAATACCACTATGATTGTGTCAACATAATACCCCTTGTTCCTTGGAAACAATCATGAATATTTCAGGAAGTAACTGTTGTGAAAACATACTACTACATGTTTGTTCTTTACTTTTATATTACATAAATATTTAAACAGAAACGTGTCATTTTCTCATTCCTGATTCTGAAGCTACCACATGCAAATTACAGTTTGTTTATCTTCTCGTTTACATGTGCACACTTAGGAACTGGCATCAGTAGGTATGCTACAAAATTTCTTTGCTCTGTGTTCATCCTCTGGATCAAAGTTATTTTGTATCCCTCTATTAATAAGGAGAATATTTTTCTACTGCCATACAATTTTTCAAATTGCTTCACAAACACATCAAAATCCATCTGACTTGACCAAAGTAGAATGTCATCATGGCAAAACATATGCCAATGTTCAGCTTCCTCAACCAGATAATTTCACAAGAGAAGATGTTTACAGAGCAAAAAATGAATTTTGAGATAATTTAAGAGCATTGCCAGGGATAGATATGGCCACTATTCCGTTGGTCTGAGACTAGTGAAAATTTAGAGAGACCAGTTGTTTTAATCCTAAATCTAGTTATTCTACCAAAACCACTAGTATGAATTGAGCTGCGGACCAGTTGGATATGGCAAATGTTGTCTACCCCTGATTATATGGAGTACATAAATAGCTTGTGTAATGTGGGTGTTGCTGAGTTATGGCCTAAGATGTTTCAGCTTTCAGCACGATTGATGTGCAAAGGTAAAATCAAGGTCAAAACGTCTTTATTGCAAAAAAAGGAACATTTCAGTTGAGCCCCACTATGCCAAATATCTTTCATTCTTAACAAAAGTGGATATTGTGATTTATTGATGTTGCATTATTTCAGCATGCAGTGATTTATGTGTACAGCATGTTAACAGTTGTGATGCATAATTGTTGCATTAATTCAGCACGCAGTGATTTATTTATGCAACACAGTAACTAATGTGATTTATTAATGTTGCATTAATTCAGCATGCAGTGATTTATGTATGCAACACTGTAACTAATGTGATTTATTAATGTGGCATTAATTCAGCATGCAGTGATATAATCATGCAACACTGTAACTAATGTGACTTATTAATGTGGCATTAATTCAGCATGCAGTGACACTGTAACTAATGTGATTTATGAATGTTAAATTATTCAAACATACAGTGATTTATACATAATTGCAACCAATGTGATATAGTAATGTTGCATTATTCAAGCATGCAGTGATATATTTATATATACATACATTGGATAAAAAAAAATCACGAGAAATATCAAATATATCACACAGTAATATCAGAATACAATTTAACAATGTTTCGTTATATTATATATATGTTGGATAATTGGAAAACTTGGTACACTGCACAGTTCTCAACTAATATCATCTGGTTACAAATTCCAAATATTTTGAAAATGTATAAAACTGTCATTAGATGTTCATGGATTTGTATCAACAATCATAATTCGCCACCTTCTGCGCGGTAGAAAATTAGCATTATTTCCCCTTGATTGTCCACAAATATACCGTTAGTACCAGACATCAATTGTTAATCTGACATTCAGCACCTTAATCATCCCCAAGGACATAGAACACGTGTAAGTAATGCTCCAGATGTCACAATGAACCAAATAATGCACGGTCTGTTTACAAACACTGAGCAGTCGGTCACTGAACACTTGGACTACCTCAGTGCCCAACGTTCAGGGATCGTTCACATGCGCTGAACAGCCAGTTCAGGTCGGAAAACTAGGTCACAGATTACGGGGTGTATGGAGAAGCATAGCTCAGTGATCTCGGGGAATACGTACCAAATGTCACCCTGGACAACTAAAGTTGCACAGTTCACTGTCTCTTCCGCCGAATCTGCGAGATGCTTTGTTCACTATGCGCATGTGAACAGAGGGGGCCAAGCACTTCCAGTTCACTATAGAGTTATAGCCTGTTTCACATAACAGTGAACAAAACGACACCGTTCATAGTGTTATTATCCCTGATCAGCTGATAAGTAAAGTGTTGCTGTTTTCCATAGTGAATGTGATGAACACAGGTAGATATTTATCAATAAACATATGCAATGTGTCCATAATTACGTTTAAGGTTCATTGTTTGTGTAAACTGTCACATCAGCGACCGACACTTATATTTCCAGGGGTGATAGACGCTGACGAGTGTTGTTAAGAAAAAGGACAAGCAATGAGAACGACACTTTTTGGCAAGCAAGATGTGGATATTTTAAGAAAAGGGGAAAATAAATGATGTTACCAGATTTCTTTGTATGAATGAAAATTATACTTTGTTCATTTCAACTTGTACATGCTTTCATGGAACTAATTCAAAAAGTAATGATGTTAACAATTTAGCAGTAGTGCTAAATGGCCATGAAAGTTGTACCCCATAATTTACAATCTATTGCATTGACGAGTTTGTAACAGTCACATTAGAGCAAACAAAAGCCGAATATATGCAAATACCTTTAGAGTTTGAAATTTAGATCTAGGTTTTAGATATTGTTGATCTAATCTTAGGGTTATGTATTTTTTTCTGTGCCCATGAATCATTAACACAACATCATCATCCACGACTTTGTGGAATGAATGTTGTTTTACGGCTAGACTTGCACAAGACTCTAAGGCAATAATAATTAATTTAAGTCATAACTTCTAGGTAATGTAAATAATAAGAACACGTTGTCCCTTTGTACTGTCCACATATCTAGACTTGCCTATTAGGAATTACTACACATCCATGAACTTACCTTTCAGTACAGCCGTGGTGCAAGGCTATTTTACAGTGTATTCTTCAGTATAACAGCTAAATCATTGTGACCTGATCATGATCAAGCCTGGACCGGAGAAACCAGTGTCTGATAGCAGGAGTATAGATCCCTCTTGTCGGGGTACGATGACACAGTCTGCCAAGTCTCACACAAAACATTAAACCCCATCTCTATATTATAGTGGTCTCGCACATGAAGTATAGATGGCCTACTCTGTTCCGGAAACAAACAGGTTACATTCAAAGGGTTTATTTCTAACAGTCCTGTTACAGTACTGCAAACGAATTACGCTCAGGGTCACCGTATGGTCGCAAGGGGCATGAATTTGAAAATTATTAGACACTGGTTATCAAATCACATGAAACCCAGTCTCATTGAAACAGATGATTTGACCGCGAATCCACGCGTTAGCCTATATTTATAGAATAGTACTTCTTTTTCAGTCATTGTCGATAGGCATTGTTAAATAATTATATGTACAATATTAGGTTACTAAGGGCAAAGTCGCAAAACCGCCGTTCGGTTCCACATTCAATTCAGCGCGCGCAGTTGAATCTACAGGTAACCGAGCTCTATATTCAAAGCACAGTGTCTTTTACCTTAATTTATCAATATCACTGCTGAATGGCTTGTCCGTTCTAACTCTTTTTGTTATTTTTAATTTATTTATTTATTCCATTTTCCATCATATTTTCCATTTCCATATCAAACATAGAGTGTGCATGGATTTATTTGACATTATTGGCATGTTTGTAGCATGGGCAGATCAGATATCAGAGTTATACAGTCTCTAAATAATACATGTAGAGAAGACCAGAAGGCATGGAAACAACCATAATTACAATTTGAATATGCATTATATTTTGTTATTTCATAATATCGAAGTATTTATTTTTAAATTAGTAAAACGATTGGTTTTACTTTTTTTCTATTAAATGTGTACGGCATATATTTTGTTACCATAATAACTGCACTGAGTGAATTGTTATTCTTCTTTTTAAATCCAGACAGTGTATGTTCCTTATTAAAATTAACTCTGCCTTATGTATAGTTTCCAAGCCAATCTGAAAGTTTCATCGACATATCAGCAGCATAGTGACAATTACATAATACATGAGTAATTGTTTCAGATGGTTCATTACATAATGAGAAAACTGGCGATTCAACATATCCAATTTTAAATAAATAACTGTCAGTACTTAAAATATTATGTATAACTTTAAAGTGGAACCATCTTAATTCAGAACTGTGTGTACATCTTTTTGCCAAAAGGTTAAAGTTTGTCCACTCTGTGTCTGTATACTGTTTTTCAAGATAATCTTCCCATTTACCGTGACACTTATGTTTTATAAATTTAGGGTTTAATAGGGCTTCATAAAATACCTTGCTTCCCTTTTTATAGTTCATGTTTTATACATGATATGGCAGTATAGGCCTTTGGCAAACTTTAGCACATTGTCTGATATTGTTATTCTTTAAATACCAGACTATTGTTAGTTTTACTCCTTGATAGGTCAAAAAGTCTGTCTTCAAACTGTTATTTTGAACAAATTCATCAAAATCATATAATTTCCATGTGTCAACTCTTTGATTGTTTTCATTGTTTGAGAACGGGACAAAACAACGGGACGTCATATGAACGAATTGTCGCAACAACAAAAAAGTGACGATGACGTAATGTTTTGGTGACGTCGTTCCAACAACAGGCCAACTGACCTAATGTCTCCGCTTGAGATATGGAAACCCACATTTTCTTTAAAAAAAGACATTCGTGGGAAACAAACGTATGATTATATTTGGAAAACAAAAAAATATATATTACATTTTAGGAAAGGTAACACAACCCATTAATTCTCCAGTAGTCAGGGACGGTAGCCTAAGGGTTCGGGTTCCATACAAGGGTATAATGTGTGATACCACTGCAAGTGACCCCCGTTGTGATATTGCTGAAATATTGCTACAAAGGGGGTAAACATTGGCTGACTCACGCCCTCTTCAATGGTTACTGAAGTGTACGTAAAATATATGCAGGAATGTTCTTGCAAGAAATGGCTATTAACAAAATCCTCCCTCTAATAATTGTTCGAAATGTACTCGTGCCCAAATCGTAAAAGCTACGATAATCGCTATACGGAGTTGCGTCCCTTAGGCGTGCTAGTAAACCTATGATCGTGGGTTCGAATCCCGGTTCGCCCTGATTATGTTTCGATGTGTGTCAGCACGATACCCATACTCGTGTGTGTTGAACCGGTGATTAACGTCCAAGTCCTGCATCACTTCGGTCTTTCCTCCAACATTAACCTGATGTGGCCTGATTTAACTGAAATATTGTTCAAAGCGTGATGAAATCAAACTCACTAACTCTTAAGCTGGGCCCAGTCTCTTCGTGTTAGGTTGCGCATAGGAAGCCGGGAACCAGTTTAACTCAGGGTTTTTTAAAAAGACGTAATTTAAAATCACTCCCAAAACGACTTATTAAGTCATTTTCGAGATAAAGTCAATTACATAAGATTCGTTTATAAATGAAATAACAAAATATATGGCATAAACCTTAATATTTCTTCCGTATCCATCGCAACAATATTACCAAACATAAAGCTGTGTTCGCATAGAGTTAGATGCCTTTTTGAACAACCCGCTTCGATCACAACGACCTTCACCTTCAGATGTAAACATGGCTGCAGTGGGGAGAAACGTGCGAGTTCTTTCACGTTCTTTATGTAAGTTACTGCGTAACGCATGGTAGTTCATTAGGCCCTACAGAGTTTCAACAACTAAATCTGGTGATAATGCTTGGACATTTGAATAAAAAATGCTTCCAAACTAATGATATATGGACATGGTAATATGATTATGCAATAGATGAAGCCTGAGGGCGAACACAGCGTGAAATGGAGAAATTTGTAAATGTTGCATGGTTACTGTTAATCAAAGCCAAAAAAAGAGAGTTAATAATTTTATCATGATGCCTACAATGCTCAATTTATGTGCGATATATTTTCCGCTGTTATTGTGAGCTTCAGATTTTCATAGGTGCTGTAGGGAAGACCCTGCATCTAAAGCTCTTGGAAACAACTTCAAAACTGTTTGCTCACCTTTGATTTCTATCACTGACCAATAAAAAACATTATCACTACAGACAATATCCTATCATCAAGTGGATCTCGGATTCCAGTCCTCGCCACTCTGCGCCATCACTCTGACGATGGGAACAAATCTGGTAGGAGGAAGGGCAAGACCCCGGGAGGGAAGCTAGACGACCAGATTGAGACCTCAGACGAGCAGAGGAACCCAGTCCTTGAGAAGGAACCGCTAGAGCGATTTCCAGATGACGTAAATCCCATCACTGGGGAAATCGGGGGCCCTCGTGGCCCTGAACCGACTCGCTATGGGGACTGGGAGCGCAAAGGCAGGGTCACAGATTTCTGAATTCTTGTCTGTTTTATGGATGTGTGAACAGCCGTGAAACATTTTGTTTTTGATCTGACAGGACTGCTTCAACTAGTCACTTTGGGAATCATCTGGACGTCAACACAACCACTGTGGATCATGGATATATTTAATGATTACTGTAGTCCATGGGACATTATTCCTATATTGTTTGCTCATGATCCTCGTGAGAGTAGCTAGTGCATTCATTCAGCTTTAGCATTGCTGCTTTTACATCATGTTACTAAAGTATCCATATCAGTACTTAATTTGGTTTCAGATGGTATTGTGAATGTTTCATGCAGTTATATATTCATGGGAATGGTGGTTTAATTGTGGTAGAAACACCATCGAGTGTGCATATGTAAAAAGTTGTACATTTACTGTTAATAAAGGAAATAGAAATATAATCCTGTCTTTGTTGTGCAATCAGTGCTGCAGGTTGTGAAATATTGTAAATTTTGCATTAAATTGTATATTGATAATACTTATCCTATTTCACACTAGGTATTTCTACCGATCCTGATCCCAGATGGGGTGACAATCCCCATAGTCATCCTATCGATGTGGGGCCATAGCTGAAGAACGATAATCACATTCTTGAGAGTTGAAGACATGGGATGGAGAACGATCTCAAGTTCAATCCCTGCTCTGCTGTTCTTTAGTAGAAGTAGAGGGCGAACTTAGTTGATAAATCTCAAACATTTCTTGAAGTTCTTAAAAAAATCTTATGTGATTCCCAATCATTCGTACAGTTTGCAGGAGTTCGTCGAATCGGCAAGAAAGCTTTTGTTTGTCAAAACCTTCTGTGTAAAGGCCCCTGAATTACAATTTTGTGGCTGTATTGTATTCCATTCGTAATTAATTCTTATGTTGCGTAACAGCTTTGTAATAGATTCTTTTGAATTCTTGGCTATTCTTTGCGATACATGGCTCCCAAAATTTCTTGTCCTCAACCCGAAAACATCCCGAAACAGACACGAATGTCCCGAGTCAACTACAAATCATGTAAGAATTAAGAACAACATTCTGCATATTTGTAACTTAGTTGTAGGTGATTCTTGCAATTCATGCATGATCCGTACATAAATCTTGTAATTCGTACACATTTCTTAACCCATTCCTGGCATTCTTCATATTTTTCAATCCGATTAGCCACGAAAGTTTGCATTATTTGCCGAATCATCACAAATTTCGAAAATTTCCAATTTGGGGTGATTCAGGATATTTGTGATCATAGTGAAAGGATGGCATAAAAATCTGCTTTCAATCTAGTAAGGTAAACTTTACATTTTCATCACTCTAAGGTGCCTCTAAATTACTAGAGCCTGCTGGCCTGAATATGTTTATCTGATGTTACAGGTATACTAAGGGCTAGAAGAAATTCAAATTTGTTAGGCATGACTATAGTTTTGCTAACACTATTTGGGGCAAGGGAACTTTTCAGATTAATCTGCATCACTGCAGTGCATGCATGATTGTGTGTGTGAAAGTACTTTTGAAACAAACGTTTCTTCAGGCTATGACCTTGACCTTTGATACGACTGGTCAATATGTCAAATGATTTTCCCAGGGCTACTGTATATAGGAGATATTTAGGTTATCATGCGAGTGTGTTTGGGGATGGTAAATATCCTGCATTAGGAATAAACACTAATCCCCAAACACACAAGTGTGATAACCTCTTTATCATATGTCATTCTTTAATTCTGTGCTTCAAAATCGCTTTCCCTCTCTCAAAAACATTACCGAGTTTTCCTGGAATGCATGCATTAATATTTATTACATCACAGGGTAAGTGATGTGTCAGTCGGACAGTGACAGTAGCCAATATAGTTCAAACTGAAATCTCTTTCTTATACAGTGGCAAAACAACAATTGTTTTTAATTGCCTTTCGCGGCAATACATCGGCCTGTCTGCTAGAGTATCTGCCCTTTGTCAAAGGGGAGCTACTCTAATCCTAGTCTATGAGATGTCACGGTCAGACGTTGTTGACGTTCGTCTGTCCTGTCATAACGTTAAGAAGTGTAGTCAGATGTACACACAGTGACAAAATGAAACAAGGTAACAATTCAAACATATTTCGGCCAAATCAAACTACTAGTATTTTAATTTGTGTAGAAAGGTTCAAGCCGCAGAGGTCTACAAGCACAGATATGGCTACTGATGCCGCTTGTCTAGGCCTCGCAAAATTGTGTCGAAATTTTTATCTCCAAAGTTGCAAAAACTTATAAAATGTCTTAGCAATGTCACATTTAGACACTGATTTTCAGTATATTAGACTGTTCTTTTGATAATGAAAGTAATTATCTCTGTAGTTTATCCAGATTCCCGATGGTTAATTATAAACAGTTAAAGTAGTCCCTACTTGACCTTTGATATTTGCATCTCTATCCGCATATGACCCCAACGGATATCGTTTTTATCCGTTGGCTTTATCCTGCCGAGAAACCTACCCATTATATGATAGGTACCGGTACATGATATCCGTGGCAGCTGTAATTCAGACATTAAAGCCTCCTCATTTACATAGAGCGATTTAATAGCTATTGCCATGATACAGAAAAAAACCCATGGCATTCAATAAAAGATGTTGGCGATCTATATTTCAATAGGAGTGAGTTTAATGGGTTTTTTAATTCAGAAAATTAATACAGGATATTTTTTTCTTAAAAGGAAACTTGAAGTAAGCAGTACTTTACTTTTTCCAGATTATGATATGTCATGTGCAAGACACTAGTTCCAATTGGGTTAACTACCTCTTTCTGATGACCCATGAAGATCCAGCGTAGAATAGGTTTTCAGAAACCCATGCTTGCCGTAAATGGCGACTATGCTTGTTGTAAGAGGCAACCAACAGGCTCACTGACTTGGTTGATGCATGTCATCGATCCCAATTGCATAGATTGATACTCACGATGTCAATCACTGGATCGTCTGGTCCAGACTCGATTATTTACCGACCACCGTCATATAGATGTAATATTGCTGAGTGCGGTGTTACACAACAAACAAACCTCTTTCTGTCACCTCACAGTCAAGTAACATACATGCTCTCCTGCTGACCAGAAACACAACAAGAGCACAGTACATCGTATAATGGCATTATCTTTATTTACAGGATGTTTCATCTCTCGGTCTCAACATGATTCTTGTAGCAGTAGACTATTAAAAGATTTACTTACATCAGGCAACAAACTAAAATATAAGAATTAAACACAATAAGAGTCCATTTCCTCAATTCTAACATGAAACATTCAACAGCATTCATAAAAAACACAAAGTGGACACGAAACCAAAGTGCTTACACAGCATAAAATAATCAAATACAGACGATCAAGGCAATGTTAGTGATCCAATTCTACTGATGAAGCTCAGGTGGAAGAAATGATGACGTCTTGCAGACAAATCTGAATATGTACATGATGATGGCAATGTTGAAACAGAATATTCCAGACTGAAGATCAAGGTTAGGCCACAAGATATGATGAGTTTTTCATCAGATAATTTTGTCATAGAAAGTCATGATCTAGTAGACCAATGTATTGAAACTTATGACACATTCCACATTATGTCAACATTAACAAATTATTTCAGTTGACTATAATGAACAATAAATATACATTCTGGATGTTTTTAACTTGTAGAGCTTGGCTGCACAGGCTATTTGTACCTTTGAAGTATGATCATAAATCCCCATCAGAAAACAACTGACCTTGAATATTCTCAGAAACAGATGCCAGTATCTATGAATAACCAGTTTTCTGTTTCCCTATCGTGGTTCCATAGAAGGGGCTATAGTGACCACTACTGTAGAGTTGCACCAATCAGAGGACTGGCTCTGGTAACTAAGCAGGTTTTTCCAGTTCCTTATGAGGGAGGTGCTGACATTTTGGTTTTAAGGCTTGTGTTGAATCTCGCCCTACCTCACGAGATGTAGGCCTGTGTTAACACCGAGCTCAAACTTTTCATTTACAGCAGCAAAAATAGCTTAAACATTCTCCAAAAGCATAAATAATTTGGAGGCCAAGTTCTGTCAAAAGCAAAGAGTTAACAAATATCAAAACAGTATTTCATTTCAAAATCTTTCAAGAATTGCAAAGTTAAATGTCAGTTGTTTTCATGTTCAGACCTTTAAAACGAATCACTTCACAACACATATCACATTTTTTTATAGTCACGTCTTGTTTATTCAGTAAGTGGCACATAAATATTACACTGGTCCTGTGCCAATATCATGTTCACGAAAATAAAGCAAACTGGAGAGACTAGATGCAAACCATGACTTGAGTAGACCTATTTGAGAAGTGTTCTGTAACAGATTCAGAATGAATGACCAAAACCCCCTCATCAGTAACCAAAGTTACAATATTGTTAACACTATCCAGCCAACTGACAACCGGAAACATTACCACAATCCTAGCTCATACCCCACTGACTTGAACTGATTGTTAGCCACACAATCTATGAGATCACAGTGCATGCCGTTTATTCTACAGTATGAAAGTCCACGCCAAGACCCTCCTCCACAGTCCCACTCCCAACATATATGATGTGTAGGAGCCTACTACCGGTACTCCTCCACCAAGTACACTGTACAATTTTCAAGATGAGCGGGAATTCCAAAGCCATGATCTGTTGAAGAATTTATTCCACGGCGTGTGTATCTTAAATGTTCGGAGCTCTTCAAGTGTCAGGATTTCTGACACCATGTGAGATGATTCCATGAAACATGGCAGACACGCTGCTGGGATGGCGGACACCTCACACTTCGACTGATGCTGGGCCTTATGATCGAAGAGCACAGAACTGTTGAAATATTTCCAGGATGTGAATGTCAATGTCGGCTGTGAAGAGAAGCGTCTCGAGTGTACTGATGTACTTGTAGACCAACTTGTGATGCTGAAACAAGAAGGAAATTCATATTGGAATATAAGTCACACATTCCAGGACTGCTCATTATTAAGCCATGGGCAACAATGTGTGAAGCCCATTTGTGGTGTCCCCTGCCGTAATATTGCTGGAATATGGCTAAAAGTAGCGTAAAACCACACCCAATCACTTTGCTGTCCCACTGTGCTGAATGAATATTAGGGCTGCAACGAATACACTACGAGGCGAATATGATTTGTATCATGAATATAGGGTAACAAATACGAATATTAATTCCCGAATACAGTTTCAAGTCAGCAGTGTATTATTTGTTATATTCAGTGAAGCTATAACAACATAAATTATTTGACATGGTTTGTTAATTATTAATATATTATACATTTATATACTGCACTTATCCAGGTACTAGTATCTGCTCAAATACGACAATGACCACAATACTGACAAATAAAATAGTATAAGTGTTGGCTTTCGAAGAAATCTATGCATATAATATGTTCTTATAGATATTTTTATGTAAATGCACAAGCTTGCATATTCATAAATATTTGATTGTAGTGGCCACGAATAACAAATTCAATTCATGAATGGATACATTTCGATTCACTGAATACATGAGTGAATTGTAACAGCCCTAATGAATATATCATCACAGCACCCACTGCAGCTTATTAAGCAAGCAATGATAATTGAGAATTGCCGAAAGAATGCTGAAGCAAGGAACTGCTACTACCTGGAGGAATATCTGCTGGAGTCTCTCGATGACCCACTTGTACCAAGGAGTGTTGTAGTCAATACCGGCGCCTTCACAGCGCGCCAGGTGCTCCGTCAGTAGGATGATGAAACGCTGAAATGGTTGTCAGGTTTCAAGAATACAAGAATGTTTGACACTATGACATATATTCATTAAAACATCCTAGTAACTGTAAAACAACAGTTATCAGAAATGAACAAAACATTTCTCAAGGTTGGAAACCTTTATATACTTTCATTCTAAAACATTATATTCCCTGAACCCAATCCCTACTTTGCCTTATTGGAAGATCACATGACATCCCCATCTCTCTCAGAATCATCCAACAGATTTCTCTCCAAATAAAATTATGGTCCAGGGTCACAATAGAATGGAGATATGCTACACTTGGATAAGAGAGGATGCCTTTTTCATTGCTACGGACCCTTCTCATCAAATAAACTCCTAACAACAATACAACCAGTTTTCAGCCTGCAGCCATGAACCCAAGGTTCATCTTTACTAAAACTTCCCCCAATGATGATTCCAGCTATAATATGAAACCATTTTTTGTTCAAAACGCTGAACGTATTAATCAAGCACCAAATGCTTGTCAGTCGGCAGCCACAACCCTCTCCTGACCAATTAACGCTCACTCACACCTGTATCTTATTCCCCTAACAGCTATATACAACTGTTTGTCAGCTGGCAGTCACAGACCCGTTGCAATATCAAGAACATCAAATCTTTTTTTTATTTGATACATCTCTCCATAAAAATCTGACATGGAAGGTTAATTTTCCAATCAGCCAATCAGCGAGAAGGCTTCCAAATTCTTTAGCGAACAACCATTTTAAGAAGCATATCTGACCTCTGTATCTTGAAGAAACACGTAAACAGGCAGTTCCAAAAAGAGAAAATAATTTGATACCTTTCAGTATAATCTTCCAATCTCAGACAAGTAAAGTTTTAGCTATTAGCTATGGTTTCATTTCTGCTGAACCAAACACGGCAAAACTGCCAATGAAGCTTTTCAAGGCTGAATGGTTAAATAAGCTGAAGCCTGATTGGATATTCCTACGAAGTGTTCGCGTACAGCTGGAGAGCGGTACCAAATCATCGGAAAGGATGGGATGGGACTGAGACTGGACTTACCTGGAAGATGATGAGGAACAGTCTCTTCTGCTGGTTCTGTGTTGCCTCCAGCTTCTCCTCCATCCTGTCAATCTGCTCTAGTGTTGGCACATCTTCGTCCTCGATGGGGTCAAGCTCAAGGCCATCTGCTAGCCTCCGCTGTGCCGCCTCCAGCTTATCCTTGGCGTCCTCTACTTTGCGTTGTAACTTTCCCACCTGGTTGCTCATCTTGTGGATTGTGCCATGCATTATCTCCCATACAAAGAAACTGCAGGATCAAAAGCACATTCAAACTTCACATACCATGTTACTATCAAGAAGCAAATGACACAGGGACTATGCATCTCAATAAGAAAGCCAGTCTCGACAAACCATACAGGCACATGGTAGAAAGACTATGCTACCCCACCAGCCTATCCACAGAATCATTTGTTTGTTTGTTTGTTGTTTAACGCCGCACTCATCAATTATTGAGCTATATGACAGCGGCCTGTAAATAATCAAGCCTGGACCAGACATTCCAGTGATTGATATCATGAGCAACGATCCAGGCAATTGGGATATGATGACGTGCATCAACCAAGACAGCCAACCTGACCACCCGATCCCGTTAGCCGCCTCTTACGACAAGCATAGTCGCCTTTTACGGCAAGCATGGGTTGCTGAAGACCTATTCTACCTCGGATCTTCTACAGGTCTACACAGAATGAAGAAAGTTAACATGATTATGAGTAGTGCAGCTGAGTGGTGTAGGCTATCTCACTGCCAAGTGCCTACGATATCATCAATACTTGAATCGTCAGTTTGTGAGATCACGACAGGCTATAAACAGGAGCTGATGGAGTTACCTCCCATAGAGTCAGAAGTAGCATAGCGCCCCCTGTAAGCATGGCAGAACACAAGAACATGGTAGATGAGGACGTGCCGACTAACCGTTACATTTAATAACCATCCCTTCATTTAAAACTGTATGGTTCTTGCTGTTTTCTTAAAAGGTTTTGAGATAACAATAAAAAAAAATGAAAAGAAAGAGGTTTTAGATCTGTTTTTACTGATTTCATCATTTCTTACTGTTTGATGTGGTGTATCATGATACCAGTAGTATCATTAGTCGATATCATGATAGAAATTGTATCACCAGATACCAGGAGATAGTCAGCTATACTGTCAAGTACCTTAATGATAGCAGTGTTGCATAGTCAGCATACAAGTGTCCTTGTCATAACCATAATGATGAAAGATACAACTACTACAGGAGCAGACATCAAGGAACCAAGGCCCCCTTCATTTTGACAACTGTGATTGAACTTCTCAAAAGGATTTGGGCGGTGGGGTTAAAGCATTCGCTCGTCACACTGAAGACCTGGGTTCAATTCCCCACATGTGCACAATGTGTGATACCCATTTCTGGTGTCCCCTGCCATGATATTGCTGGAATATTGCTAAAAGCGTCGTAAAACCATACTCACTCACTCTCACAAGGATTCAATTCTTAAATACATACCTGCAGCCATTTAAACAAACAACCTTTATGTATGCTTTCAAAGGGAAATGGCTAGTAAGCCTACACGCACATAAATGATGTACAGAAATGATTCCGTCTTTGTCATCTTGAATATGGAATCTGTAATGCCCAAACTTTAAGTCGATAGTTCCATCCCCCAAATTGTTGTTGCTATGGAAACAGAATACTCTTGAAGTAGTTATGTCTACTCACCAGGTGAAGTCAGGGAGCATCTCATTTGAGAAAAGCCAGTTGGCCACGGAGGAGCACTCCACGACCTGCGTCCTCACCAGCTTGTCCACAAGCACCACCAAAATCTGAAGAAAGGGAGGCACACGTGATGTGGCAGTACAGACAGTGGTAAATATTTGTAGTCATTGTCAGTGACAGCAAATGATTGAAGTGCTGGTAGAATATTGAGTGCTATTGGTGGCAGTGAGTAATTAGAGTTATTGCCCTTGTATACATGACGATTTCAGAAGTTTCAGGATAGGACTGTTTCTAGAAGACTGGCTGTACCCATATGGAGCGGTAAGAGGGTGATTCGATGCCTTTTTCAATCTGACTTGTGCCTTATCTTCTTGCCAAATGGGGATTGGATACCTACTGAAAACACCAAATTTTTGCCAGCTTTCAACACTACTCTGGATTCAAGAATGGTGACAGGCCTGACTCAAGTCAATTGGACAGTGACTGAAAGCTGAACATTTGTGAGTGCACTCACATCAATGCTAGGGCCTGTTACGTATTGCCACTGCTGCCACTCATGTGAACCACTGCTTGTTTTAATTGTGAACCTAAAACTGGGGCTTTCAGTATTATTTACTGATTAGTTGTGCTGCAACCGATTTCTGGAGTAACTTATGTGTTTCAATTTGCAACACATTAACATAATCCTAGAAGATCTCAAATATTAGATCAGTTAAATAATTTTACTTCCTGGACCAAAAGTCAGTCCTTGAATTAATATAACTTCTTAACATGAAGGGGACATGGAATACACTGTGCAGAGTTGCCTCCCTTAGGCATGCCAGAAACCTATGATCTATGGTTTGAATCTCTGATTTGTTCTGATTTTGTTTCTAGGTTTGTCAGCACCATACCTATGTTGTGGGTTACACCAAAGTGTTAACTTAAACAACTCATACATACAGAGTCTTCAGGATGCAAATCTGGGCCTCTTCAGTTCCCCCAAAGGACTTACCTGTTGGTGAGTCTTAAACACCTCGTACAGACTCTTCAGGATGCAAATCTGGGCCCCTTCAGTTTCCCCCCCAAGGACTTACCTGTTGGTGAGTCTTAAACACCTCATACAGACTCTTCAGAATGCAAATCTGGGCCTCTTCAGTTTCCCCCCCAAGGACTTACCTGTTGGTGAGTCTTAAACACCTCATACAGACTCTTCAGAATGCAAATCTGGGCCTCTTCAGTTCCCCCCAAGGACTTACCTGTTGGTGAGTCTTAAACACCTCATACAGACTCTTCAGAATGCAAATCTGGGCCTCTTCAGTTCCCCCCAAGGACTTACCTGTTGGTGAGTCTTAAACACCTCATACAGACTCTTCAGAATGCAAATCTGGGCCTCTTCAGTTTCCCCCCCAAGGACTTACCTGTTGGTGAGTCTTAAACACCTCGTACAGACTCTTCAGAATGCAAATCTGGGCCTCTTCGGTTTCTCCCAAGGACTTCAGGTAGGGGTGAAATCTAAAGAGCATGGCATACAAAAAGTGAATGAATCAATGATATTCTATGACACAGACACCGATATCCAGCTTCGGCATGGCACTAAGATGATTAATGATAACAGTCAGCAAGTGAAGACAGTGTTAGAATCAGCATCAAAACGTCACTACAAGTATACATAAGGTAATGAAGATGTTGATCATCCACACCTAACTCGAAAATTCTGTTACAATAACATATCTAAAAAGTGCTACAGAAGAAATGCAGAACAGCTGAAGCAATCAAATAGTTATTTACATCACTGCACTGTGACTATCAAGTAATATTCGTTGACAAAGTCTATCTTTATATCAATGTTAAAGTACGTTTCAACTATTGATTGGGATACTGAGACATTTAATACTTTTACAAACTCCGAGGACAACAGATGCACGTATGCACGAATATTACTCGAACATGAAGCTGCAGATACATCCAAAAGTTGCATCACGTAACCTTGATATTATCTAGGGACATTTAATGACACACCCTTGTTTGAGACACAAGTCTGAAGATAGAAACTAATACAATTCTGTTCAGTTTAGTAAGGTCCGCTAATAAATGTCCATAAAACACACATTCTACCGAATACGATGCAAAGAAACAAGTGCAGGCAAGCAGACTGACTATGCTCCACACTAGCATGTACTCACTTGGCGAGTGCTGCGAAAGAATGACTAAATGACTTGCTTCCCAAGTAGAGCAGGGTTGACACAAACACATCGATCTTCAGCGGATGATAAGGTGGCTCATCTGTAACATCAAGCTGCCGTTCAACATGCAGGCTACATACCCATGTATCAGTCTTATCACAGACTGGAATGATCTCAACCATAACAGAGAGTGATCAGGGAAGCCCAATTGTGAACCTACTGCCACTTTGGCCTACTGCATTGTAGATATCTCTCTATCTCCATATAACCTCTTGGGAGTTACACTTAACCTCATCCATGGTGTGAGGTTTTACTTTTTCCAAGTAAGACCTGGTATGAGGTTTTACTTTTTGGAAGTAAGCCCTAATGACTTGTGTAGCAGATGGAATTTTGACTTTGAAACTATTTCATTACGGATGACGGGATTCGAAGCTGCATCCTCGCATATCGCTTTAAGTTTTGTAACCCACTGTATTCCCACTGAGCCCCCAAGGCAGGTGCTGAAAGAATGTTCAATTTTAGATGTCATGACTTTATATTGTCTATGCTGCACGTGTTTCTTCTCTCACAGACTTTGATCACATTCCTGTATTGTTTCACTATAAGATATCTCAATAGTTTCTTATATATTCTGTTGTTTCCTGCATGTAGCATGTCATACCTGCATCTAGATGTATTCCAAGAACGATTCCTGCCAGCCTCATGGCATTGTTCAATACTGTCATACTAGAGATCTTGGCAGTCCAAAATGGTCAACTATGTCATAAGAGATCTGACTGGCATTCGACCATAAGCTTCTGTTAAGATGTAGACTACTCACCCACTCTGTCGTCATCAGCCAGAGGGTTGGGCAGGTCTTTGAGGACCTGTGCCGCCTCGTCTGGCAGACACTTGGACTTGATGGCTGCCATGAGGGCGTGTGCCTCCGTTGTCCCAGGCAGGGACCCTGGAGAGAAGAACAATAAGCTCATTACGACTGCGGGGCACAGGTCAGGTCAGGTCAGGTCAGGTCAGGTCAGGTCAGGTCAGGTCATCAGTATGTCTGTCATGTCATGTCATGTCATGAAGTCTTTATTTGTTGGCTTCCTTGTTGTTCTGAGCGATATTTCAACTACATCGTAAATCATACTTTTGGTACATGATCAAATCTGTTTGACTCGCAGCACAGTTTTCAACAATTATGATGTTCAGGCCGACGCACAGTCTGCCTCGGATGTTTTAATACATTATGCCGCTCATCCATTTGATTTCCGTCTCTACAACTGATGTCACCTTAGTAACAACACTAAGATGCCTTCAGTTGTTTACTCAGGGGATTTATCCCTTACAGGAATTTCTTGTGTGGAATAGGGCCGAGTGCAGCTGGTGTTTTATTACCCAAGCGGGATGTTTGTAATTACTGATTGTTCATTCTTATTTTAATTATTCACAATGTCAAGATAGGTTCTCACATTCAACAATGCATGGATTATATGATTAACAGAAATAGCAGTTTATGTATCACAACCTAGATAAACACGGCAAACATATCAGCCAATGAAAACATTGGTAGCTTTAGGCCATGCCCTCAAATAAGTTTGTTTTGGAAAGTGATTATGGAGCATAAGATTTCAGCACGTTTACTTGGATATTTCAATACTGTCTATGAATATAATGACCTCGGAAACTACCTAATATATCTGGGAAATTGATATTCACCCCAAAACGCGGTAATTTTTTCACTTTACCTGCCCTTCAACATGAATACCCCACACTGACACAGTACACTCCAGCCGACCAGTCCTTGTATTAGCCCTCTAATGCCGAGCACCAGGCATGGTAACAACAAGTACCATCTTTTTCATGGGCGTCTGGGGATCTAAACTGGGCTGACACTACCGATAGACCATGAGCGGTCTCGCCTCTCGTAACCAGCATAGGTTTCAATTCTAACCCAGAATCAGCTATTATAATCCATGACCAAAGTAATGTATCAGGTAACATGTTACCAACAACACCGTACCTGCTCCGGCTTGCTCGTACTTGAAGAATGGCTGCGGCTTAATGGGGATGAGATTAGCGAAGGTCTCGGGCACAACGTCCACCAGCCGCTGGTGGTAGGATAGCCTGCAACATGAACACACCTGTGTCGGACTGCCTGGTTCAGATATTTATGTGAAACACTTTATCTTAAGGCCATAATACATTCATTATTAGATTTTCATCCCTGCTGACCATGCCACTAAATACCTGCCTTGCATCATTGTTCCCAAGTATGCAGACAATAGCTATCTATGTCCCTGTCTACTTCATCAAAATACACGAAGTACGTGAACACACTAAACATTCATGTCTCATCACATCAAATACACTATGTATGTAAACATACTAAATATTCACATTTGATCAAATACACCACACACGTAAACATACCAAATATTCACATTTGATCAAATACACTATATACGTAACCATACTAAATATTCACGTTTTGTGTGAATCACATCTGTCGACAGTTAATGTACACACACATCTTGAACATGTAGAACAGTAACGTTTGTTAAGAAAAATACAATATACAAAATGAGATGCTTCCCACCTCGCATCCTCCGCATCAACCAAGTCAGTAAGCCCAACCTAGCCGATCTCATTAGCATGATTAGGCCCCACTACACAACAAGCACTAGTTACTGAAGACCAATTCTCAACCGGATCTTCACAGCAGCTCAATTTTCAGAAAAGTGGATGAGAATCCACTAATTGATAACAGTAGACCATGATATTTTTATGGGACATTAATAAAGACAATCTAATGAAAACACAATACATAACAATAATGCATGAAACATTAAGAAATGACTTTGGGCAGCAATTTCCAAAACATAAGCATAAACAAGGAACATTTAAATGTATTTGACCTAATCTTGCATTGACTGTAGTGTAGTGAAGAGATACTGTACCTGAGACAACGCAGGAAGACTTCTCGGATGAACTTAGGTTTGGGTCTCTCAAGGTCAAGGTCTTTACATGTGGCCCAGTCGTCCCAGCTCCACCGGAACTGGAAATTACTCAAGTGGTACGAAAACCAACTCGTAAATCTGAAGGACAAGTTGAAACCCATATTATTAATCAATAACAAGTAAACTTTGGTGACATTAGACAAACACAAACACATTTAAAACTGCTCTACCAGAATTTTAAGTCTGGTTCAAGATTTGTTTGTTTGTTTGTTGTTTAACGCCACACAGCAATATTCCAGCTATATAACGTCAGTCTGTAAATAATCGAGTCTGGAAAAGAGTGAGTGAGTGAGTGAGTTTGGTTTTACGCCGCTTTTAGCAATATTCCAGTAATATCACAGCGGGGGACACCAGAAATGGGCTTCACACATTGTACCCATGTCGGGAATCGAACCCGGGTCTTCGGCGTGACAAGCATAGTCGCCTCTTACGACAAGCATAGTCGCCTCTTACGACAAGCATAGTCGCCTCTTACGACAAGCATAGTCGCCTCTTATGACAAGCATAGTCGCCTCTTACGACAAGCATAGTCGCCTCTTACGACAAGCATAGTCGCCTTTTACGTCAAGCATAGTCGCCTCTTACGACAAGCATAGTGGCCTCTTACGACAAGCATAGTCGCCTCTTACGACAAGCATAGTCGCCTCTTACGACAAGCATAGTCGCCTTTTACGTCAAGCATAGTCGCCTCTTACGACAAGCATAGTCGCCTCTTATGACAAGCATAGTCGCCTTTACGTCAAGCATAGTCGCCTTTTACGTCAAGCCAAAAGACTTGAAGACTAATTCTAATTCAGATCTTCAGGGGTCTCTGGTTCAAGAAATCAATACCTCATGACTTTTTGCCAAAACCAATTCAAGATGATGGACACACACAAAGCTAGTTCCTTACCTGTCTATGCAGGCAGTATGCATTTCATCAATTCTTTCGAACAACATTTCTGTCGCCTGGGCAAGCTGGTATACTGTTAAGGTACAGGTACAGGTATGAACGTGAAGATCCTGAGATCAATGGTGAGACATGAAGAACAAGCATCAGCCATTGTGGCCAAGTCCCCCATCACAGACAGGACTTCTGAGGGTGGACCATTATATTTCATCTGTGCTATGGCTCTTTATTAAAAGAGATTGATTGATTGATTGATTATTGTTGTTAAACGCTGCACTCAACAATATTCCAGCTATATGATGGCGGTCTGTAAATAATCGAGCCTGGACCAGACAATTCAGTGATTGACATCATGAGCAACGATCCAGGCAATTGGGATACAATGACGTGCACCAACCAAGTCAGCGAGTCTGACCACCCGATCCCATTAGTTGCCTCTTACGACAAGTATAGTCGCCTTTTACGGCAAGCATGTGTTGCTGAAGACCTATTCTACCCCAGATCTTCAAGGGTCTAAAAGAGATTGATATTCATAAACATGCTGGTTTGTCTGTTCCATACTGGACACATTCACTATTTCTGTTACAAAATGAAATACAGGTTTCTTTGAAAATTAAGTCCACATCATCATAATCGAATGGGATCTAAAATAGCCTAGCCGCAAATATGTTCAAAATCAAGATCAGTCAAACCCTATTTTTGACCTAAAATATAAGTGGACCTGCAGGCTCTCCCGAATGACTTTCCAACCTCATATGGAAACAAGCATGAAATACTCATATCCCCAACCAATATGACATGTCAGGTTGTGTGCAAGGCAAGAACTATTGTACGGTTTTCAAGATCTGCTCTGGAAAGGAGCACTACCACCATTTTCAGTCAAAGTCAAAGTCGTTGCTATGGAAACTCATAATATAAAATTTATTTAAAATCCCAAACTATCAAAAGGCACCAGTTCACCACTAGACCTATCTATATGCCAAGTTTGATAAAGGTATATCTCATGATTTTTTAGTTCTTCTCAGGAACGAAATGTGATGGACGGACAGACAGCATCCATTCCCATATCCCCCTTCCACTTCGTGGTGGGGGATAATAATCTATGAAGCTTATCTTGAGGTTTTTCGCAAACAACTAATGAAAAAAGCTGTGACCTTGACCACTCCTGCATGTGTGTAGGATACAACTTGTGGCATGGAGCCTGGCTGTAGCTTGCACAACTCGATGAAGAGAGAGCCGTACAGGATCTCAATGTAGGGTGGGCGTGGCAGCTGGAACAGCTGACTGAACACGACCTGTGGGGAGGGAGATGACATACTGTAACTCACAAGGACAGTCCTAGAAGTCAAGATACTGGCATAAACAATGTGGTCAGTAGAAACAGTGTGCCAGTGATCAAAGACACAACCTCTACAATTTATTATTTTTATTGATACCAGATAGATGACGAAATTGTGTTTCTTGCATCATTGTTAATGACCTTTATTTATAGGTCTGTAATGATATATAAATGATCATGATAATGCTTTTAACAAACAAACAAACAGTTACGTTTCTGTATCAGGCTATGAATAGATAACAAATGATTCTTTCCAATTTTGTCTTATTTTTCGCATCAGGTAAATGATTTATCTGAACCACAGTATAGTAACACAGTGTTCCTGTACATACCTCCACTATCATGTAGTTAAGGGGGATCTTGTTCTTGCTGGTGAAACTCAGCAATGTTGCTGCACTGCAAACAATGAGGAAGCGTTGGTTATTTCATCCTACCAATGACTGTGCTCAAGTCATGAAGTGAGTTGAGGATTACTGCTCCTCTCGTTAGGTCACTATTCGCAATGCAGCAGCTCCAGGCAATGACATGTACTATGATGTAGGAGTGAGTGAGTGAGTGAGTGAGTGAGTGAGTGAGTGAGTGAGTGAGTGAGTGAGTGAGTGAGTGAGTGAGTGAGTGAGTGAGTGAGTGAGTGAGTGAGTGAGTGAGTGAGTGAGTGAGTGAGTGAGTGAGTGAGTGAGTGAGTGAGTGAGTGAGTGAGTGAGTGAGTGAGTGAGTGAGTGAGTGAGTGAGTGAGTGAGTGAGTGAGTGAGTGAGTGAGTGAGTGAGTGAGTGAGTGAGTGAGTGAGTGAGTGAGTGAGTGAGTGAGTGAGTGAGTGAGTGAGTGAGTGAGTGAGTGAGTGAGTGAGTGAGTGAGTGAGTGAGTGAGTGAGTGAGTGAGTGAGTGAGTGAGTGAGTGAGTGAGTGAGTGAGTGAGTGAGTGAGTGAGTGAGTGAGTGAGTGAGTGAGTGAGTGAGTGAGTGAGTGAGTGAGTGAGTGAGTGAGTGAGTGAGTGAGTGAGTGAGTGAGTGAGTGAGTGAGTGAGTGAGTGAGTGAGTGAGTGAGTGTGTGAGTATGGTTTTACACTGCTTTTAGCAATATTCCAGCAATATTCCAGCAATATCACGGCAGGGGACACCAGAAATGTGCTTCACACATTGTATCCATGTTGGGAATCGAACCCGGGCTGTCAGCGTGACAAGCAAATGCTTTAACCACTAGGCTACCCGACCGCCCCCTATGATGTAGGAAGAGATGTTATGCAGTCCGTGGACATTTACTACTGATCCCATGGGTGTGGGCAAACATCCACCATAATAGAAGCAGATCTGGGATTCAAGCCCATCGTCATCGGATCCTGGCAGAGCTGGGGAGGCAACTCTGCATAATTAAGTGCAGTGATGCCGTAATAAAAGTCTTTATCACCACAAACTGTAAACATGACAAACCAAAGTGCAGAATGTAAAGGAACATTAAGGCAGAACAATCAACAGTAAGTTCTCCTCCACATGTGTTGTGACACAGAACGCATGGTCCTACTTGTCAGGCTGGGAGGAGGGTGTGTATATTACCAGTCCTTCCTCTCGATGTAGTATGTGTGGATGATCTTGTGGAGATGCTCCTCAATCAGGTATCTCTCAATGGCATGGCTCCCCGGCAAAACACTCCCCTGACAAAAACATGGAAACAACACTCAGACATCAGCAGCATAAAAAACACTGTTTCCGACACTGTAGCTCACCTGTACAAGTAGTCAACAGTGTAACATGTCACTTAACACTTAAAAAACTTTAAAAAGTTGCTGTCAATTATTTTCTGCACATGTCCAAGACATGCTGGTGGTATGACATTGTAAATTTTGTGGACTACATCATTACTTTGGGGTGGAAGGTAGTCAGTTTGTGGAACCAGGACACTGCTGGTCCATGTACACCGAATCATGTCGAGGGAGGCATTGGAAATAAGTCTTGAGATTGCCGACTTCCATTTCATCATCTCCAAACCCAAACTCACAGACTTTCAGAAAACTGAACTTGAACAGTGATGCAGCTATGAGGAGGTGGTACAGCAGGGGGCCGCAAGAAAATTGAACAATTTGAGAATGGACGGAAATGTGATTTCGAATATCTTGCTGTAGTATCACACTGAACATTTTGTAAAAAGTTGTGCATTGAAGCCATATCTAATGAAAAATAAAAACTGTCAAAATTATTTCGTATTTATTTTGTGTTGAAAACTAGTCTACAGGCTATAGTCGGACGCTCTTTATTGTTGATGTGTGAAACAACGTGTCTGCAAATCTACACCTATGTAAGGGTGTGGGGCAAGATGTGAAAAGCTAAGTAGCAAAGAAAACTCACCTCGGGTACATCTGTGTAGTCAAACAATCTGAATGTGACGGTGGGTAGGGGGTACTCGATCTCCTCGTTGTGAGAGGGGGGTATGATCTGGGGGAGAGTGTGCTGCAGGGCGTCACATAACACACTGTCGAAGGCCAGGTAGGGGCGCAGGATCTGCTTCTCCACCCACTTGTTGTTGCGCAGATTCTTGATCTGTGCCCACAGACAGTCCAGGTACTGCAACACCGTGGCATTCGCCATTAGACACCATCAACACACCATGCACACTAGGGCTGAACCGATACATCAGTGCATCGTGAGGTTCCATGTGATGATACAATACACGATACGTTTTTTCTGTATTGATACAAGATGATACACTTGCTGAAATACATTACTCACTATTCGTTTAATGAACCCTGGTGTATTGTCATTCACAAAAATGTGTTGTAATTAGAGTTTCAAGTTCCATACTCAAATAGTCACAATGAACGTGTCTACAGCTACCTTTTCCTATTGAACCTGCTCTGAAATATTTATAGTCAAGAAATTTTCATGCTATTTGATGTTAATATGCATATCTATGTATCGTGATACGTATGGTATCATGACCTCGCTGTATTAATTCACCCCTAATGCACACTGAGCACAGCACAGTCCTGTCAACAGACGCGTAGCTAGTGTGTGAAACAGCTACATGGTGCTGGTGTGTGAAACAGCTACATATTACAAGTGTGAGAAACAGCTACATAGTGCTAGTGTGTGAAACAGCTACATATTACAAGTGTGAGAAACAGCTACATAGTGCTAGTGTGTGATACAGCTACATAGTGCTAGTGTGTGATACAGCTACATAGTGTGTGATACAGCTACATAGTGCTAGCGTGTGTGAAACAACTACATAGTGTGTGATACAGCTACATAGTGCTAGCGTGTGTGAAACAACTACATATTACAAGTGTGTGAAACAGCTACATGGTGCTAGTGTTTGAAACAGCTATTGTACATAGTGCTAGCGTGTGTGAAACAGCTACATATTACAAGTGTGAGAAACAGCTACATAGTGCTACTGTGTGATACAGCTACATAGTGTGTGATACAGCTACATAGTGCTAGCGTGTGTGAAACAACTACATAGTGTGTGATACAGCTACATAGTGCTAGCGTGTGTGAAACAACTACATATTACAAGTGTGTGAAACAGCTACATGGTGCTAGTGTTTGAAACAGCTATTGTACATAGTGCTAGCGTGTGTGAAACAACTACATATTACAAGTGTGAGAAACAGCTACATAGTGCTACTGTGTGATACAGCTACATAGTGCTACTGTGTGATACAGCTACATAGTGCTACTGTGTGATACAGCTACATAGTGTGTGATACAGCTACATAGTGCTAGCGTGTGTGAAACAACTACATATTACAAGTGTGTGAAACAGCTACATAGTGCTAGTGTGTGAAACAGCTACATAGTGTGTGAAACAGCTACACAGTGTGTGAAACAGCTACATAGTGCTAGTGTGTGAAACAGCTACATGGTGCTAGTGTGTGAAACAGCTACATAGTGCTAGTGTGTGAAACAGCTACATAGTGTGTGAAACAGCTACACAGTGTGTGAAACAGCTACATAGTGCTAGTGTGTGAAACAGCTACATGGTGCTAGTGTGTGAAACAGCTACATAGTGCTAGTGTGTGAAACAGCTACATAGTGTGTGTGATACAGCTACATAGTGTGTGAAACAGCTACACAGTGTGTGAAACAGCTACATAGTGCTAGTGTGTGAAACAGCTACATAGTGTGTGAAACAGCTACACAGTGTGTGAAACAGCTACATAGTGCTAGTGTGTGAAACAGCTACATAGTGTGTGTGATACAGCTACATAGTGTGTGAAACAGCTACACAGTGTGTGAAACAGCTACACAGTGTGTGAAACAGCTACATAGTGTGTGTGATACAGCTACACAGTGTGTGAAACAGCTACACAGTGTGTGAAACAGCTACATAGTGCTAGTGTGTGAAACAGCTACATAGTGTGTGTGATACAGCTACATAGTGTGTGAAACAGCTACACAGTGTGTGAAACAGCTACATAGTGCTAGTGTGTGAAACAGCTACATGGTGCTAGTGTGTGAAACAGCTACATAGTGCTAGTGTGTGAAACAGCTACATAGTGTGTGTGATACAGCTACATAGTGCTAGTGTGTGAAACAGCTACATGGTGCTAGTGTGTGAAACAGCTACATAGTGCTAGTGTGTGAAACAGCTACATAGTGCTAGTGTGTGAAACAGCTACATGGTGCTAGTGTGTGAAACAGCTACATAGTGCTGGTGTGTGAAACAGCTACATAGTGCTAGTGTGTGAAACAGCTACATAGTGCTAGTGTGTGAAACAGCTACATAGTGCTAGTGTGTGAAACAGCTACATAGTGCTGGTGTGTGTAACAGCTACATAGTGTGTGAAACAGCTACACAGTGTGTGAAACAGCTACATAGTGCTAGTGTGTGAAACAGCTACATGGTGCTAGTGTGTGAAACAGCTACATGGTGCTAGTGTGTGAAACAGCTACATAGTGCTGGTGTGTGAAACAGCTACATAGTGCTAGTGTGTGAAACAGCTACATAGTGCTAGTGTGTGAAACAGCTACATAGTGCTAGTGTGTGAAACAGCTACATAGTGCTGGTGTGTGTAACAGCTACATAGTGTGTGAAACAGCTACACAGTGTGTGAAACAGCTACATAGTGCTAGTGTGTGAAACAGCTACATGGTGCTAGTGTGTGAAACAGCTACATAGTGCTAGTGTGTGAAACAGCTACATAGTGCTAGTGTGTGAAACAGCTACATAGTGCTATTGTGTGAAACAGCTACATGGTGCTAGTGTGTGAAACAGCTACATAGTGCTAGTGTGTGAAACAGCTACATGGTGCTAGTGTGTGAAACAGCTACATAGTGCTGGTGTGTGAAACAGCTACATAGTGATAGTGTGTGAAACAGCTACATAGTGCTAGTGTGTGAAACAGCTACATAGTGCTAGTGTGTGAAACAGCTACATAGTGCTAGTGTGTGAAACAGCTACATGGTGCTAGTGTGTGAAACAGCTACATAGTGCTAGTGTGTGAAACAGCTACATGGTGCTAGTGTGTGAAACAGCTACATAGTGCTGGTGTGTGAAACAGCTACATAGTGATAGTGTGTGAAACAGCTACATGGTGCTAGTGTGTGAAACAGCTACATAGTGCTAGTGTGTGAAACAGCTACATGGTGATAGTGTGTGAAACAGCTACATAGTGTGTGAAACAGCTACATAGTGCTAGTGTGTGAAACAGCTACATGGTGCTAGTGTGTGAAACAGCTACATAGTGCTGGTGTGTGAAACAGCTACATAGTGATAGTGTGTGAAACAGCTACATGGTGCTAGTGTGTGAAACAGCTACATAGTGCTAGTGTGTGAAACAGCTACATGGTGATAGTGTGTGAAACAGCTACATAGTGCTAGTGTGTGAAACAGCTACATGGTGATAGTGTGTGAAACAGCTACATAGTGCTGGTGTGTGAAACAGCTACATAGTGATAGTGTGTGAAACAGCTACATAGTGTGTGAAACAGCTACACAGTGTGTGAAACAGCTACATAGTGCTAGTGTGTGAAACAGCTACATGGTGCTAGTGTGTGAAACAGCTACATAGTGCTAGTGTGTGAAACAGCTACATGGTGCCAGTGTGTGAAACAGCTACATAGTGCTAATGTGTGAAACAGCTACATGGTGCTAGTGTGTGAAACAGCTACATAGTGCTAGTGTGTGAAACAGCTACATAGTGCTAGTGTGTGAAACAGCTACATAGTGCTAGTGTGTGAAACAGCTACATGGTGCCAGTGTGTGAAACAGCTACATAGTGCTAATGTGTGAAACAGCTACATAGTGCTAGTGTGTGAAACAGCTACATGGTGCCAGTGTGTGAAACAGCTACATGGTGCTAGTGTGTGAAACAGCTACATAGTGCTAATGTGTGAAACAGCTACATGGTGCTAGTGTGTGAAACAGCTACATGGTGCTAGTGTGTGAAACAGCTACATAGTGCTAGTGTGTGAAACAGCTACATGGTGCCAGTGTGTGAAACAGCTACATGGTGCTAGTGTGTGAAACAGCTACATAGTGCTAATGTGTGAAACAGCTACATGGTGCTAGTGTGTGAAACAGCTACATAGTGCTAGTGTGTGAAACAGCTACATGGTGCTAGTGTGTGAAACAGCTACATGGTGCTAGTGTGTGAAACAGCTACATAGTGCTATTGTGTGAAACAGCTACATAGTGCTAATGTGTGAAACAGCTACATAGTGCTAGTGTGTGAAACAGCTACATGGTGCTAGTGTGTGAAACAGCTACATAGTGCTAGTGTGTGAAACAGCTACATGGTGCTAGTGTGTGAAACAGCTACATAGTGCTAGTGTGTGAAACAGCTACATGGTGCTAGTGTGTGAAACAGCTACATGGTGCTAGTGTGTGAAACAGCTACATAGTGCTATTGTGTGAAACAGCTACATGGTCTAGTGTGTGATACAGCTACATGGTCTAGTGTGTGAAACAGCTACATAGTGCTAATGTGTGAAACAGCTACATGGTGCTAGTGTGTGAAACAGCTACATAGTGCTAGTGTGTGAAACAGCTACATGGTGCTAGTGTGTGAAACAGCTACATGGTGCTAGTGTGTGAAACAGCTACATAGTGCTATTGTGTGAAACAGCTACATGGTCTAGTGTGTGATACAGCTACATGGTCTAGTGTGTGAAACAGCTACATGGTGCTAGTGTGTGAAACAGCTACATAGTGCTAGTGTGTGAAACAGCTACATGGTCTAGTGTGTGATACAGCTACATAGTGCTATTGTGTGAAACAGCTACATGGTGCTAGTGTGTGAAACAGCTACATAGTGCTAATGTGTGAAACAGCTACATGGTGCTAGTGTGTGAAACAGCTACATGGTGCTAGTGTGTGAAACAGCTACATGGTGCTAGTGTGTGAAACAGCTACATGGTGCTAGTGTGTGAAACAGCTACATGGTGCTAGTGTGTGAAACAGCTACACAGTGTGTGAAACAGCTACATAGTGCTAGTGTGTGAAACAGCTACATGGTGCTAGTGTGTGAAACAGCTACATAGTGCTAGTGTGTGAAACAGCTACACAGTGTGTGAAACAGCTACATAGTGATAGTGTGTGAAACAGCTACATGGTCTAGTGTGTGAAACAGCTACATGGTGCCAGTGTGTGAAACAGCTACATAGTGCTAGTGTGTGAAACAGCTACATAGTGCTAGTGTGTGAAACAGCTACATGGTGCCAGTGTGTGAAACAGCTACATGGTGCTAGTGTGTGAAACAGCTACATAGTGCTAATGTGTGAAACAGCTACATGGTGCTAGTGTGTGAAACAGCTACATAGTGCTAGTGTGTGAAACAGCTACATGGTGCTAGTGTGTGAAACAGCTACATGGTGCTAGTGTGTGAAACAGCTACATAGTGCTATTGTGTGAAACAGCTACATGGTCTAGTGTGTGATACAGCTACATGGTCTAGTGTGTGAAACAGCTACATGGTGCTAGTGTGTGAAACAGCTACATAGTGCTAGTGTGTGAAACAGCTACATGGTCTAGTGTGTGATACAGCTACATAGTGCTATTGTGTGAAACAGCTACATGGTGCTAGTGTGTGAAACAGCTACATAGTGCTAATGTGTGAAACAGCTACATGGTGCTAGTGTGTGAAACAGCTACATAGTGCTAGTGTGTGAAACAGCTACATGGTGCTAGTGTGTGAAACAGCTACATAGTGCTAGTGTGTGAAACAGCTACATAGTGCTATTGTGTGAAACAGCTACATGGTCTAGTGTGTGATACAGCTACATAGTGCTATTGTGTGAAACAGCTACATGGTGCTAGTGTGTGAAACAGCTACATAGTGCTATTGTGTGAAACAGCTACATGGTGCTAGTGTGTGAAACAGCTACATAGTGCTAGTGTGTGAAACAGCCGACTCACTTCTTCCTGTGGGTGAGGGTCATCGGTAGCCCACACTCTCAGTGCTGGCACATGGATGTGCTGACGTTTGCTGGAAGAAACACATGAAGTCCATGACCAACACTTCACACACATCATATCAGAGACTGAATGAACATGAGAACACTTCTGGTAAGTAGAGAAATTATTTCAGTTTGGCCTTCACAATATGAACAAGAGTTTGCCACTAACGTGGCTATATCCCCCGCCCCTGTTGCGTAGTTTATGACATAATGAAATCTAAACAAACCCTAACCTTTTTTAACCGAGGTGGAACTTGTCATGGAAATTGTCAAAAAAAGGAAACGTAAAAAATAAAATTTTCTAAAATTTCTAAATAGCAAAAGGCACCAGTTCAGCATGTACTTGACAGACCTGCACAGTTTGATGAAAAAATACTGAACGGTTTCTGAGTTATGCTCCGAAAACAAAACGTGAAGGACGGACGTACGGACGGACGGAGCCAGTTTCTATATCCCCCACCAACTTTGTTGCGTGGGGGATAACAAGGGACATTCAAAATACAGGCAGAATATTATTCTAACATTACAAAGTAGAGCATGACCTTTACCACAAAGTGAGTGGGCGAGTTTGGTTTTACGCCACTTTTAGCAATATTCCAGCATATATCATGGTGGGGGACACCAGAAATTGGCTTCACACATTGTACCCACATGGGGATTCAAACCCGGCGTGACGAGTGAGTTGGGTTAAGAGCCGCTTTGAACAGTATTCTAGTTATATCACAGTGTGTCAGCTTAATGTGGGAGGAAAGCTCGAAGTGATGCAGGTCTCAGACATTTACCACTTCGGCGAAACCCACAAGCACGGGTATGGTGCTGAATAACCTAGAAACATAATGGGGAAGAAACGGGATTCAAACCCACGATGAAAGATGCAGCTTCCAAGGGACGCCCGAATTGCGGTGCCTTAGATGACTGGGGCCAGCCGTGACCTGCCCCTTCGGTGTGACGAGCAAACGCTTTACCCACTAGGCTACCCGACCACCCTTATCACAAAGGATAGATAAGTCTCAATGGGACAGTGTCTGTACCTGATGTAGTTGTCGACGGTGGCCAGGAGCTTACTGAGCTCAGTCTCCTTCTTCTCGTGCAGTTCCTGTCCGACCTACAACACAACATTAATTCACAGTCAAAGTAACATCTGTACATATTTAAGCAGTGTTCGAACTTATGGTCCTGGGGTCTGTCGCCCCTTAATCTCGGACATTCAACAATATGGTAATGACAAGGACCCCTGGACTTTCATGCTTATTTTCAAACATTATATAAGTGATTGATTCAACAAATCAATCATACACTGAGATAGGAACACTTGACACAAGGGCTGGAACAACTTACCCAAGGCAAGGCCGTCAGAACACAGTACACATACCAGTCAGATCGAACCTGAAACACATCAAGATATTATGATGAGTGTGGATGTAAAAATAAACAAATATAATCAAGAACCAAGAACAGAGCAACAATTTGGCGAACAATTATTCAGCAAATACATATTCTTTGTAAACGTAACTGATTTCTGAAGTTTCACACATGGAAACTACTCTCTGTAGTATTGCATATCTCTTCAGAAAGACACAGCTCGACTTGAGGTATGCACCATGAGAATACTGTGTCACCCTAATTTTATTGTGTTCAGACATCCAAGAGAAAAGGGGCCTACCATTTCATATTTCATATTATTATTATTTTTCAAGCATTTTTGGGCCAAATTCTTTTTTTTGTTATCATAATTATGTACCATATTTATGCAATTCCCATCTTACTAGGAATGTAACAGTTGACCTACCATATGTATGTATACACTAATGGGATGTAATAATCAACTGATGTTCACTACCTGTGGTATGTTGTCCTCAAGAGTCACCTCGATGAAGTTGTCAAACATCTGCAGCAGCGACCCTGACACCAGCACATGGCAGTTGACCAAGTCGGACAGGAAGCGCACCTTGGTGGACAGACAGTGGATGACATGTGGATGACATGTGGATGACATGTGGATGACATGTGGACAGACAGTGGATGACATGTGGACGACATGTGGATGACATGTGGACAGACAGTGGATGACATGTGGACAGACAGTGGATGACATGTGGATGACATGTGGACAGATATGTGGATGACATGTGGACGACATGTGGATGACATGTGGACAGACAGTGGATGACATGTGGATGACATGTGGACAGACAGTGGATGACAAGTGGATGACATGTGGATGACATGTGGACAGATATGTGGATGACATGTGGATGACATGTGGACAGACAGTGGATGACATGTGGAAGACATGTGGATGACATGTGGACAGACAGTGGATGACATGTGGATGACGTGTGGACAGACAGTGGACGACATGTGGATGACATGTGGACAGACAGTGGATGACAAGTGGATGACATGTGGACAGACAATGGATGACATGTGGATGACATGTGGACAGACAGTGGATGACAAGTGGATGACATGTGGATGACATGACAGACAGTGGATGACAAGTGGATGACATGTGGACAGACAACGGATGACATGTGGATGACATGTGGACAGACAGTGGATGACAAATGGACAGACAGTGGATGACATGTGGACAGACAATGGATGACATGTGGATGACATGTGGACAGACAGTGGATGACATGTGGATGACATGTGGACAGACAGTGGATGACATGTGGACAGACAGTGGATGACATGTGGATGACATGTGGACAGACAGTGGATGACATGTTGAAGACATGTGGATGACATGTGGAAGACATGTGGATGACATGTGGATGACATGTGGACAGACAGTGGATGACATGTGGATGACATGTGGACAGATATGTGGATGACATGTGGACGACATGTGGATGACATGTGGACAGACAGTGGATGACATGTGGATGACATGTGGACAGACAGTGGATGACAAGTGGATGACAAGTGGATGACATGTGGATGACATGTGGATGACATGTGGACAGACAGTGGATGACATGTGGAAGACATGTGGATGACATGTGGACAGACAGTGGATGACATGTGGATGACGTGTGGACAGACAGTGGACGACATGTGGATGACATGTGGACAGACAGTGGATGACATGTGGATGACATGTGGACAGACAGTGGATGACAAGTGGATGACATGTGGACAGACAATGGATGACATGTGGATGACATGTGGACAGACAGTGGATGACAAGTGGATGACATGTGGATGACATGACAGACAGTGGATGACAAGTGGATGACATGTGGACAGACAACGGATGACATGTGGATGACATGTGGACAGACAGTGGATGACAAATGGACAGACAGTGGATGACATGTGGACAGACAATGGATGACATGTGGATGACATGTGGACAGACAGTGGATGACATGTTGAAGACATGTGGATGACATGTGGAAGACATGTGGATGACATGTGGATGACATGTGGACAGACAGTGGATGACATGTGGATGACATGTGGACAGATATGTGGATGACATGTGGACGACATGTGGACGACATGTGGATGACATGTGGATGACATGTGGACAGACAGTGGATGACAAGTGGATGACAAGTGGATGACATGTGGATGACATGTGGATGACATGTGGACAGACAGTGGATGACATGTGGATGACATGTTGACAGACAGTGGATGACATGTGGAAGACATGTGGATGACATGTGGACAGACAGTGGATGACATGTGGATGACGTGTGGACAGACAGTGGACGACATGTGGATGACATGTGGACAGACAGTGGATGACATGTGGATGACATGTGGACAGACAGTGGATGACAAGTGGATGACATGTGGACAGACAATGGATGACATGTGGATGACATGTGGACAGACAGTGGATGACAAGTGGATGACATGTGGATGACATGACAGACAGTGGATGACAAGTGGATGACATGTGGACAGACAACGGATGACATGTGGATGACATGTGGACAGACAGTGGATGACAAATGGACAGACAGTGGATGACATGTGGACAGACAATGGATGACATGTGGATGACATGTGGACAGACAGTGGATGACATGTGGATGACATGTGGACAGACAGTGGATGACATGTGGACAGACAGTGGATGACATGTGGACAGACAGTGGATGACATGTTGAAGACATGTGGATGACATGTGGAAGACATGTGGATGACATGTGGATGACATGTGGACAGACAGTGGATGACATGTGGATGACATGTGGACAGACAGTGGATGACAAGTGGATGACAAGTGGATGACATGTGGACAGACAATGGATGACATGTGGATGACATGTGGACAGACAGTGGATGACATGTGGATGACATGTGGACAGACAATGGATGACATGTGGATGACATGTGGACAGACAGTGGATGACAAATGGACAGACAGTGGATGACATGTGGACAGACAATGGATGACATGTGGACAGACAGTGGATGACATGTGGACAGACAGTGGATGACATGTGGATGATATGTGGATGATATGTGGATGACATGTGGATGACATGTGGATGACATTTATATGTCTACTGGGGTTTGAACCAGGCAAACAAACAAACAACAGATAGGCTAACCAACATGTGTCAGACTGTTTTTCGTGTTCTACAGAATTAATTAATCTAACATTAATGAAACATAAATTCACAAAACTGATCAGCATCAATCAGATTGAACTGAATGTCGTGTTGTCATGGGGGTGCCAATGTGCTGGGATCGAAGATGAAACCTACTTACAATCATGCGTGCATTTTCAAACTCGGCTGTCTTCAGAGCTTCTTTCAAGTTGCGAACCAACATTTCTATGAACTGTGAAAGATAAAATAAGAATGCAGTTACTGTCAACCCAATCTAGTGTCTGAGTATCACAAAACTCTTTCCACTTACACATCCACAGAGTACTCAATCATAGTCATAGGACAGTTGAAATTTCCTCCTTGGTTCTCGTGTGTTTGTTCCAACAAATCAGTATCAGTAAGTACAATACTTAATATTACTCTGAAGACATGAATATCTCAAAGTGAGTAACATTAGTTTTAAGGTTCTACTAATTTTCATTATACTATAAATGCATATTGCATGTTAATATTCTTATGGTTAATAGTTAAAACTTTCAAACATAAATTGCATATTACATAGAATTGTCCTCACAATCAATAATGGATATATACAATCAATGTTTGCAAGGTGACTGATCTAAGGATCATAAGAACACCCATCCCTATTTCAATTTTAAATTACTAGATTCTCGAATTTATTTACTGAAATCTTATCCTACCGAAACTGTGAGGGAGGATGTTTACAAGAGGAGTTAGTTCTTCTTGAGTATCTTACTCACCTCTCCTCCACAGTTGTAGTTCTTTGCGTTCAACAAACCAATCAATGTTGTGTAGACAGACAGCTTCTCCGGCATTCCCACCACACTGAAATATACGACACACTTGTACTGGTTCCTACTGGCTGAACACATCTGAAGCACAGTCAGTGCAGTCCATGGGGACATGTAACACTGGATTAACAGTACCGTATTTAGGAGATGTAACACTGGATTAACAGTACCGTATTTAGGAGATGTAACACTGGATTAACAGTATCGTATTTAGGAGATGTAACACTGCCTTCACAGTACCGTATTTAGGAGATGTAACACTGGATTAACAGTACCGTATTTAGGAGATGTAACACTGGATTAACAGTATCGTATTTAGGAGATGTAACACTGGATTAACAGTATCGTATTTAGGAGATGTAACACTGGATTAACAGTATCGTATTTAGGAGATGTAACACTGGATTAACAGTACCGTATTTAGGAGATGTAACACTGGATTAACAGTATCGTATTTAGGAGATGTAACACTGGATTAACAGTATCGTATTTAGGAGATGTAACACTGGATTAACAGTACCGTATTTAGGAGATGTAACACTGGATTAACAGTACCGTATTTAGGAGATGTAACACTGGATGAACAGTACCGTATTTAGGAGATGTAACACTGGATTAACAGTATCGTATTTAGGAGATGTAACACTGGATTAACAGTACCGTATTTAGGAGATGTAACACTGGATTAACAGTACCATATTTAGGAGATGTAACACTGGATTAACAGTACCGTATTTAGGAGATGTAACACTGGATGAACAGTACCGTATTTAGGAGATGTAACACTGGATTAACAGTATCGTATTTAGGAGATGTAACACTGGATTAACAGTATCGTATTTAGGAGATGTAACACTGGATTAACAGTACCGTATTTAGGAGATGTAACACTGGATTAACAGTATCGTATTTAGGAGATGTAACACTGGATTAACAGTACCGTATTTAGGAGATGTAACACTGGATGAACAGTACCGTATTTAGGAGATGTAACACTGGATTAACAGTATCGTATTTAGGAGATGTAACACTGGATTAACAGTACCGTATTTAGGAGATGTAACACTGGATTAACAGTACCGTATTTAGGAGATGTAACACTGGATGAACAGTACCGTATTTAGGAGATGTAACACTGGATTAACAGTACTGTATTTAGGAGATGTAACACTGGATTAACAGTACCGTATTTAGGAGATGTAACACTGGATTAACAGTACCATATTTAGGAGATGTAACACTGGATTAACAGTACCGTATTTAGGAGATGTAACACTGGATTAACAGTATCGTATTTAGGAGATGTAACACTGGATGAACAGTATCGTATTTAGGAGATGTAACACTGGATTAACAGTATCGTATTTAGGAGATGTAACACTGGATTAACAGTATCGTATTTAGGAGATGTAACACTGGATTAACAGTACCGTATTTAGGAGATGTAACACTGGATTAACAGTACCGTATTTAGGAGATGTAACACTGGATTAACAGTATCGTATTTAGGAGATGTAACACTGGATTAACAGTATCGTATTTAGGAGATGTAACACTGGATTAACAGTATCGTATTTAGGAGATGTAACACTGGATTAACAGTACGGTATTTAGGAGATGTAACACTGGATTAACAGTATCGTATTTAGGAGATGTAACACTGGATTAACAGTACCGTATTTAGGAGATGTAACACTGGATTAACAGTACGGTATTTAGGAGATGTAACACTGGATTAACAGTACGGTATTTAGGAGATGTAACACTGGATTAACAGTATCGTATTTAGGAGATGTAACACTGGATTAACAGTATCGTATTTAGGAGATGTAACACTGGATTAACAGTATCATATTTAGGAGATGTAACACTGGATTAACAGTATCGTATTTAGGAGATGTAACACTGGATTAACAGTATCGTATTTAGGAGATGTAACACTGGATTAACAGTACGGTATTTAGGAGATGTAACACTGGATTAACAGTACGGTATTTAGGAGATGTAACACTGGATTAACAGTATCGTATTTAGGAGATGTAACACTGGATTAACAGTACCGTATTTAGGAGATGTAACACTGGATTAACAGTATCGTATTTAGGAAATGTAACACTGGATTAACAGTATCGTATTTAGGAGATGTAACACTGGATTAACAGTATCGTATTTAGGAGATGTAACACTGGATTAACAGTACGGTATTTAGGAGATGTAACACTGGATTAACAGTACCGTATTTAGGAGATGTAACACTGGATTAACAGTACGGTATTTAGGAGATGTAACACTGGATTAACAGTACCGTATTTAGGAGATGTAACACTGGATTAACAGTACCGTATTTAGGAGATGTAACACTGGATTAACAGTACCGTATTAAGGAGATGTAACACTGGATTAACAGTACCGTATTTAGGAGATGTAACACTGGATTAACAGTATCGTATTTAGGAGATGTAACACTGGATTAACAGTATCATATTTAGGAGATGTAACACTGGATTAACAGTATCGTATTTAGGAGATGTAACACTGGATTAACAGTATCGTATTTAGGAGATGTAAGACTGGATTAACAGTATCGTATTTAGGAGATGTAACACTGGATTAACAGTATCGTATTTAGGAGATGTAACACTGGATTAACAGTACCGTATTTAGGAGATGTAACACTGGATTAACAGTATCGTATTTAGGAGATGTAACACTGGATTAACAGTATCGTATTTATTTGTGTACAATATTGCACTTTTTTCATAACTTTTAGACTCCAAACTTCGGGGTGGCAATTACACATGAGAACATGTTACCCCTTATTCCCCAGCCTAGTGTGTGGCCATACATTGCAACTGAATGACCGGAAATTACTGGTTGCTAATCATCCACATTGTCAGAGTTATAGAGTAGCATGACCTAGATCTTCATATAGAATGTTGTCTTCACTGCCATCATGTGTGTTTCTGCCACCAAGGTTTCAGAGATGCTCTGCCAGGCTTACAGTACCCATGTACAAACAAGGGAGAGGTCTGGTCGGCGAATGTGGCCTGTCGGAGCGATGGACTTGTGCCTCTCTTCTATCCACTGGTTCCATTTGGCATGAACTTTACACTTTAACGGCTTGTTTATGCTGACCTCAAATGGTTGTAGCAGGCTGGTCATCCCAGGAATGATGGCGAGCTCAGTCCTTTTAGACTTAAGCTGTCAATGGCAATAGGGATGGGTGTTTCAGCAGGCCACTGGACGCCTCCATTGTTATCTCATCATCAAACCACCCCATTTCCTTGACACGGACCTCTGTTCCCTTCGGAAATGTCTCTTTGGGAAATGTTTTTCTCTTGATCTTGAAGACAACGTATGGCGGCAGCTTTTTCCATCATTAGTCACAGCCAACATCGCTGTAAAATGTTTATCTCATTGCCGGTGGTCTTGATTTTAATTGTCTCCCTGTCCTTGAAATCAACAGTCTGTGTTTATGGGATTTTAAACGTCAGCGGGGTCTGACCTGCACTGATCTGAAACGCTGAAACTCCTGTAACTTGTGGTCGAAATCTGATGGCAATTTCTGTGCAATGCGAGTCCAGCGATGAACTGAAAGTTTGTGTCTCTCCATGACTCGCTGACTCCACCCAACCCTGGCCTTGAGTCAACTTTGTTGCTGTTTCCATTGCCTTGAGACCTATGTCACTTGTGCCAACTCCAATATTGGCCATTCTGCGTTATTTTACCCACTCAATCAGCTCATCTTCAAAATTCGGAAATTGTGCAGATTTCCCCCTTTCTGCCTTCCTTGACTTCGGAAGGGTTTTGAAGTTTGGTCATGTTTTTGTGTCAAAGTCGAATATTGCTCTCAGAACATCCAAAATGATGCCCAGTTGCCATTTTCCTCTGCATACAAGACTGCCTTCAGTTTCCCTCAACTTGGGTATGATGTTCGCTTAGACGCCATGGTCAAGGACACTGATGTTAACACATTTGTTTTATATAGCAGCAGCTTGAAACCAGTTTATAAAGAAAAGCACTCTTCTTACTTTCATTAGTAAAAGATGAATATTTTGTTCTCTTGTGACATCATAACCATGTGTCAATCACTGCATTAACTGCAGAGCAAAATAAGTACACTGTCAATACCCTGATCAAATTGATTTATAAACATTTAATATAAACAGGATGTTTATTTAATGTGTAATTCAATTGTGATCAAAGGCTTTATCTGTCTTTACAGTAATCGTCTCCCCTTGATTTGATCAAGCAGTGCTGACTTTACTGGTAAAGTTCAAGGTCACTTCGTGGTTTGTGTCATTGAGGATATGTGAGCTGTCGATGTCAATGTAACAGGTTTGGTTAATAATGACCCAAAGATGATTTTATTTAGAATATTAGTCAGCAATAAATACTAAATATACCAAACATTCCTTTTTTCTTACATCTGATCGTGACATCGCCTGCCGTATTATACATGAGTGTGTATTATACACGAATAAATATGTTCATTCATATCCAAAAACTCATTTTAATGTCTTTTTTTGAGAGGAAAGCCCCTATGTCATGCACTTGACATGCAGGCCAGCTAAGTACAACTCACAAGAATGAGACAGGTGCTGTCAGACCAAGGACTATATTCGGGGTTAATCTGGTATTCGAAACACCAATCACATGTCATAACTCCAGATCACTGGCCCATCCAGAATCACTATTTATCATGTGACCGCTTCTAGGCTATAATATTTTGGTAAATGTTCCATGACTCAATCATTTAAACAAATGTGACAATGCATGAAAAGTACTGATTTCTAGTGTCTACCTCCAAGCACAACAGTACTGCAGGAGTGAGTTGGGTTTAACGCCGCTTTTTTTAACAGTATTCCAGTTATATCACGGCGTGTCAGCTTAATGTGGGAGGAATGCCCGAAGTGATGCAGGTATAAGACATTTACCACTTCCGTGAAACCCACGAGCACGGGTATGGTGCTGACACACCTAGAAACATAATTGGGGCAAACTGGGAATCTAACCCACAATCATAGGTTACTGGCATGCCCAAGGGACGCAACTCTGCACAGTGAATTGCGGCGCCTTGGACGAATGGGCCACCCGTGCCCCCAGTACTCCAGGAAGGATGACCAACGGTGTCCCTACCATTCACAGAGGATTCTCAGTATCTTGTGCTTGTAGTTGGGCAAGTCTGCTTCCAGCACACTGGCCAGTCCCTCCAAGTTGCTCTCAAGGGATGAAGTACTCTGTAATGTATACATTCAAATTGCCACTTTTCTTAAAGACAAACATGTTTTGCTTTTTTGTTTCTAAAATGTCATTAACCTCACGCTGCATCTTTTTCACCAGGTGTGTTGCAATGTGTTTTGAACTAACAAGTGGAGTTAAAGCACTTGAGTGGTCTACCCAAAAACCCAATATAATGTATAAGGGTTGTAACTTGGCTCTTCATTTTCAAAGATGTAGAAGACATTACATTTTTGCAAAGAGAGCTGATTCTATGCTGCAGTCTGTAATTGATTAACACTATAACATGGCAGCATGTAAGGACGATAGTATCTACAGTCAAGTCCCGTTAATCCAACATTGTTGGTTGCATATGATTATGTCGGATTAACGAAATTAGGTAGTATCAACATGCCTGATTGAAAATTGGACAAATGTATGATACATAGCGATTCAAATCCTGTTTTGTTTATTTAAAGCAGTAATTTTTTATTGTTAAGCAAGTTTAATTCTGCAGCCGTTGAAATATGCAGCAACTCACCTCGCATAAAAAAACGGGGATGTGTACTCGCGGGCAGATGACCACGGAGTACGCTGATCACTATGTCGGATTATTGAGTGCTTCCAGCAATTCGTTGCAAATTAGGTGTGTCTGAATCGGAGTGCGAGACTGTCGGATTAACGGGTCTAAATAGCACTGATTTAATCGGTTCCCATCATTTGTGTCAGATAAAGCCGATAGTCGGATTAACAAGACTTGGCTGTATGTAACTGAGTTGTTTCCACCATACCGGTTGTACTCGGGGATGTCTCACAATTGTGAGGTGAGGTGAAATGGGGTTTACCGTCGCGTCAAAGATTATTGCACTTATATAGCGACATGTATGTGTGTTTGTGTGTGTGTGGCTGCTTGTACTAGTCCGGACTGATGCCGATTTATAGTGCTAGCACACTGAGATACCATGCTGCAGTTTAACATGAATACCCCACTCAGACACAGTAAACTGACTCCGAGCCGACCAGTCCTTGTTTTAGCCCCTTAATGCCGAGCGCCAGACAGGGTAACAACAAGTACCATCTTTTAACGTCTTTTGGTATGATGCGGCTGGGGACCAAACCCCAGACCTTCCGCTCTCCGGGCGGATGCTCTACCATTAGACCGTGGAGACGGTTCCCTCACAATTGTGAAGAATTGTTTTAGTACAGCATCAATTCCATTCAAGTAATATTTCAGATATTTCTGGTGTACAATTGCAGCAAGTATTACCATGGTTACCAAAACGCCTCTCATCAAAGTATGAACAATCCATCAAATACCTTTTCTCCTACTCTTGTGATAAGAGATTCCAGGCGATCTTCAATGTCCACAACATCTGACTGACGTCTCCTTTTACGTGATGGACCTGACAAGACAATACAAGATGAAACGTTTCTTGCAATTCCATATTACTTGTTTTCACCTTAAATTTATATGATTAAGAAGAACATATCTGGTTAGAAAACCTTCGTACTCAGTAAATACTTATAATTATGACAAACACATTTCCTGATGCATACATTTAAGCATGTATAGCAGGTAAAATGTAAACATTTCATTGAGATGGAACAAGCCAGCAGGGCTGACAAAAGTTTACAAGCCACTGGGCCTTCAGACATATTGAACATGTTGAACAAAGACTCAATTCTACAAATGTTCAAATGCTGACAACATATAGAACATTCTGCAATGGTTTAACTATCGGCAAATTTCTGCTCTTAATAATTTTGTATTCTTTAAGTTCATAAAAACACTTAATATACTAATTTACTCTGCTATAAAATACTGTAAATCAAGAAATTGATGTGAGCATGAAATTAACGTGAAAAATGTGTTTTCTTGCTCACATTAATAAAGTGATGCATTATAATCTGGACATACTGGATTTGAATGTCACATCATCTTTGTACTTGTTAACCTTGTCAAATGATCGTATAGTTAGAAGCAAAACACTTTTCACCCACGTGGTGCAGTAGACTAACAGCAGTCGTTGTGAATACATAACACTGATCATTAATGTTTAAAGGGGCAGTAATCTCTGTCTTCTTCTCGGACATCTAACACTCCCGTTAGGACTCACTAGCTGCCGATTTGCTCGCTAACGCAATTGAGAGTAATAAGAAACTGGGCTTCCGTCTGCAAGGACAGCTAAATAAACTTGGAGGCAATATTTGTTTTACACATTTTTGAACACTGATTGGTTACCGGAGATCCATGAAAAAGATTTCGACAAAGGGCACAAGTTAATTAATTTCTTCAGCCTAAACAGACAAAAAGAACAATGGAAGCTCATTGGATGTCGTTATTAGGAAATACCCCTGATGGTTATAGTTTATTAATAAAAAAAGTATCCCTGCAGTGAATGCATTTCAGATTTTGGATTGTGTGGATAACACGATTACTACTCTCTTGTTGTCATCCACGTTTTCTGGTAAAACCCTACACTTGTGTATTTGTCGTAATTCACTTGATGCTAAGTTAATGAATTTATTACAGGCATAATTAGTGGTAGCACCATACTCAGATTACCTGATAAAGGTTCCCATTTGGCATTTCTTGTGTCTGGGGTAATTATTCGATCTAAATCCAGGGTTGAAGTGAGGTGAAATTTGTGTTATGTAATATGCACGTGGCAGCCCTGCAAGAGATTTACTTTTTTGTAAATCAACAGATCATTCCCAGCCATCAAAGGATTATCAGAATATACGTTGATTGATTAATCACTGTTATCTTGCACAGTGGATATTTCAAAAGTAAGTGTTTACATGTGTAGGTATACTAAAGCTACACTCGTATCATGGCGTGAGTGCCGATGTAAAAACAACATCCTTTGTTCAAAGGATTAACCGATAATATGTTGACTGATTGCTCTTTGTAATTAACTAAATGGATTTTTTTAAGAACCGTGGACATAATGAAAACATTTGTCACGTGGGCTTTCTCAGCTGACCTTTGAGACTTGACACCAATGTGAGTGAGTGAGTGAGTGAGTTTGATTTTACGCCGCTTTTAGCAATATTCCAGCAATATCACGGCGGGGGACACCAGAAATGGGCTTCACACATTGTACCCATGTCGGGAATCGAACCCGGATCTTCGGCGTGACGAGCGAACGCTTTAACCACTAGGCTACCCGACCGCCCCGACACCAATGTGACACAACTGGAACAAACCAAGCGATCAGTTGAGAAATGAACACGGGTTATTATATCCCGTAACGCTATATATATTTTAAAATATTGATTGTTACAGAGACATGTGACATCGAATATGTTTCTTCATACAGCTGCAGATGTATAGAATCTCCTTTATGTGGATATTCACGGATACATTTCTCGAACAAGGTAGCTGCCAAAAATTATAATATAACTTTGGTAGGTTGTAATTATGATATTGGCATTTTGTTTTCATTCTTTTACTCTAGCATTTAACAGAATCATTCTTGTTCCTCTACGTCTTGGTTGGAAAGCTCTTCGATGTGCGATATACGTTGTTTTCACAAGTCTTGTCCATTGTAGGCGTGTATATGTTTATTATGTTACAGTCAATCTGTAAAATGTCAATCACTCAGGCAATTTATAAAATGTCTAAATATTTCAGTCATTTTACAAATTGACTGAGAAATCTGTCCATTTATTTAACAGATTGACTAAAAATGATAAAGACGTTCAAAAGGGCATAAAATATCACAATAGATTAATTATGCTGGTATCAGAAGCCAAACATTATAGAAATGTACTTTCAATCCTAACATTTTCAGTCACTTGATGATGATATTAAACATGAAAATGTTTGGAATTTGTTATCATAATAATACAGGTGGACACATTTTTCAGTCAAATTGTAAAATAACTGAATATTAAGGCGTTAAATAATTTTCTTAAGTGAATTTTTTTTACACATTTTGACTGTAAAAATATACACACGATAAAATAACCAATACTCAGGTGAAATATTTACTTTGTGTTGCAAGTCAAAATAGTGTAAACGAAGATCGCACAATTACCATGCAAGTGACTTTTCAAAACTTCGTCACCATTACTGATACTACCCACAAAAATACCTACATTTCCTTATTATCTCGAAAACTGTATTTCATTTTGTTGATCAATGTGACCATACACCCTTATTACTATCCATAAAAGTGACTAATGCGCATACGAATGGTGCAGCACAGGTCGCGAACTAATCTAGATTTCTGCTATGCATCCAGGTACTCACGGGGAAAAAACAATATCAAAGGCAACAACCAGTCCCGGGGAATTGCTTTAGATCAGTGCCCCTTTCAAGGACTGCGCTAACTAGTGTGACTTGCATGTCTGTTGACCTATCTCATTTGAATATGACTTATTTGGAATTTCCTGTTCTTCATTTCCTAGAAGAGTGGTCACATGTGAAGAAGGAGAAGTTAAGTTTGTGAAACCTACCACTACCAATACCACTACTATTACTACTACTATGTTCTTTCTCTGGGCAGTTTATTTCCCTGCTTGAAAACAATCTAAGGCAATGTATTCCAAGAAACATGATGACCAAGAAATAAAAGAGTAATTTAACCAGGTTAACTGTTAAAATAAACATTTTTTCACAACTGCCCATAGCACTTAACATGCTGACTGTTTATATTGCAGTTTATCATATAATGGGTAGGTTTCTCGGCAGGATAAAGCCAACGGATAAAAACGATATCTGTTGGGGTCATATGCAGATAGAGATGCAAATATTAAAGGTCAAGTAGGGACTACTTTCACTGTTTATAAACAAACATGGCGTCGCCCTCGTCATTCGGCGATCGAGTCAGAATTAACCATCAGGAATCTGGATAAACTTCAGGGATAATTGCTATCACTATCAAAAGAACAGTCTAATATACTGAAAATCAGCGTGTAACTGTGACGTAGCTAAGGCATTTTATAAGTTTTGGCATCTTTGGAGATATAAATTTCGAAACAATTTTGCGGGGACACGAGGCCTAGCCAAGCGGGATCAGTAGCCATATCTGTGCTTGTAGACCTCTACGGCTTGAAACCTTCTCCACAAATTAAAATAGTTGGATTTGGCCGAAATATGTTTGAATTGTTACCTTGTTTCGTTTTGTCGCTGTGTGTACATCTGACTACACTTCTTAACGTTATGACAAGACAAACCGACTGTCAACAACGTCTAACCGTGGCCGTGACGTTGCATAGACTAGGGTTAGAGTAGCTTCCCTTAGACAAAGGGCAGTTACTCTAGCGGACAGACCGATGGATTGCCGCAAAAGGCAATTAAAAACAATTGTTGTTTTGCGTATATGTTGCTTCGCCAGTGTATAAGAAACAGATTTCAGTTGGAACTATATTGGCTACTGTGACTGTCTGACTGACACATCACTTACCCTGTGACGTAATAAATATTAATGCGTGCATTCCAGGAAAACTCGCAATGTTTCGGTAATGTTTGTGAGAGAGGGAAAGAGATTTTGAAGCACAGAATTAAAGAATGACATTATATGATAAAGAGGTTATCACGCTTGTGTGTTTGGGGATGGTAAATATCCTGTATTAGGAATAAACACTATGTATTTAGCTCGCCAAGGCTCACTAAATACAATGTTTATTCCTAATGCAGGATATTTACCATCCCCAAACACACTCGCGTGATAACCTCTATATACACGATACATACAACCTTGTCTTAGTAATGGCCTCCAGTAATAGTTTTTCAGCTTCCATTTCACACTATGTTTACCGGTAATAGTTAAACAGTGTTTGTTGTGCTTGAAATCATACGTAAATAAACCATTTTCAGAAACAAAATAACCTCAACTGTCCATGCGTTTGATCAAAATAAGTCTTGGATATGCACAGCGATAGGGGGATGCCTGGCAATATTTTATATATTAATTTTAACATTACTGAGTGCCAAATGGGTATGCTCTTATCAATCTACATTTGTAACATTTATCTCAATACTGCAGTGGATGAAATCCTTTATAAGGCAATATTTCACCAATACTCTATTAGTACTGGACACCATAAAGACATAATTCTATATCATCAAGCTTGCATTATCAACGCACCATCATCTTCATCGTCACTGTAAGATGCTCTTCGTCGTCGAGACATTTTTACGTCTTATTTATCTGGTTTGAAAACCCGGCGTGAAAAAGAAAGCCCGCCTTGATACGGAAACGGAAGTCATGAATTCACACACGCACAAAATGGATTTGTGATGTTTCATTGGCTAAATATATATATCGTTTACCCATTATGTTTAAAGATGTTTAATCGGGGTTTCCGTGGCCTGTAGAACATAAGACAAAAATTAAAAAGAACAAGAGAGAAAAAACAACAGGATTTCGTCTTCACATTTAGTTTTCATACTAAAATCGAAAATGCATGTGTTTTATCAAGCAAAGAAACAATTCCTGCAATGATCCCATATGAAGTGTGTCAAAGTTTTGCCCGTTTTAGAATAGGTAATTAAAATTAATAATGTCAACCACTGGTTTGTCTGGTCGACGGTTTGACAAGTAAGTGTTCTGAAAAAAAGGGGATGCATTCTTATGCATGCATATAAACTTGGAAATCTAATCTAGCATCTCATAGCTATCTTATGTCATGTTCTTTTGTACCGCCATATCACATAAACTACATGACTATGGCGTTCTGACATACATATCCCCGGTTCAACAAACCTAGTTGTAGCACATCATAAATCATTTTCAGGAAAACGCGGGAGCGAGTAAACCACAGGTACGGCCTCTCTTGGTTACCCATAACTTAAAACAAATTAGAGCCTGCTGAGTCAGCGTTCACTCGGCTAACAACAGACCAGGCTTCGATTCTCCACAATGAGTACACTATGTGAGGCCAGTGACCCCAAATATATCCAGACATGATTGCTGAATAAACAATGTAGACACATGTTTGTGTTATACATGCACGACAGAGTGCATGAACTGATACATAACATCATGCTGCCTCTAAGATTCGACTTAATGGATCGCGGGAGTTCAGGCTCGATGACTTGGTTCATAGCAATGCAACGTACCGGCGATCGTTGCTCATGATATCAATCATTGGATTTGACCTATATTCTGTTATTGTAGAAACGTTCGGTGCATGAAGAGTACATTGTTTTATTATATGAACTGTGTGAACTTTTACACACTGATCTAGATTGAGTGGCGATTGTCAAAAACATAGAATATATACATTTTTATTTTACTTTGATTTTGTTTTTACCCGTGAAGATCCGGGTAGAGAATAGGTCTTCAACAACCCATGCTTGCCGTAACAGGAGCTCATGCTTGTCGTAAGAGGCGACTAAGGGGATCGGGTGGTCAGACTCGCTGACGTGGTTGGTGTATCCCAATTGCTCATGTCAATCACTGGATTGTCTGGTCCAGAGTCGATTATTTACTAACCGCCGTCATATAGCTGGACTATTGCTTAGAGCGGCGTTAAACAACAAACACTTTTCTCCATAAGCGTTTCAATCAAAGCAGCTGTTGAATACAGACCACATTGCCAGTGCCAGCTCGATGTGCTTATGATTTTAAGAGCGCTTTCATCGAGTTTCGCGTTTCAGTAAATGACGGAGCACAGGCAAACTAGTGGTCAATGGCATGAGTGATGCCACCGCCAGGATGTGACCTCATCCCACTGTTATAAGCAAGAAAACTGGAACCTCTTTCACGTCATTGTTGCATGGGGAAGATTTTCTTCTGACTTTCTGGACCATGGGACTTTTATCAAGTCACTTTTATCATTTTTTTTATTGATGTCTCCAAGTGGTAACATGGTTAAAACGTGCCTACTTCTGGTACCCTAACCAAATAGAAGCCATTTGTGTGTACAAAATATCCTTGTAAGCCAGCTTGGTAATCAGAATCTCATTTGTTTCAAACTTAGTAGCAGATTTGTCAATTTCTAATCAACAGACAGGTTCTATTAAATATTTTAAAGTTATTAAAGATATATTTTGTCAAACATATTTATTCAAGCAGCTTAATCCTTTGTGTCGGTATGAGTTAAGTTTGGATATCAAGATCTATTTCAATGCTGGTCCAACTGGATAGGGCTATCAGATGTTGATAATTCAAATTCCTAGCATCAATTGTAGTATTTACCTTCCACAGTTATCAAATGTCTAACCATGAACAAAATATGAAGTTAGATTTGGTGCACACATATTTGCTGTGAGGTTTTGAACACTTGATGAATGTTAAGTACAATATTTTAGATACATTGTACTTAAGAATCACCACCAGTTTCAACATATTCATCCACTGCATAAATTTAATTTATGTATTAGATTTTCTGTGTGCACTTACAAGTGTGTCATAAAACTGAGAGCTCAACTTGGTAGCAATACAATTTCATCTATGCTGCATTGCTGGAAAACATGAATTTAGCATATACATAAATACATATGCCAAAGATAGAGTTTTCAAGCCCCCCTTTCCTTACATTCCACCTGACAGTACTTTTCAATCATAGATTGTGGTTCACAAATTATTTGCATTCTCTGGTAATGACAACTGTTATCACAATAGTGTTAGTCTCTGCCTCTAAGAATCTCATTGACATAGTTCAAACTAGAATAAGCTTTCAAGTTGTCCTTGCTCCTATACATCCTCAAGGGAGCTGTGCTGGAAGTATGTGACCAGAAAAACTATGACCTTTAGAGTTGTTTGATAGAACCAAAACTTCTTGAATAACAATTACCCAACACTCTTAGTATAGATTAGTTGATGCACCAACTTACAATGTTGGACAAGTGCAAAACAAATTTTCCAAGCATGTATAGTTTGTTAAAAAATAATATATACTGAATGAAAAGTTAGCAATCATGAATAATTTTGAGGATATTTTTAAGAAATTGTGTTCAGTCTTCAACAATATTACAACAATAAAAACAATATTCTCATGACCCAAAGATGTTTCTGATCATTATATATACGTTTGTGTGCATAGATTGTCATGCGAAGATGTTTACAATGTGTAGATGCATTTTTGTACCTCTGATGCAGCTGTGAGGCCAGCCAAAGTGTGGATGCAGTTATATTCAGTGATAACATACCCACTTAGTCATGTAACTAATCATCACTTGATGTTGGCTACATATAATATGCATTAACATCCAACTTCTGAGACTCAGATTATCAGGAAAATGTCAGGTAATTGCTATGGCATATTTTTAATGATCACTCAGACATCCCCATTAAAGTTGAAACATGACAAAAAGAACTTTATCTATAACTTCTTTATTATACTGTGGTAGCAACATTTTGGAATAGATCATTATACCCTTGTCAAGCAAGACAGCTCTGTCAATATGAGTTATACCGAAACATGGCTATTACAGCATAAAATATACCCAAGGAAAATACCCAAGTACCCCTTACTATTTATTTTCATACAAAACTGTCATTTTTAAAAAGGATAATTTTGTAATTCTTTTTCCAAACAAGTCTTTCAATACAGAAGCTGAAATTGATTATGTATACTGCGATTATTATTCTATTTGACCAGTTTCAATTGCTTCTTCTCATTTGATAGGACAAGTCCTTGGGACTATCTGGAGGAACAGTGTTCTTACTAGGGCTGGCTAAAAAGATCAATAATCGATGGGAAGAAATATTGAAAAATTGTGTCATCGATAATATCTTATACAAAATATTCCGATAGTTTTAATTTATCGAAGCAGACTTGTTTTTGCCCAATGGCCTGAAGACTGCAAGCAACTGATTTTGTTGTAGCTTAAATGTCAACAAAGTAATCCATGCAAATAAATGTCACCAATGATGTGAAATATGTTTTCTCTGAGCTCTTTGCATATTCACTCAAAGTTACTTTCGGATATTAATTGATATATGATTGTTATGGAGTGAACTCTCAATCTAAGATTTATATCGATAGCCAGCCCTAGTTGTTATACCTACTTTATATCCGGTTTGTACTGGTGGTTTATCGGATATACATCAAAATGCGGGCAATGTCATGTTGATATTTAATAATGATATACAGAAGTTTGGAAACTATGATAATAGAGAAGTTGTGCATACATCCACCAGTTGATAACAAAAACACAAAAAATAGGTTTCTTTCAGGGTGTTTACTGCACAGAAACTATCAATTCAATATTTATCAGCACATCACAATAAGTTACTGTCCATGAGTTGACATAGCACAGGCTCAGTTTCCACCTCTCAGACGGAGCACCAAGTGGAGGGTGGATTCCTTCTGAATGTTGTAGTCTGAAAGTGTGCGCCCATCTTCAAGCTGCTTGCCGGCAAAGATCAATCTCTGCTGGTCTGGGGGAATACCTTCCTTGTCTTGGATCTTGGCCTTCACATTCTCAATAGTGTCTGAGGGTTCGACCTCGAGGGTGATGGTCTTGCCTGTGAGGGTTTTCACAAAGATCTGCATACCTCCTCTCAGACGGAGCACCAAGTGGAGTGTGGATTCCTTCTGAATGTTGTAATCTGAAAGTGTGCGCCCATCTTCAAGCTGCTTGCCGGCAAAGATCAATCTCTGCTGGTCTGGGGGAATACCTTCCTTGTCTTGGATCTTGGCCTTCACATTCTCAATAGTGTCTGAGGGTTCGACCTCGAGGGTGATGGTCTTGCCTGTGAGGGTTTTCACAAAGATCTGCATACCTCCTCTCAGACGGAGCACCAAGTGGAGTGTGGATTCCTTCTGAATGTTGTAATCTGAAAGTGTGCGCCCATCTTCAAGCTGCTTGCCGCAAAGATCAATCTCTGCTGGTCTGGGGGAATACCTTCCTTGTCTTGGATCTTGGCCTTCACATTCTCAATAGTGTCTGAGGGTTCGACCTCGAGGGTGATGGTCTTGCCTGTGAGGGTTTTCACAAAGATCTGCATACCTCCTCTCAGACGAAGCACCAAGTGGAGTGTGGATTCCTTCTGAATGTTGTAATCTGAAAGTGTGCGCCCATCTTCAAGCTGCTTGCCGGCAAAGATCAATCTCTGCTGGTCTGGGGGAATACCTTCCTTGTCTTGGATCTTGGCCTTCACATTCTCAATAGTGTCTGAGGGTTCGACCTCGAGGGTGATGGTCTTGCCTGTGAGGGTTTTCACAAAGATCTGCATACCTCCTCTCAGACGGAGCACCAAGTGGAGTGTGGATTCCTTCTGAATGTTGTAGTCTGAAAGTGTGCGCCCATCTTCAAGCTGCTTGCCA